TTGGTCTTGGTATTACCCAGGCACCGCCCGGAATACATGCGTCATATCCAGAATACTGTTATCCCATCCCCTTAGTTTCCTACAGCCTCGCCTCCTCACCGACGCATGCCTTCTCCTTTCCAAACAACATTAACACTTCTTTCTTCTCTACTGACGGTTGAGCCTCCATCTCTTCATATTCGTCACCACGACAGCCCCAGCCAAGGACTCGCACCCAAATCCACGTTCAGAGGGTGCAGGAGAAAGTATGCGGGATGCGTCGGTAGCTTATCCTTCACGTCGGGAGGCTTCGTAGTTGACGTTGAATACGAAAAGAACGGCAAGATCATCACTGCCACGCCTCTTTTCTCCAACTGGCAACTGCGTTAACATAACCGAATTACCCACTCAAAGGGGCGCCTTGCACAAGAATAGCATGCAAAGCAAATGTAGCACAACCGGCATGCGTCATAGAATTCGATTCCGGCTACTCAGTTAATTTAGCAACTTCGCGACGTCTGACAAATCAACCTGACGCATCTACATTGGCACAAAAAAAGCGCAATCTATCTCCCAACAACATAAACTCGTATCCCCAGCAGTGGCAGACCTGATTCCGTAAAGCATCGCATCCGTGCGCAATGCGGTAGACGAAGTTCTGCAGCTTCCCATCTCCATGCACGACGAGAGAGCAAGACGATTACTCCCTCGCCCGCTTCTCAGCCGCAAGACGGACCCTCAAGAAAGCTCGAGTCCTCAGCTGACGTTCCACATCATCGACAGGGTTTTACTCGTCAAGATGCATGCCTCCTCTCCTCCAGTAACTTCCCCAATAAACGCGCCCGGCCTGCATCAGCAAGCCTCCTTCTTTTCCGCTGAGGACTGATCCCGGTCACTCGAAGATTGAGAGTCGGGTGCATCAGAAGAGTTATTCACCCTCGTCTTATCCTCATTTCGTGATGATAGCCTATTAAGCAATGCTGGACTCGACGATGATGATGCCGACGCCGCACTGAGATGAGCACGTAAAGAGTCCAGGACAGTACGGACGGGCTTCTTGGACTGCGCGCATGCGGTTTCGGGTACGTTGGAAGGTGTTGGAGAGAGACGAGGGGTATCTCCTCTAGACTTGCCCTTCACATCGGGTTGAAGTCCAACAATACTCGGGGTATCACCAAGGGGTTCGTCACTAGCTCTTGATTTCCCCTTCACGTCAGCAGGTCTGGGCGGTTCAATGATATCGGTAATCGAGGCAGGTGCGTCCACGTCACCGGGTATAGTGCTCGTGCTGCTGAAGGGGATGACGCTCTGCTCGCACTGGGATAATGTCGACCTGACGGTGACCAGGATATCGAACGGACAGGCGAGATGTCATCTTCGCGCCATCTGGAATCTCGAGGCGAAGACGGTGCGAAATGGTTGCAGGGAGTCGACGAGCTGGATCTGGACCTGGAGCACTGGTGAGGGTGCTCGTCAACATCTTGCCATCGTCTTGGTCTCGGTCTTGGCGGCGAACTGACATGGGGAGGCACGTCATACTAGTCAAGTTGCTGTAAGTACACAGAGAGATATGTATGGCATTGGAATTGCTCACCTGGACGACGCTGTCATACACGAAGAGGTCTTTGAACGGTGACCTCACGCACGAGTAGACCTCTACTCTCTTCAGTAAAGAAAGCTTCGCAGAAAGAAAAGCCTACTCACCATGTACAAAGTGCTCTGCCATAACTCTTCCACCAGTGTCAATGTCCAAAAATTCCGCCAAAAGCTTCACAGCTGACTCCGACCGTATATCAATCGACTTCATGAGCGATATCGTGAATGTTGTGAAGAACTATGCACTTCGTCAGTCGTCCATACGCAAGAGACGAAGGTAAAAACCGCACCTCGACGTCCAGATTATCCCATACCCCCAACTCGCGCCGCAAAAACATCGTCGTCTTGCTCACCATCTCTTGGCTGGCGGCGAACTGTGCTGGGGTGGGGTATGGCCGGTATTTGGTATACGTATTGGAGGCTACATGCTATGAAAGAGTCAGACGGAACAAGCATAACGACATTGAACGCACCTTGGCGTAAAGCCCATGCTCATACACCCACCGCGGTTTCTCTATCGACCTCTCCAGTTTATCGGCTTCGTCCTGGTCTCGTCTTCCCCATTCCCTCCTACGCCTTCGTCTACGCACATCGGGTTCTCGTTGTGGTGCAGCTCGTAACGGCAATAGTCTGGGCTTCGAGAGAGGCGCCAAGTAATGTTTTTGATAATCATACCGCGACCGGATCCGATGAATTAGGTATTCCCCGATCATCTGAGCGCACAGCGGGCATTTCTCCTCGATTGCCCTGAATCACCCATTATCACTCTGAATGCACGCAAAAAGAAAATCGCTCACCAGTCCAAACGACGAGACAATCAAAACAGAACTCATGCGAGCAAGTAGGAACGACGGTCCGGTCAACGAGGGGCTGCAGGCATATGCTGCAGTTGTCTTCGCCTTCGTCTTGGGTTTCTGGTGGCGGCGATGGCGACTCGAGCTTGACGCGTTTGCGAGGAGGACTAGAAGAAATCATGGACGGGAGCAAAAAAGGAAGGTGACGACACACCTTCTTGTTTGCCGGTTCGGCACGGCGGGATTCGTGCCGGTTTCTGATCCTCAAGCTCGCTCTTGTCTGCGCTTTTTGAGTATCTGACGCTTTCTGAAAGTCTGAGATCCTAACTGTAGTAGTGGAAGGACTTGGACGAAAGACTACATTCAAGTCAATCCCGGGTTGACCCCGGACCCTGTTCATATTTGCTCTTCACTGCCTGGACCCTGCACTGAAATCATTCACAGTCGAAAATCCGAGAAACAACAGTACCGCAGACTCACTAATATTTCGCGAACCCGTGAATTCCAAAACTCAAACTAATCACTACCCAACAAGCGTCCTGCAGGCAGAAACCTGCGATCAGCCAGATCAACGCACTCAAGAACACGGCCTCAGTTCTTCCCTACACCCTCCAAAATGATCCATCTAGACACGCTGGATGGCCCAAGCACGGACAATCAATTACCTGGGCCGATTCCCACCCTTGAGGCCAACACCCCCACTCGTCTTTCTGGTCCGGTCTATGCTCTCCAAATGTTGAAATTACAAACTAACGATCAACTACAACGACGTGAAAACGTCTCTGCTTTCACATCTAGTATACTTGTTGACCTCCAACATACGCCTCGGTGGTTTACTAAACACTCGTCTCCAACTTCACGCGCTTCCATTGTAAAGCGATTCTGGATGTTCAACCTAGAAATCAAAACTACACCTCAAAGCCCCCATCTTTGTTGACCACCCGCTCGGTCTATGAACGAAATACAAACTGGACTAGGCTTCAAAGACAAATCAACACACCAATATTGGGAGGGGGTACAAATCCATCTCGAGGTACATGTATCTTGACCCCCTCGGTTGAATATTAACGGCGGGGATTCCTGCCAGTTTCCTGATTTCTGTACAAGTACCCTTCCCCCCCAAAAATTGTGCATTTCTGACTGCGGAGAACTAGCTTCCTTCTAACTCACATATATCGGGGAGCCAAACGTCGCAATGCAGATTCATTAACCCCTTGCCGGCTAGTCGCATACTGTTTGGGGTTCGACGCACAACTAAGACTCAAGAACACGACCCTCAACCCATTCTCTCTGTGCGTAGTAATATTGCGGAAACACGACTTACTCTCAAGTACACAAGGCAGATTCCATTACAGAATAATCTTAATCCCCCCTCTCCCGGGTTCGTCTGGACTTCTAGACTAAAATGGTCTACGCTCTTAGTCGTAGGACCTACTACTAACGATCAGATATCAAGCCTGCAACGATAGAACAGTGTCTCTGCCCTCAAATTTGGTATAATGTACCATCATCTCATTTCTTATTGTAGGCCTCTTTATTGTGCATGAAACACCGAAACACAATTTAACGCTGTATCCCGATTCCTTCACATAATCTCCTTCAATCGACGTTCATCCGTACCCGTTCAGAGTTACCAAGCACACTTCTGAATCACGGCCCTCACATCAAATACAAACGGCTAATCCAAGAACGCTCAGGTCGGCTCGATCGTCCTTACATGAACTAATCGGCAGGTCCCTCTCTGGATTCACCTTCCGAACTGGGATCAGATACTCGCGGAGAATAGTTCACATAGGGTCGGGTTCGCTTAATTGAGTTCGCTGGCGTCTTATCCTGAGCCAACCAGTAGTGATTTCGAGGTCCAGCCCATAAACGCGAGGTAGCTCGATGAATGATTGATGCCCGGCTCTCGTAGATGTCGATCTGCGCCCAAGTAGGAACCACCCGATTGGAGATCCCCTGGCAAAGGGTCATAATACATGAATATGGGGAGGGTACAAGCGCATCTTCAGGTACACGAAACATGTGTTTTGGCCAATGTCTACATACAACCCTGAAAATTAACATGTGGTTCTATTCTCTACCCTCGATATCCTTGAAAAGTTTTTGAATGCGACACGAATGTTCCATTGGTCAATGCTAGTCCGCGTACTGTCTGCGTCGAGTGAGAATCAAATGTAAGAAGAAGAATAGACTAATCGTCTTAAATTGACCTGCGAATCGGACGTGTAACACCAACACAGATTGATGGTTATAGAACTTGATGTCAATGCAACCGAGTGCTATCCATTAGAACTCACCTCGAGCCTAACGAGCGATCTGGTCCGCAGAAAAGCCGAGAAGCCTCCGACGCTGTGGCGTTGGATACCAAACAGCTTCTTTTACATAATCCCAGTCCACTTTTTCGTTCAACCCATCACGTCCCTTGTATTTCGCGTTCTAACAATCGACATAGTGCCCCCAACTGAGACGCTTCACGTTTCCCACGTCAACACTCTCATGATCGACATATCCGCGTACCAAGATAGCGAACAGCCCAAGTTCATCCTGAGCTGGTGGATAGCCGCCTTCCGCCACATCAATATGCTGACTCTGTTCTCGAAGTCATACGCCTGAAAATAGATGTCAAGCATATACTGTCACTCTCTGCGCCTGACTACGGGGACCTATGGAAGCAGATGAACGAGGCCCTTCACGGAATACCTTCCTTAAAGACCGTAGACCTCGTGTTCTATAATGTATCATCAAAGTGGCCGTGGAACGAGGCAGAGGCGCGAATGATAGAAGGCTTCAAGGTGAGGGATCCTCAGCGGCAGCTCGATATCCATCTTACCGCATTCTCATCGTCAGTGAGTTCGGAAATTCTTCTTTCGTTTTACGGAAAAAGAAGGCTCAGACTTTCCCAGCTATCTGTCTTCAGTTTTGGGTCTTTCAATTGCACGAAAGGTGATGCACATCAGTGATTACTGACCTCGGTGTATGTTTCGGTTTAACATACCAACTACATTGAAGACAATAATACGTGACGAGGATAAACCGTAACTTTGCGAGGGAAATTCCGTTATTCTATATAAATCTGTACGAATCATATTAGCCTTCAAAATTCGACTCAGAGATGAAACAGACTCGCCTCGATGGGATATGATATATTACGAACACCTCCGGGGCGTGCGAGCCTCCCACATCAACTTCGGCCATAGTCTCAACTCCAGATGTGTAAATCCTAAATTGAGCCTGCCGCGTCTGTAGGAACAGTCGAAGGATTCAGGCACCGCTTCCATGAAAAACAGACCCTAGCACAGTAAGCCATAGAAGACATTTGCTAGTACGAAACCCGAAGCTGGAACCGAAAATGCATCAGAACGCTATATTGGAGAACAATGTTTTGACCTATCTTTGCGTGAGTGGACGTGCGTGTTCCTTTGCTAGTAATGTGCCGTACTTATTCGCCTGATCACAGGGGCCTAACGGTGTTTCGGACCGCTCTTCCGGAACACCGGATTTTTTTGGCATGACCCATTCGTGGCTCTCTTCATCTCCACGCCTTCCTTCCTCTTGCTTCTGCCATACATTGCATTCGATCTCTCCTCTCCAACTGCTACGTTGCCTTGCAACTTTAGATTCTGTTGCGATGTTAGAGGTTGACTTCAAGAGCCGATACCCGTTACGCACCATACGAGCTCCCTTGGGGTACGGTTTATTTTTAATTCGTTTCTTGTTAGCTAATTTCTTCTCACGCGCGTAGATTTTCCTCCTGCGAACGCCCACCCTCCTCCTTCTCCCTCCTTCGAAGGACTACCTCAGCCTCACGAATTTTCGCCTAGACTTTCCGGCGAGTGAGTTGGAGGGACAGGACGAGAGTTAGGGACGGCCATGGTAGAATCGTTTGGGAAGAAGACCAGTATCCTCCGCAACCACATCGACTCTGAGACTCTGCCCGCATACATCCTCGTAATCACTAGCTCGCTATGTGCCAACTACTGTACTATTACGACCGTAAGTTCACCTAACGCCTAACAGCCGACCCCGAACTGTGCTTATTTCATATGTTCTAACGTCTAACAAAGGGGTCTGAACTGACATCCATTTAGGTCAAATGGAGTAAAATTAACCTCAAAAATCTAATTTTGGGTATATAATGTACAATATTGCATCTAAAGCTGACTTCCATCTATTAGTCTTTCATGCTCGCAAAGAATTGTCAATTACGGGTGGTAGGAAGCCCTGCACAGGCTGTGCCGCAGTGCCGGCTGAACTGAACTCGTAAGTCCTAACGCCTGACATCGGTGTCTGAACTGACAATCCGATGAACTACTACCCTAACACCTAACACCGGCTGAACTTACGGTCGTAATATTACAGTACGCTGCTAGGACGCATCAGAACACGAACACGGCTTTGAAACCTCCATTTCCGTGGTACTTGCTGAAAACGTCTTTTACCATTGGAGCCGGTATCGACCGAACCTTGTAACTAACGTCAGCACTGGATTGCAATTAATGCACATGGAAGAAGCTGGATCTGTAATCGGTGTGGGGCGGATTAGTGCTGAGTTGGAGTACACGGAAGGATCTTTGGATGTACATCTCCACATTCTGACTGTCGGCATCGACGACTAATCTTATGCGAACAGCGTGGTACCCCCGGCACTCAAAGATATCGTATGTGCTCCAGCGTGACACATCTCGCTTGCTAATGCACGTTATCGCAACAAGCGAGGATGGACACATTAGGAGCATCGATAACGAGTATAACGGAGTGGCGACTCGCGGAGAGAATCTGTTTCGCTAGGGTGTTACAGGCTGGGGGGTATGCGGATTCTAGTAGAGTCATCGCCTTTCGTGGCTGATATCAAGATCCAGAACCCGGTCATTTCAAGACTGTGGGTCACTACGAAGTCGATGTTACATTCAATGTGTTACGAGGTAAGTTGTCCGAGTCCTCTCTACGCATCTTTGGCTAACTGCTCCTTCAGTCCATTAACCTCGTTTTGCGCTGTCAATCACAGTGCAGACAACACATCGAAACCCATGAATCCAACCCCGTGCAGCCACAAGTCAACCCAGTGATCGTGAGACTCCGCACATCTGCTGTTGTCCTCATTAACCAGCACCAGGGAAGGCTCTAGCTGAGCTATCATCCTCTCCTACGCCGAATCCACCCGCCGCTGGCTCTTGTCCTCTCGGCTGGAAAGTCATCGCTTGTTGTACCTACCAGCCTCAGCATCGAGGAATCCTGCAAGAACCTCATTTTAACTGCCGTACACCCTTCCGGACGAGATCAACGGTGTCAGTCAAACAAGTACGGTTTCACGATAAGAATCAACACGAGATTCTCTTCTATACCTACCGATGACTGGCTCGCTATCCAGCAATTGGATACCGGCTCCTACGGGAGCGGATTAGGGTCATGGATAACCACGAACGACTCATCACGCCAATCACCTCCTCCCAAACGCCCTGAGCAACGTGCGAGCTTCGTGGTGCTAATAGCGGTAGCTGCGACGATCATCGCCTTACCCGATGGAGGACGCGGATATACGCACACGAAATACGCGATGAGCAGCTTAACCAAAGCTGCAGATACGTGTCCTTATCTTTCCTCCCTGCCCTTCCCTAATAATCCCTTCTCTCCCACCAGCTCAAGACCACTCCTCACATCAATACCATCCTCCCCGGGTGTGTCTACGGCGAACTCACCCCGTCCCCACACGCGAGATTATTGTCGCCGAGTACAGGCAGGCAAAATTGTGGATCTCATTGTCTCGCCGAGGAATGGGTTTGTTACAGGGATTCAAGTACTCGGCGGGCATGGAAGACGGGGGTTCCGGACCGTTGTCCCGGAAAACAGGATTTGTTCTTCTGATTCATCCCCATCATCTCCACGCCTTCCTTCCTCTTGGTCTACTCGCCTTTCTCTCCAATCGTTCATTTCCCTTGGAACTTGACATTTGGGCATGATTTCTGACGATGACTGACCTGTGGATGTGCATACGCGTTCCCATGGGGTTCCAGGTGTGCAGTCTATTTTTACGTCGCTTCTCGTTAGCTAACGTCTTCGTGAGTGTAGATTCTCTACCACCCTCCTCGTTATTATTAGCTTGCTATGCGCTGACTGCACTGCTAGCACGAGACAGTACTCAAACACGACTCCCAGTAATCGCTGCAATGTCCTTTACCATTGGAGCCGATGCCGACCAAGCTTTCACAACGAACGTTAGCCCTGGATTGCAAGTCATGAAGATGCTGGATCTGTAGTCGGTGTATGGTGGGTTAGGGGAGGATATTAGGACGTACGTCTCCTCATTCTGACTGTTGGCGTCGAGGACTAATCTTTTTCGTGCAGCGTGGCACTCGCGACTGTCAATGCACTCTAACCTGACATATCCTGCTTTCTTATCGCAGCGGGTGACGCGGAGAGAATATGTTTGAATAGAGTGACGCGGGATAGGGAGGGTCTGGAGGGGTACCCGGTACGTGTGTTGGAGGGAAGTCGCTGTGTTTTGTGGCTGATATAATTCGAAGGTCAAGATCCTGGTGTTCCCGAAACAGTGCTTTGCTGTGAATTCCATGTCAGACATCGATAAACATTACGAGTTATGGGATAGACGTCCTCCTAGTGCATACACTGCAATGAATGGGAAGGAAACCATTTATTGTCGTCCCAAGAACGAAAACTCGCCACGACTCTAAATGGGAAGGCGTAATTTTGCCTTCCCTTTTCCGTCGTGAGTGGATGCGCGTGTTCATTTTCCTGTGTATTACTTTAGCCTTGTCGAGGTTGGAAGGCGGAGAAAAATGCCGGAAATGGCCCGGATGTCGGTAGAAATCCTTGGTGTTTGGAAAAGACCATTCTCGTTCATTGATCGATCCCTTCGTTCCTATCATCTTCACGCAATCCTTCCTCCATGCATCGCCATTAATATTCAGTCTCCGGAGTGGTAGCCTTCTTCTGCAATTCCTGCGTTTCTTCCACTTTCGCGATGTTTGACGACAACTTCAACAAGGGGAAAGACCAGTGACATGTATACACGTTCTGTTGGGGTTCATGGGTACGTAGTCTATTTTTACATTGCTTCTCGTTAGCTAATTTCTTCTTGCCGGTGCAGATTCTCCTCCCTACCCCAACTTCACTAATCGCGCCAATACTAAAGCGTTCCCGCAAACGAGATGGAGGACAGACCATTGACAAAACCAGCGTATTCCCTGGTAACTCTGCGGCCACATCCACTCTCCAACTCTGCTCGCATGCATCTCGTCATTAATACGTCGCTAAGCGCCTACGTGACTATGTTATAAGGACGCGTCTGCTGCCAGTGGATATGTCTTCTACCAGTAGCGTCGGTACAGACCGAAATTTTGCAACCAGCATCAGTACCGGATTGCTAGCCAGGAAGAAGCTGGATCTGTGGTCAATGTGTGGCGGGATTAGATGCTTGAGCTAACACACGTCAATCCAAACGTTATTGGAACCGGAACCTCATAACATTATGTAGATGACAATATGCCTATTCAATAAAGCGGAAATATAGGCTCGTCACATTCTTTTGATCCTTGCTGATATCGGTTGGTTATCATCTAGTGTTCACGTTCAGAAAATCTAACCAAAGAATTGAGAATTTCGTAATGTTCATATGATAGATCCACTGTAAAAGGATATACAGAGGATTTTCGGTATATGGACGGTCGAGTCTGGCCTTGCTAGTAATTCAACGCAGCAGCACCATCATTTACATGCCGTGACTTGTTCCTGCCCGCGTTCTGCGAAGTAGAAGGAGCCCTTACCAGTGTCTTTCGTTTACGATCCTGGTGGATCTGCTCTGGATTTCCGATCGGGAACCTGCTATCGATTCCTAGGAGGACGTCATCACAGATGAAAACTCGGTCCTCTAACCTGAGCTGCCACGGGGTAATCTTGGCTCTAGCGATAGCATCATCCAAATTTGATTGCATAGAGACCGTATCAGGAAGATCACTCCTTCTCAACCAGAAGGACAAGTTACCCCCACACAATCCGGGGTGGATTTTGATCAGGATTTGCAGACAGTAACTGCTGTCAGCTGAACTCTATCTCTACGCCTCAAAAGACTATCCCAGGGCCAAAACTTTGTGCCGAGACCCCATATTACCTTCTGAGGAGCGAGATGGAGTGGTAGACGGTGGTCGAGATCAATGGACTGCCAAGGTAGGCATGTTCTGGGAGGGATTGGACGGTCCTCATATTGATAGAGGAGGAGCGATAGACACCCACGGGAGGATGTTTGGAAGTATGTGTCTGCACTCTGACTGTCGGTACCGAGGACATATCATTTGTGCAGCGTACCACCCTCTGGGTGCTTCAACCCAACATCCAGCGCTTCCAACGTCACCGTATGTGCTCCAGCATGACACACTTCTCTCGCTAAAGCAACAGGTGTGGCCAGACAATGCTGAAAATGAATATAATGAGGAGCCGAGTCGCGGACGGAATGTTTTCGCTCAGGTATCACTGGCTAGGGAGGGTGTACGTGCTTTGGAATGAAGTCGCTGTTTTTGTGGCTAATATCATTGGAAGATCAAGATCATGATGATCTCACACCCATGCGTTGCTGAAATTCGTTGTTTGAGTATCGATCTTCCACAGCAGAAGTTTACGAAGTGTGTTTTGAACTTGCGCACGCATCTTTGGACCATTTGATAATCGGTGAAACTCTTGCTATATCTACCGAATTGGAAAGGTATAACTACTGTTATTACTGCCTACTCTAGTTGCCCTGTAACCGTCTACAGGATCATGAATATACATAACTCATACGACTTCCGCACTTTTTGCTGGAATAATGAGCCTTGCATCCTCCTCCTCCGTGCACGTAACACTGCCCTCCACATTCAATTTTGATTGGCTCTGTAAACCCCCTGAATGCATAGTATTATCTGGTGAACCGGGATTCACATTCCCGGATTGATTTCCAGAGGCAACACGAAGGAGTATCAAAGTCGGCGCAATGCCCTGCCAAAATCCCATCAGAATTGTCCGTTAGTGATCCATAGAGACTCACTGTAACAGAAACGAGAACCACTTGCGGATAAAGACTGTTTGGATTATTCGTTGCGATGAACGGGATGTAGATCACTAGCGCAATGACATAATGCAGCCGATTCTACCATGATCTCCATGACTCGGTAGTATGGATTAGCGGCAATGGGTAGAGACAAGCTGGTAGTGCTCGCTTGAACCAGCCGGTATACGATGAGCACCGTACATATGATTGTCGTCGAGAGTGTCATACTATAGTATGCTACTCCCCATTGAATAGAGTTGCTTCCCCACGGAGTTGAAGAAGCGCCTTGCGAACCGGTAAAGGGTGTCAACTCTTGAATCAGGAAGAAAACATCGAAGACTTGGAACAGTGAGTGATTTGAGTTATGTTCAGAGTCCTAGCGACTTACGTGTTCCACAAAGTGTGCATATGGAAGGAAGGACGATGATCCTCCAATTCCGTCCCCATATGACCCAGCACCGCCAAATCTAGGAAAGTATCGCATCAAAAGTTGGTAATATAGAGGTCTTCCGCAAGACGTACGATCACACAATCTGCCATTAATATATTCGTACTCGCGACGATGCTAGTAATCGTCGGTACCCATAACGGACCACCGGCAATAAGTGAGTCTATGAGTGCGAAGAACCTGGTTTCCTCCGTCTGCCCCTTTGTGATGAATGCCCGTCTAGCATAATACCATCTTACAGCGATGTGAACTGTTGCCATAATATACATGAAGACGGAAATTCCAGCAAGGACCTTTGCCTGCCTCCTACGGGGAACCCTGATCAAAACTATGTAATTATCCTGTCAGTTGTGATCTCATTGGAGGGATGGGTACACACCGATCCGGAACAGTACAACTGCAAGCAATGCCGTATATATCCCTGAGTCATAGTCAGTGCTTTTTGTGTACAATTTTGAAGATAAGTAGTACCATGTGCTAAGGACTCGATAATAACTGCGTTGAACCAAGAGTCAGACAACTGTGTTGCAGCTGCTTCCATGGGTGAAATGCCTGGGTCGATCTACGATATGGCGTCAAGCTGCTTGTCAGGATATCGAAGGGGAGAGAAACTTTCTGGCAGTCAAGCGAAACATGCGATGTTTCTTAAAGCATTGAAGCATTGGTAAGACCACCATCATTTCTAAGCAAATAATATCAGACTGGCTATCCTAAGTACAGAAATACAGGACTCACTGATGAGAGTGTTTAGTCGCCAGAGAACGATATCCAGATGCACAGGCTTTGATCTTTTCCTTAGAAATGATCAAAGAAAACCAGTTGTACTTTGATCGTGTCGTTTTCTTGTGTAAATTTACTTCATCATGGGCATCTCGGGGATCCATATCTCGTTGAGTCCATTGAATATGACGTTGATGTTGCCATAACTTCTTGCGGAAGATGAATTCAAAAAGGGCCTTACATGATCAAAGGGATAATTCTCAATTGAGTTCGGGAGAATCAACTTATTAGTAGGCTACGGGAGTCCAAGGCGATGTGAGTCTATTTCCTACTAACTCAGCTCCCAACACCGAACGTGTTCATTACCAACGGGATAAACATTTGATCCACCCAACAGATAAATTACCATAATACAAACCTGAGATGATAGACTCGAAATCCTAAATGTAACGTGTTTGAAGTGTTAAACTCATCCTGATTTGAAGACGAGTATAGCGCCAGTCATGGATCCGACTCGGAGAACATATACAAGTGCTTTACCAAGAATTCTAAATTTGTTCTGTAGTAACTTCGAGACTATTATTTTCTGCAAATGCGATGGCTTTCCAACCAAAAGCCGACCGGACTCCAAAGGGAATCACAGATCTGTGAACTTATATAAAGGAGGAATTGGTCACATTAACAGCCACGTCCATTTGCGCTCACAGACCTGGTCCAGACAACCTGAAGCATTCCCGGAGAATGAATCTTTCCACTCTACTCATCGCGATCACCTGTGCCATGGCTGTGGGTATCCATTGCATGCATTGGACTCACAAAGATACTAAAACCATTGACAGACATATTCCTATGCGCTAGCAAATTCTGAAGGATGCGCCACCCAAACCTGCTGGTTTCCACCAGCTGAAGTCACTGTCCCTGGATGAAGATATCAGAGATAAGACACAGAGACATTTGGAACATTTATTAGACTCGTCATTGGACAGGCAGTCAGATAGATCATTATGGCTACAATATTTCACGTAGAGGGCTTCGATTTGTGCGTAGCTGTTATGGATATTGTTACTTGGCCTTCTCGGTCTTAGCGCTGACTCACTCATACTTGCTGTTACTTTCTCTATTCTTCTCACTGATACTAGAATATTATGGAATATTGTAGAATAATAATGACTCAAACCTTTCTTTAGTATATAAACTTGTAGATAACATTATATTATTTTATTCAGCCAATCTATCACTTTCAACACACCTTCACTGCGTGAAACCTCAGCTATGCTTAGCGCTTGCTAAACAACTCATTGGATACACTTACGCTTAGAGCTTTCCGATACCAATCCGAAGACTACGCTTAGCGCTTGTCTTCACTTACGGCCCGTAATAGCTTCGCGCTTACTGATTTCCTTTATCTCGCAAACCGGACCTCTCAAGTCTTCTCATGGACCCTTACCGTAATACATTCTATTCCCTAACGACACACATACATTTCTCTAATTATTTCTACCTCGCTTCGATCACAACTCCTCGCCTTGTGCTCGGATACCCGGATTTCGGCAGATTCCTAACAGTAGCTATTATATCCCTTAGTCGAGGTTATCACACTATAAATCATCAATATGGTGCATCTATATCTGGTACGAATAGTACACAATTTATCTCTCGCCTCGCCCGCTTCTCAGTTGCAAGCCGCGCCCTCACCAACGCCTAAGTCCTCAGCCTCCGCTCCGCATCATCTGCATCGACAGTTACCGCACGTCTCCTCTCCCCTAACAGCTTCCCCACTGACCACGCCCGACCCTGCGACAGCAGGTCTTCCTTCTTTCCCGCAGATGACTGATCCCAGTTACTCGAAGATTAGAGTCAGGTGCATCAGAAGAGTTATGCTCCCTTTTCTTATCCTCCGTGCGTGATGATATCCGGCTAAGCAAAGTCGGACTTGACAACAATGATGCCAACGCTGCACCCAGATGAGCACATAAAGAATCCAGGGCGGTACGGATGGGCTTCTTGGACCGTGCGGGTGCGGTTTCAGGTACGTTGGAAGGTGCTGGAGAGAGACAAGGGGTATCTACCCTAGACTTGCCCTTGACATCGGGTTGAAGTCCAACAATACTCGCAGTATTACCAAGGGGTTCGTCACTAGCTCTTGATTTCCCCTTCACGTCAGCAGGTCTGGGCGGTTCAATGACATCGGTAATCGAGGCAGGTGCGTCCACGTCATCCGGTATAGTCGCTCGAGCTGGAGAAGGAGACGACACTTTGCTCACACTGGGATAATGTCGACCTGACGGTGACCAGGATATTGACCGGACGGGCGAGATGTCATCTTCGTGCCATCTGGAATCTCGAGGCGAAGACGGTGCGAGATGGTTGCAGGGAGTCGGTGAGCTGGATCTGGACCTGGAGCTCTGGCGAGGGTGCTCGTCAACATCTTGCCATCGTCTTGGTCTCGGTCTTGGCGGCGAACTGACATGGGAAGGCACGTCGTACTAGTCAAGTTGTTGTGAGTACACAGAGAGATATGGACGGCATCGTGATTACTCACCTGGATAACGCTGTCATACACGAAGAGGTCTTTGAACGGTGACCTTACGTACGAGTAAACCTCTGCTCGCTTCAATAAAGAATGTTCAGCAGGGAGCGACGGCTACTCACCATGTGCGAAGTGTTCTGCCATAACTCTTCCACCCGTATCAATGTCCAAAAATTCCGCCAATAGCTTCACAGCCGACTCGGAACGTATATCAATCGACTTCATAAGAGATATCGTGAACGTCGTGAAGAACTAAGATTATCGTCAGTCTTGCACACGACACATATCCAAGGTAAGAGCCGCACCTCAACGTCAAGGTCATCCCATACTCTTCCGCAGAAACATCATCGTCTTGCTCACCATCTCCTGGCTTGCGGCGAACTGCGCTGGAGTGGAATATGGCCGGTACTTAGCATATTCATTCGACGCTACATGCTAATAAAATGTTAGGCAGAACAAGGACAATGATAATTGATGCACCTTGGCGTAAAGCCCATGCTCGTACACCCAACGCCGTGTCTCCATCGACCGCTCCAGCTTATCCACCTCGTCCTGGTCTCGTCTTTCCCATTCCCTCCTACGTCTCTGTCTCCATACTTCCTGTCCCGGGTTCTGCGCAGCCCGTAACGGCAGTAATCTCGGCTTTGACAGAGGCGCTAAGTAACGCTTCTGATAATCGTACCGGGACCGGATCCGATGGATGAGGTATTCTCCAATTGTCTGTGCGCACAAAGGGCACTTCCTTGATTGATCTAAATCACCAAATATCAGCACATGCACCCACGGTATGCGAAAAGTCACCTTAACAGTCCAGATGACGAGACAATCAAAACAGAACTCATGCCAGCAAGTAGGAATGACGGTCCGGTCAACAAGGGCCTGCAGGCATATACTGCAGTTATCTTTGTCTTCGTCTTCGTCTTCGTCTACGTCTTGGGCTTCCGGTGGCGGTGAAGATGATTCGAGCTTGATCCGTTTGCGAGGACTGGAAGAGCCAGTCATGGGCGGGAGCAAAAGGAAGGAATCACCCTACTGACATCATCAATTAGGGGTTGTTGACACATCTTGCTGGCCGGTTCGGCACGGCGGAATTCGTACCGGTTTCGGGTTGCTTCGAACTTTCCTGCTCGCTTTCTGAAAGTCTACATTCTAGAGATTCATTAGGAGAAAGGCCACCTTCAAGCAAAACAGCAAGTGCTATTCATATCTGATCTTCGCTGCCTGCACTGAAATCATTCGCGCTTATTCTTACGCTGGATTGTCGCTTTCCGTCACTTTCATGCTTGTCTAATTCCGCATGCCGTGGTACCCTGGACTTTCTATCCTATTTTTCCTTCTGCATATCAACGCTAGCCGAATCACCTGTTAAGGGTATCGTAATCTGTCTTTTCGTTATCCCACCGTGATACCAAATTCCGTCCAAGAAACAGCTTTCCCTCACTCGAATCTTGAAGGATCTTGAGGTATAGGCACATTTATCCACTGCCTCAAATTTGTGCTAATTGTTTGATATGACCTCGTACGTACTTTACTCATGGACATCGCAATAAGCGGCTAGCTCTTTCTCCTCTGATTGTTCTGTACAGAAGAAGTCCACGCTAGGACGAGAAATCATTCTTTTTCTCTAAAGTCTGAGCCCATGCCGTCCAACAAACAAGCGACGCGAAGTATAGCGCAACCATAGGTACGTCGCCTCAGTGCAAATCGTATTACAGCCCAGTTCACGTTACTTTCACAGTCAAAAAGTCGACTTACAGCAGTACCGCGGAATCCCTGAACAGCTGCAAATTTACAAACTCGAACTCGTCCCTAACCAGCTAGGCGGAAACCTGCGATACAGCCAGTTCCACATACTCAATAACACGACCCCAGTCTCTCATTAACCCTTCTCTCCGCATCTATCTATATCCAAACACGTACCTAGGTCGATTCCCACCCTTGCGGACAACAACTCCACTCGTCTTTCCCGTCCTCACCAACGATAGAAATTACAACTAATGATCAAATCAAATTGGCCTCCAAACATACACCTCGACGATTAATAAATACTCGTCTCCAACTCTACAAGCTTCCATTGCTACAATCCTCGCCACAGCAAGAGCTTCCACCTCAAGAAAGTCATACGACGGCGAGCGATTCTAGATGTCCGACCTAGGAATCAAAACTACACCTCAAAGCCCCCATCTCTTTCGGTCACCTGCTCGGTCTATGAAGGTAATATGAACTGGACTGGGCTTCATCGATAAACGACCACGTGAATATGGGGAGGGGATACAAATCTATCCCAAGGTACGTGTATCTTGACCCCCTCGGTTGAATATTAATGGTAGAGATTCGCGCTAGTTTCCTGATTTCGGTACAAGTACACTTCCCTGACAAAAATTCTGCATTTCTGACTGCGGAGAACTAGCTTCCTTCTAACTCACATATATTGGGGAGCCATACGTTGCAATGCAGATTCGTCAACCCCTTGGTGGCCAGTTGCATACCGCTTGGGGTTCGACATACAGCTAGGACTCAAGAACACAACCCTCAACCCATTCTCTCCGTGCGTAGTAATATTGGGGAAACACGGCTCACTCTCAACTACCCACGGCGATTTCCATTACAGGATAATCTTAACCCCCCCCCTCCCAGGTTCGTCTGGACTTCTAGACTAAAATGGTCTACGCTCCCAGTCATAGGACCCACTACTAACGATCAGATATCAAGCCTTCAACGATAGAACAGCGTCTCTGCCCTCAAATTCCGTATAACGTAACATCATCTCGTTTTTTAGTGTAGGCCTCTTTATCGCGCATGAAACACCGAAACACAATTTAACGCTGTATCCCTAGATTCCTTCACATAATCTCCTTTAGTATACGTTCATCCGTACCTATACAAACCACTAATCCAAATCACTCAGGCCAGCTCGATCGTCCTTACATGAACTAATCGGCAGATCCCTCTCTGGATTCACCTTCTGAACTGGAATCAGATACTCGTGGAGAATATTTCACATAGGGTCAGGTTTGCTTAATTGATTGACTCGCGTTTCATCCTGAGCCAACTAGTAGTGATTTCGATGGCCAGCCCATAAGCGTGAGGTATCTCAACAAATGATTGATGCCCGGCTCTCGCAGATGTCGATCCACACCCAAGTAGGAACCACGCGATTGGAGATCTCCTCGCAATGGGTCATAATACATGAATATGGGGAGGGTACAAACCCATCCTCAGGTATGCGAAACATGTGTCTTGTCCAATGTCTACATACAGCCCTAAAAATTCAAATTTGGTTATATTCCCTACCCTCGATATCCTTGAAAGAGGTTTTTGAATGCAACACGAATGCACGCACTGTCTGCGTCGAGTGAGAATCAAATGTAAGTAGAAAAATAGACCAATCTTCTTAAATTGACCTGCGAATAGGACGTGTAACACCAACACAGATTTATAGCTATAGGAACTTCTTGATGTCAACGCAACCGAGTGCTATCCATTAGAATTCACCTTGAGCCTAACAAGCGATTTGGTCCGCAGAAAAACCGACAAGCCTCCGACGCTGTGGCGTTGGATACCAAACAGCTTCTTTTACATAATCCCAGTCCACTTTTTCGTTCAACCCATCACGTTCCTCGGACAGAGAAAACAGCACTGCGCGAGTTAAATCCTAAAATCCCCATTGGAGATCCAGAATTTAGCATCCTTTCTATAACTTGACGTTCCAGGTCTCAATCGAAAAAGGCATGCTCAATAATATACTTAATATACTGGAAAGATGGCGTCCCCGCAGAGATAAAAAGTGAGTCGAGTCTCGATACATGGCATCGTTATCCTCATAGAAACACAGGATGACTGAACCATGCTTTCCTCAAGAGATCTTCGATGCTATTATCGACCAATTAAAGGACGACACCGACACTTTGAAGGAAATCTCCCTCGCATCAACGATCCTGTCTCCAAGGACCCGCGTTCATCTATTCTCTTCCGCCAACCTAGCCAGCAAAACAGACTGCGCACGCCTTCGAAAACTAATCACCCAATCTCCACACCTTGCACGCTACTTCACCTCACTCACCTTCGAATTCCACTCTCGGTCCGTTGCGAGATCGCTTCCCGCCAAAATTCTCCGCAAACTCGTCAACCTAAGAGAGCTAACACTCACCTTGGGTGATTTCTCCAACCTCCGCCCTTCTGTCATCTCTGCCCTTGGAGCTCGTTCATACACATCTCTCGCGTTGATCCTCATAGATTTTGACTCAGTCACAGACATCTGCTCTCTGACGCACAACTCACCTTCTCTCAAAACTATGCACATCGTAGCTCCGCGTTTTTTTGGTCCCGACGTTCCTTGCGATCATGAGGATGTTGTCCCTTCTCCGACCTCCCTGAGTATCACTGACACCGAGAGCGACGCTGGAACCATTTTAGGATCAATCCTCTCACCGCGTCAGTGCCCCATCTCCATGGAAAGAATCGATACTTTGCTTATCCTGATTTCCCACACCAACCCTGCCCTCATCGAACAACTCAACCATTTCCTGGATGAAATGCGCGTCGAGCGGGCTTTGACTTCCTTCCATGTCACCCATACAAGCACAGGTACTCATAACATTTGTCGTCTTTCGGATTCTGACAATCAGCGTAGTACCTCCAACTCTGACACTTCACATTTCCCACGTCAGCACCCTTATGATCGACATATCCGCGTATCGCAATAGCGACGAGCCAAAATCCATCATAGGCTGGTGGATAACAGCCCTCCGCGATATCGAAGCTGACTGTGCTCTCGAAGTCGTACGCCTGAAGATAGATGTCAAGAATATGCCGTCACTCTCCACACCTGACTACGGGGACCTGTGGAAGCAGATGAACGAGGCCCTTCATGGAATACCTTCCCTAAAGACCGTAGACCTCGCGTTCTATAATATGTCGCCAGAGTGGCCTTGGGATGAGGCAGAGGCGCGAATGATAGAAGGCTTTAAGATGAGGGATCCTCAGCGGGAGCTCAATATCCATGTTACCACATTCTCCTCGTCGGTGAGTTCAGAGATCGTTCTTTTATTTTATAGCAAAGGAAGGCTCAGACTTTTCCAGCTACCCCTCTTCAGCTTCGGGTCTTGCAACTGCATGAAAGGTGATGCAGATCAGTGATTACTGACCTCGGTACGTGTTTCGGTTTCTGAACACCCTTCAACGTACTAACTACCTCAAAGACAGGCGTTTGAAAAGGATAATACTTGATTGGATAAACCAAAACTGTATCAGGGAAATTTCTTTCATTCTATATAATCATTTGAGTGAATCATTTGCTTTCAAATTTCAACTCAGAAATGAAATGGGCGTGCATCGACTGGATATCCTGAACATGTCCCGGTCCGGAACGCTCAAGTCTCAGTTAAAAGGAGAAAGCATAGGTAGATATGAACAGCATACCCCTTCCACGGAGCTAGTGACAGGTCGAAACTCGAGAGAGCCAGTCGAAACTGAGGTGATGGTAAGGGGGCAAATGAACTCCAGTCCAGCCAACAAGATCTCGATTCAGCACTGACACATGGTGCTGGCGACATCGCCCTTCTCAAGTTTTCGTCCAAATTTGCGCTTCACAGCGGCTATTTTTACTCTCACTTCGGACTCAGGGGACCCAAGGCACGCGTATCCCCGACTCAATGGAATTAAGCCTGGATTTCCATTTCCTTACAATGGCGACCATTGGTACGTCAATCTTTCCCCTTCCTGTTAGCTACAACAGAACCTAGTCAGAGAGTCATATTTAGGGTATATTTTTGGCCTACGTTTTCTGTCAGATTTGAGTAGACATGGTCCCTTGGTTTCGTCTCTTTTGCGATGTGCCGTTCTCTCAGAAACGCAATGTTTGGCAAGCTCTTGGTGTTTATTTGGCAACGCTATTTTTGGCGCTCTTCACCTCTGCCCGTGTACTCTGCTTCTCTCTGTGATTGTTCCTTCCGATTTCTCATCGCGACTGCTTATTTTTCTCAAGATTATATATTCGGGCACGAGACGCTTCCCTGTTTGACAATGACTTCAATATGGACTAAGACCTGTTTGTATTCGACTGGATTCGGGGCGTACACGACGTCATTGGAGATCTTTTGGGGTTTAAGGTACGTAATCCATTCGTACTTTTGATCCTCGTTGGTTGATGTCTTTTAACATAGGTCCTCTTCCCACGAGTACCTACTATCTTCGTCTTTTCATTCTGTAGAATATGAATCTTTTCTGTATCGACGGCAGGCATCTCATTGGATGGACGGCCTCAGCCCCGGATCGATGGGTGACAACTTTGTGGAGAACAGGCAGTCACTGTGGTAGGGGAGCGGGAGGAGCGGTGTACTCCTCCATCAAACTTAGAACCACATCTTCCCGTCACTACCTCGCTCTCTATGTCCTCTATGCTGCTAGGATGGAGGGTACATAAACGTAAACCACAGAATTATGGCCCTAGTTGCAAATACCTTTTACCGTCGGAGCTCGCATGGACCAAACTCGCAAGTCGTGGAGGAGTCGGATCAGTGGTCTGTATATGGCAGGATAGAAACCGGTGGAACATGCAGGAGTGTCTTAGGAAGTATGTATGCGCGTTCTGATTATCTCCGTCGGGACTAATATTATTTGCACAGCCTGTCACTATCCTCTGCGACCTCAGACCTGTCGTACGATGTCTTCAACAACGTCGTATGTGCTTCTGAAAGCCACATTTCGCGTGCTAATGCCTGTTCATCATAGCAGGCAATGATGGACTTGCTAGGAGCATCGAAGCCGCCAAGAAATACAAAGGGGACGCGCGTCGCAAGGAGAATGTATTTCGTTAGAGTGTAATTGCAGGCTAGGGAGGGCTCTGAGGGTGGTATGTGCTTCCGAGTGTTATTATCTCTCGATGTTGATATCAAGACCGCGATCGCGGTGTTCCAGACAATGCATTGCTGCGAATTCGGAACGGGATAACGAGCATTCCTGCCTTCGTAGCCATCCACTGGGTACATCACCTGATTCGACTGTGGTATATAAACTTTTCTCTCTCTCTTGGCCAACTATTGTCCCTTATCTTTACACATATAGTAAGGGAAAATGTCAAACTGGTCGGGCTCGGTTCTGCCATCAAACCCTCGTATATAATACGATACACAATGATTGTTTCATCACTATATGTGGGGTGTACGAAAGAAATGATTGATATCTGTTGCTGGAGATGTTCGATATAAATGTAACAATACAACCTTACGCCGTACAAAAAATGTTGCCCGTATACGGACAATTTCTCAATGCCGATGAATATCGGTCGTCAGAATGTGAGCGTGATTAGCTTCATCGAGGACACATTTACTTACCACGGACATTTTTACTTACCACGCTGTCTTACCACGATGTCATTATATGATCCCCTACCGCTCTTTCGACAACCATATGAATACGACCCAACTTTATAGCTATTCACGGCGTGGATTTGCACCCGCATATGCCGTATGCATCCCTAATCAGAAATAGGTGCACTCATCTGTTATGTTCCACTGTTTCAATCATATTGTGGTCTTTTTGGCACCATCCGTGTTTAGGACTTTGCTGTACAGTAAATGTCGCATACCCAGAACACGGGATGACAGAACTTTTCCGTCTTCAACTCCCGCCATGTTTTCCAGCACTCCATCCCCCTCTCGCTCTCGCCACCAACCTGGAATTGAAGGGATAGGCATGCTCAATGGACAACCAAGGTCGCGTTCTGGTCCCAGTAATTGGAATCAGTCTTCAAAACAATCCACCATGCAATGGACGCCTACTACTACCTCACAATCTCAAGCCCCGCCTCAGCCGCAGTTTCAGCCTCAACGCCATCAGTCTTCCCATGTTATTTCCCAGGGTGTTGCAACCGGCGTGATTGGTAGTGGATATGGTCCTTATTCGGTGAATATCCTCCTATTTTGATGACCATTCTCTAATAACTGCTGCAGTACAGTCCCACCCTAGCCAAAGATAGTGGGATGTACACTACCTCGCGTTTTTCTGCACCACCTGTCGCCACGCCTCTAGTCCATCGGACAAGCAGAGTCGCCAATACCAGCACCATGACTACTAGTACTAATATTGCCCCGGTGCGATATTTCTGGGACAAGGACCCGGACTTTGACGACATTATCCACAATCCTGACCCCATCGTGGATACTAGAATGGACCGCTCGTGCTCCCCTTTCTCCACGCGTGGCTGGGAAAATGCAAGCACACTTGTAGTCATTCTTATGGGGCTAATCACCCTATTCATCGGTTTCCCCGTCATCACATATTACAAACGCACAGTCAATACTGTGTCTGGATTTAACCTTGGTGGAATCAATGCCACTCGACAGATACCGGAATTTCCAGGGCTCCCGAGCCTCATAGATACGGATACTCCCACGGATGCGTATTCGCGTACAGGGCACGATGGAAAAAAGTACAACTTGGTGTTCAGTGACGAGTTCAACACCGATGGACGCACGTTCTATCCGGGAGATGATCCATATTGGGAGGCAGTTGACATGCACTATTGGCCTACGGGTGATCTTGAGTGGTACGATCCGAGTGTATGTCTCCTCGGCATATTCGGTAATCTCGTTCTCATCTATTCTGTTGTTGTTTAGGCTGCCATCACACGAGATGGAAAGTTAGTGCTTACAATGACCGAAGAAAATATTCATGACCTCAATTTCAAGAGTGGTACGTTTACAGTTTAAATTTGATGTTCTCCGAGACTGCGTAATTAAAGCGTCAACAGCTATGATTACTTCATGGAACAAATTATGCTTCACTACTGGATATATCGAAGTTTCTATCAGTATGCCTGGTAGTCCCCGGGCAGCGGGTTTATGGCCTGGTGAGATTATAGTGATTCCCATGTACTTGACGCCTTCCATTGATTTCTTCAAGGTGCATGGACTATGGGAAACTTGGTATGAATTCTTTGTACCCCTTCCAATATACTATTCTCACCAGATCACAGGGCCGTGCCGGCTACGGTGCCACCACAGAAGGAACGTGGCCGTACAGTTACGACTCCTGCGACCTGGGCACATTCCCAGGACAAACTACAGCATCAGGCGAACCAGCTGCCGCAAATACTGGTGGGAACGACGGCTCACCAATCAGCTCCCTCCCTGGACAACGCCTCTCTGCATGCACATGCGACGGATCTGACCACCCAGGACCCACCTCCAGCACAGGGCGCGGTGTCCCAGAAATCGATATCATCGAACACCGAATTGACACGACAATTTGGCAAGGCCAGGTTTCACAAAGTTACCAGGTTGCGCCGTTCAATTACCATTATGATTTTGATAACTCGTCCAGAGTGACAACTATCTATGACGATAGGATAACTGAGTTCAATTCATATAAGGGTGGTAATTTGCAGCAGTCGGTGTCAACGCTGACATACATCGATAAGACACTATATAATGGAACTGGATATGGGGCGTACGGATACGAGTGGTATTCAAATCCGAATAAACGCGATGAGGGGTATATCACTTGGTATAATGATGGCGTAGAGTCATGGACAATCACTTCTGGCACCATCGGAGCTGATTCCACTGTAGAGATCAGCGAGCGGCTTATCCCAGAGGAGCCATTAGTGGGTACCATCTTTTTTTTTCTCAAAATCGTGCGGGACTGATATGTGTCGCTTGTAGTACATCATCCTCAACCTGGGAATGTCATTATCTTTCCAGGCGCAGGATTACAAGCACTTGTCCTTCCCGAGTTCGATGTATATCGACTACGTACGGGTGTATCAACGTTCTGGGACTGAAAACGGGTTGACATGTGACCCCCCAAAGAGGCCTACCGCAGATTATATTATTAAGTATGTTCTCTGTTTTTTGGTGCGCGTTTTGTTCTTATTGTTTTGTGATAGTCACGCAGAAGCATACACCAATGCTAATTGGTCGACATGGGATGCGGCAGGGTACACGTTCCCCCGGAATTCCCTCTACGATGGATGTTAACAATCTGGTACACACTATGAGGATGGGGGAGATGTCTATACTGTTAACGCTGCTATTCATTGACATTGTCCGGAAGTACATGTTAGGTGATGTAGGAAAACGAGCCAGAAGTTTACCAGTGATGGATCAAGGGTGTAGTCGTACTTGCAGTTACATTCAACTAAAGTCAAGGGAAAAAAGGTGAGGATTCTTACGACGTCTAGTGTAATGTTAGTGGAACGTGCTGTGAATACTACCGAACGTACTCAGAACCGTAGGTTGTGTATGTCAATTGTTTCGTCAGCTGCAACCTCAGTCCCTGATAAATTGACAGAGCCGATCATGAATTCCTTGTCTGATGAACACTCATGTCGGAGACCATGTCAAACCATCGACGAACTAATGCCTAGCTTCGTTCCAATGTGCTGGATGAATGGCAGTAGAAATGGCTCATACACCATGTTTCAAAGCAAACATGTCAGAAAGCAAGTTAGCGTTTGGCACCCCTGGGGACTAGACGTAGAGTGATAGAACGAATGCATTAAGAGGTTCATAGGAAACCTGAATGAAAAAAGCATCGGCAGGAAAGCCGTACAACGGCACCAAGTCGCCGACCTCGTTTCCAATGAAAGATAATGCCAATGCAGGAAGGCGTGCCAATGATGGGTATTCACAAGAACAAATGGGAAAGATGATGCAGAGGGCCCATCGACATAACCCTCAAAGCTGAGAGCATTCTTGTCGATTGAGAATAAAATCTGGGGAATAAGCCAAGGAAAGGAATCTTGTTTCTACTTTGGAGAATTGATACACAGTTCGGACCTGTGAGACTGGTTAGCGGGTCGACGTGAAGAGACCAACATTCCTTATCGTAACGGTTGGTATACGTGGTTTCCTGCAAATGCCCACGGTTATATACCGGTGAACCAGGAAGACCAAATGTAGAAAATATGAAATAGGTCGTACCCTTCATCGGACTAGATAGGTGGAAGCCATAGCAAAAATGTACGCACCTTGCGTATTCCTACCCCAAACCATCGAGGAACGAATGAAAATACGAACACCAGAAAGGAAAATTCAAAGCCGAGATTATTTCGCTCAGTCGAAATTCGAATGGGTTTGAGTGTATAAAACATGAGACCTAGGGGATACCTCAAAGGAAAGAAAGAAACGACAAGTCAAAAGGCGGCCACGGACCGCGCTCGAGAAGGGCGGGTACAACGATACGAGATAGGCTATTGAATGCGTGTCCGACGGCACCATGTCGCAACTGGTACTTCTTCTGTGCTGTTTAATGGTATAGAACCTTGTGTTGTATTAGTGACAAAAAGACGCCAGGAACAGGACACAACGCGCTTCAGGAATACGATGAACAATCGACGTTGAATTTTTTCGCACATCCTATGACCGAGGAAGCCAGAAAACGAACATAAAGCGCCTAACTCACGGTCGGCTAGATTATTCAACAACTGGGATATTGGCCGAATACTGAACTCGGCCATAGTCTCGATTCCAGATATTTAAATCCTAGATTGAGCCTGCCGAGTCTGTAGGAACAGTCAAAGAATTCGGGCGCCGCTTCCGTTAAAAACAGACCCCAGCACAGACGTTGAACAAGCCATAGAATTGCCATAGAAGACATTGCTAGTAGGAAGTCCGAAACTAGAACCTAAAACGCATCAGAATAGTATATTAGGAAAAAAATTTTTAGCCTATGTTTGCGTGAGTGGACGTGACATCCTCCTGACGTGTACACCACCGTAGTGAATGGGAAAAAAAAACCATTTATCGTCATCCCAAGAACGAAAACTCGTCACAACTTTAAATGGGAAGGTGTAAATTTTCATTCCCTTTTGTGGACCTGAGACCAGCTAAATCTATGTAAAAGGTAATGAAATAAAACGCTTACCATCAACCTCAACGTCGAACCGCATTTTGATAGTGATGAGCGAAGAAGAGGCGGGATACGACATACACAAGTCCAATACCCTTGATGCATGACGGTCCAAGGTGTGGTTTTGTCTATCCTACAGAGCGAACCAATAATAAAGCAGAAAGTATCTCAATCATGGTTAGCTTTATTGCTGGCCGGTAGAAATAGTCAAAGAAATTTCGACACTTCTGTCGTGAGAGAGAGAGAGACCGCTACAGAAGACATTCGTTAGTAAGACTCGCGTCCAGATGGAAAAACGTCAGAATGCTATAATGGAGAGCAATATTTGGGCCTGCCTTTGCGTGAGTGGACGGGAATGTTCCTTTGCTAATGCGCCGTGTGAGCCTGATCAACGTGAAGGGAGAAGGGGTTCCGGGCCGTTGTTCCGGACAACGACAAGGCCCGGTTCTCGGCTCTTGATCGCTCTTTTCATCTCCATGCCTTCCTTCCTCTTGGTCTACTCGCCTTTCTCTTCTGTCGTTCCGTTAACTTGAGACTTAAAATTCGGGCGTGACATTTGGCGACGACTTCAATATAGACCGACCCGTGGTGTGCGTACGCGTTCCCTTGGGGTTCGAGGTGTGTGCAGTCTATTTTTACGTCGCTTTTCGTTAGCTAACTTCTTCGCGTACGTAGATTCTCTCCACGTGAACGCCCACCCTCCCTCGTCGTTACTAGCTTACTACGTGTCAGTACACAAGCACGATTCCCACTTCCGTCGTACTCGCTGCAAAAGTCCTTTACTATTGGGGCCGACGCCGACCAAGCTTTTGCAACCAACGTTAGCACTGGATTACAAGTATTGACGATGAAGGATCCGTAGTCTAGTGCACCCAGGGAGGATCTTAGGACAGTAAGTCTCCTCATTCTGACTATCAGCATTGAGAAAACTAATATTTTTCGTGCAGCATGGCACTCGCAACTGTCAAGGACACTATATGCGCTCTATCCCGCTTGCTAGCCCATGCTTCTTGCAGCGGGTGAGGATGACGGGACGCGGAGAGAATCAATAAAGTGGCGGGGGTTAGGGAGGGTTGTGGAGAAGTACCAGTACGTGTGTTGAAGGGAAGTCACAGGTCTTTTGGAACTGATATAGTTTGAAGGTCAAGATCATGGTGTTCTCAATATCGTGCTTTGCTGCGAATTTCGTGTCCGATATCGATCAACGTTACGAGGTATGTGATAGACGTCCTCCTGGCGCATACATTGCAGTGAATGGGAAGGAAACATTCGTCATCGTCCCAAGAACGAAAACTCGTCACGACTATAAATGGGAAGGCGTAATATTGCCTTCCGTTTTCCGTCGTGAGTGGATGCGCGTGCTCATTTTCCTGTGTATTACCTTCACCTTGTCAAAGTGGGAAGGACTCGGCAAAGCCCATTCTCGACTCTTGATCCATTTCTTCGTTCCCAACATCTTCACGCGTTCCTTTCGCTTCTACCGTACATCGCAGTAGTAGCCCTCTTCTCCAGTTCCCGTGTTTCTTCGTGACTTTAGCGGTGTTTTACGACGACTTCAACAAGGGTTGATTCCTGTGACATACGCACGCGTTTCCTTGAGGTGGGTATGCAGTCTATTTTTACATTGTCTCTCGTTGGCTAATTTCTTCTCATGCACTAGATTCTTCTCCCCGTCAAGTACCCCAGAACGTTCCGGCGAGCGGGGTGGAGGACAGACCGTTGACAGAACCAGCTTACTCCCGATAACTCTGCGACTACATCCACTCTCAAACTCTGCCCGCATACATCCTCGTCGTTGCTAGCTTGCTAAGCGCCGACTAAGTGACTAGGACACGTCAGTACGCAACCCCTACTTCCGTGGTACCCTCTGCAAATATCTTCTACCAGTAGAGTCGGTATCAACCAAAGTGTTGCAACCGACGTCAGCACTGGATGGCAAGTCATGAAGGAGCAGGATCTGTGGTCGGTGTATAACGGGTTAGCAGTGCACAGGAGTATCTTTGGACGTACGTCTCTGCGTTCTGAGTATCGGTGTGGAGGGACTAATGATCTTCGTGCAGTGTGGCACTCGCAGCTCTCAACGACACCTCGAACATGCATAGGAACGGCTAAGCGCATCAGGGAAGGAATGTGCTTTGGAGTCAAGTCGGCCATGCATGTCTGCGGATTCGGTGTACTATCGATCTTTCCACGAAGGAATGCTTGGAGGTATGCTGTCGAAGCGCTCTCTATGTCTCTTTGGCTAATTGCTCCTTCAGTTCATGGACTTCACACCCCAGTCATCGTGAACCTCCGCACGTTCGGCGTCGTCCTCGTCACCGGCGCCGGGGAGGCTCCGCTAAACACCACCCTCTCCTTCGCCGAATCCACCATCCGCCAACTCTCCCTCACTGGAGATACTCCCAACCCACACTGCACTGCCGCCCTCTAGTGCAAGATCATCCCCGAGAACCCCGACTTTGGCATCCGAGTCATCCCCACCAACAGAAGCGTCGAGGAATCCGTCACGATCCTCATGAAGACTGTCATAAACCATTTTGGACGAGTCAATTGTTGTACTAACGTCGAAGGTCAGTCTGCGGGCTCTCTTGCCAACCCAAGTCTTACATTTTGAATAGACGGGGGAAAGTGTATCGAAATCCTTGCCTATACGTACGAAAGACTGGCTCGTACGCGAGCCAATTACCCACATGGAGAAACGGTATCCGCTCGTCACGTCTATCACCTCTACAAGGCGGCCCTTCAAGTGCGGGAGCATTGTCGTGTCAGGGGTGGTGATCGCCTCACTTAACTAAGCAGCATATATGCGCACGAAATATCCGACAAATGGTTTAACCAAGGCTGCAGGTACGTCTCTTTCTCTCCCCTTTCTCGCCTGTGCCTTCGTACCTCGGGGTCCTGAAGCGGCGCAGCACATAACAGAAGTAACCCTAGCTTTGAAAGACGCGCCAAACAGTGCTTTTGATAATCTTAGCTCGAGCGGATCAGATGAATCCAGTACTCTCTGATCATCTGAGCGCCCAAAGGGCTCTTTCTTGATAGCTCCAATGTTAAAGATCCATTATCAGCCAAGCTTTGACTGTACGCAAAAAAACTCCGGAACTTGTCTAGACGACGAGACCGAGACTCATGTGAGCAAGTAGGGATGACGGTCCGATATACCCGGACCTGCAGGCATATACTGCCGTGATCTTTCTCTTCGTCTAGGTTCTCTGGTAGTGGCGAGGGCGGCTTCAGCTTGATGCGCTGTTCGAGGAAGACTCCCGTGTTAACATCATCATTTAGAGGCTGCTGACACATATCCCTTGCCGATGTCCGATGACATTCAATTTTCTATGCAGCTCAACTTGATATATCGAACTTCAACGCAAGTGGGACAGCCACTTAACCCATATGAACGGGCCCCGGACCATACTATGATCCAAACCTGAAATGATAAATATAACGCGTTCAAAAGTGCTAAATTCAACTTGATTTGAAGAGGAATGTCGTTCCATCCACCAGCCACGGATCCGACTTGGAGAACATATACAAGTGCTTTGCCAAGCGTCCTAAATTCATTCTGTAGTAGCGTCGAGGATATTATTTTCCGTAAATGCTGTGACTTACTGAACAGTGCACCGCAATAGGGATCACGGGGTTTTGTCACATTAATAGCCACACCCATTTGCGCTCTCAGATGTGATCTGAAGCATTCCTGGAGAATGAACGTTCGAACACTCTTCTCATCGTGATCGCCTGTGCCATGGCTGTGGGTATTCAATGCATGTATGGGCTCAGAAAGATACTGAATCCATTGACAGGTATATTCCTATGCGCTATGAAATCCCGAACTGTGCGCGGCTGCGCCACCCAAACATGCTCAGACTCCCATTTCACGATGTCAGGCAAATACAAGTGGCTGACGTGATGCGCCCAAGATGCGCCAGTACGACAACCCAGAAAAGACACCTTTGATGGAGTTTCATGAACAGCGCTCGCCAAAATTAGTATCTGCCTATCATGCAGTGTGCCTATAACGGTATTCCCATCCTCAGAACAATGCGAACTAAAATAAGACAACAATGCACTAATAAACGACCAGTCTCCACACGATACGAGCACACGCCTTCCTCCTCGCTCAATCCTCGCTAATTAGCTACAGGTAGCTGTTGGCCTTCTGTACAATGTCTCAGATCGATCCCGATTTTGCATCTATCAAAATATTCGCGACGCAGTACTCTGATTCCTGGCTTAACGCAGTTATCATCGAGTCCTTAACCCACGGTAAGATATTAGTCTAAACCAGTCATCCAGAAACTTACCATGGAGCTAGGCATGTACACGGCATTGCTTGCCATCGTACTGTGGCGAATTCGTGCGTAGATAACCCTAGCCGACACGATCAAACTTGAAGTTCCTCCCGTAGTGTCGAGCACAACTATCTATAGGCGGCAGGTGAAGGTCCTTGCTGTGATCTCAGTGTTCATGTACATCATGGCAACGATACACCTTGCTAAGACATGGTTCTATACCAGATGGGCATTCATAACGAAGGGAGAGACAGAAGAAACGAGGTACTTCGCCCTCATGAACTATATGGCCACTGGCCACCCTACGTGGGCCTTGACAATTGGCGATACTGTGGCATGCATCAATATATTGGTTGCGGATTGTGTTATTGTGAGTTCCCGGCCAGCACTTCCGGAGAAGCAGGTATTGAATTGAAATTCATATTAGATTTGGAGGTGCTGGATAATCTGGGAAAGGAACTGGAGGATTGTCGTCCTTCCTTGCATATGCACCGTATGCGAACTTAGTAAGTCCCTAGACTCTACCTGGATGATATCTAGTCGCTGACTGATCCAAGCCTTTGGCGTTTTAGGCATCCTTCAGCAAATGGTACCTTTGAACAATTTGCCGAGAATTATTTCAAAGGGAGACTCCATCAACTGGTCAATGGCATATTGCATTATGGCACTACCCACAACAGGAATGTGTACCGCGCTCATCGTGTATTATCTGGCTAAGGTCAGCAAGACTAGGAACTCCCCATGCTTCACGCCGAACCCATATTACCACGTCATAGAGATGCTAGTAGAATCATCCGGATTGTATGTGGTTGTCCTGGCAATCTTCATCGTGTTCGCTGCGGTGGAGAGTCCTTACAGCAGGTATCCAGGAGCGGTACTTGAACCGGTCATTGTGAGCTTGAGGTTGTTTCGCTAAGAAAGAGAAATCTCATAAGAATTTGGGACAGGGAATCGTCACGACGTTAACCCTCCTTCGTGTCGTGTCTAGGAACACAGATACGGGTCCCCCGAGCGATGATATGCATTCGCGGCATTTACAGCACCTACCCAGAACAAGAACGGAAGGCAGTGAAACGTATGCCGATGATAATGATGTAATGATCATTGGTCCGGAAAAGACGGTCCAAGTGGTATGAGCTGCGCGTGAGTGTCATCCTGGAGATGATAGTGATTTAACTAATCGGAAAGGTGAAAATAATAGTTTGTACCTTGTCAGTTATATGTACGCAGCAACAGCCCAGTTATCAGAAGATATGTTTGCGTGCTATAGGATTGTCTCGCGTCTGAGTATCACGTACGAAATGAGATCTTCTCATGTGGGTACTTTGTCAGACAAGGGTCGCGATTCTCAAGCAAGGCTGATGCTGTGATTCGTCACTTCATTTTGATGTCGTTCCATCTCTCACTTTTCAGGCGATCTCAACGTCGAAATTAGCGAATTACTGACCTGTAAAGGCGCAGCAAAAACAGATGTACCATATTCTTAATGGAAAAATGAGTCTTTACGCGCAACATACCGTTAAAAACTGACCCGATGCTATGAGCCTCTTGCTCACACATTCATCTCAAGATCAGGGCTTAACCCTGCATATATGCGGAAGGCATTATGTCTATTTCGATGCAAGAGCACGCAGTTCACAGCTTTACAACAATGTGCCATCAGCCTCTTGGCGCCGAAAGGCCAGGTCCGCGATTCATAATAAACGAGCGGTCCTACCTACCATCTGTGATGCCACGTACTTCCAAAAAGGAAGAACCATCACTCGATGCCGGGGTTCGACGAGGATAGTCAACAGCTAGATGATCCAAGGTGAGTTGTGATTCCTCAGAAGAAATGACTATGAGCTCACTTATATATTAGCCGTTGACAGTAACTACCACAGGCTCTCGTTCAAACCCTTCCGATGTCGAAAGATCTTGGAGACCAAGCGAACAAGAAGACGTGTCATGGGGTCCTCCAGCATGTCAGCAACTTATCCCCCTTCTTTTTATTCTTCTCAACAAACAGCCCTGTTGAAGGAATTTGGACTCGCACCCAAATCCACGTTCCGAGGGTGCAGGTGAAAATCTGCCTTTGAGGACTGCGAGGATTCGTTGGTAGCTTTGGATTGATTTACAGAGGCTTTCGTAGTTGAATACGAAAATAATAGCAAGGTTATCGCTGCCGCAAAGACACACCCCTCTTCTCTTCCTCAAATACCAGGCTTAATGTAGTCTTTAGCTAGCGACTGCACTAACATAACGGAACTAGCCAGCCAAAAGGGGACGATGGACAGTCTTGCACAAGAAATGGTACGCGAACAAACGCAGCAGACCTGCTAGCCAACAAAATCAACATTTCGTATTAGCGTGACACATCTACATCCATAGTCAACATTGGCATGAAAAACGTGCGCAATTTATCCCCCTACAGACATCACTCGTACGTCCCCGCAAGGGCAAATATATTTTCATCGCAAGGATAACAAGGACTTTGACTCCCACTACTGAAGGCGCACACGTCATGCAGAGCCGTAGCGTTGCGACACTAGCACAAACTCTCTGTGACGTCTATTTCCCATTGATTCTTCCTCCATGCGCAATGCAATAGACGGAATTCTGCAGCTTCCCATATCCATCAATGTCATTTCGCACGAGATCGCTCCCTCGCCCGCTTCTCAGCTGCAAGCCGCACTCTCACCAATGCTCTCGTCTTCAACCTCCGCTCAACATCATCAACAGCTGCTTCAGGGCGAGGCGCGCGCCTCCTCTCAAGCAGTTTCCCCAATAAATGCGCTCGACCCTGCATCAGGAATTCTTCCTTCTTTTCCGCTGACGACTGATCCCAGTCACTCGAAGATTGAGAGCCAAGCGCATCACAAGAGTTATCCTGTCTCTTCTTATCTTCAATTCGTGATGATAGCCGATTAAGCAAAGTCGGACTGGACAGCGATGATGCACCCAAATGAGCACGTAAAGACTCCAAGGCGGTACGAACAGGTTTCTTGGACCGCACGCACGTGATTTCGGGGATGTTAGAGGGTGCTGGCAAAAGACAAGGTATATCTTCCCTCGATTTGCCCTTCATGTTGGGTTGGAATCCAACATTACTTGGGGTAGCATCATGGAATTCATCGTTAACTCTTGATTTCCCTTTCACGTCAGGTCTAGTCACTTCAATGGCATCGGTAATCGAGGTAGGCATATCCATTTCATCGGGTATAGTCGCTTGTGCTACGGGAGGATCTACAGAGTGGGATGGCGCTCTACTAGCGCTGGGGTAATGACAACCTGACGGAGACCAGGATATCGAACGGACGCGAGATACGTCGTCCTCATGCCAATCGGAATCTCGAGATGATAACGGTGCATTGTTGTGGTTGCAGGGAGTTGGTGACCTGGATCGGGGCCTGGATTTCTGGCGGGGGTGCTCGTTGACCTCTCGCCATCGCCGTGGTCTTGGCCTTGGAGGAGAGCCTACATAGGGAGGTGTGTCGTACTAGTCAACCGCTTGTGAGTACACAGAGATATAAGGACGGTTTTGTGACTGCTCACCTGGACGGCACTATCATACACGAATAGGCCCTTGAAAGGCAACCTCACATACGAGTAGACCTCTACTCGCTTCAGTAAAGAATACTTGGCAGGGAGCGACGGTTACTCACCATGCACAAAATGCTCTGCCATAACTCTTCCACCCGTATCAATATCCAAGAACTCTGCTAACAGCTTCACAGCGGACTCCGAGCGAATATCGATGGATTTCATGAGCGATATCGTGAACGTCGTGAAGAACTGCGTTCCTCGTCAGTCGTCTACACAAAACAGAAGCGAAGTAAAGGCCGCACCTCAACATCAAGATCGTCCCACACTCTGAACTCGCGCCTCAGAAACATCGTCGTCTTGCTAACCATCTCCTGGCTTGCAGCGAACTGTGCTGGAGTGGGGTACGGCCGGTACTTTGTATACACATTCGAGGCTACATGCTGTGAAGGAGTCAGATGGCACAAGTATAACAACATTATGATTCAACGCACCTTGGCGTACAACCTATGCTCATATACCCAGCGCCGCTTCTCTATCGACCTCTCCAGCTTATCCACCTCATTCTGATCTCGTCTTCCCCATTCCCTCCTGCGCCTCTGTCTATGCACTTCAGGCTCCCTGTTCGTCACAGCATGTAATGGCAACAATCCCGGCTTCGAGAGAGGCACCAAGTAATGCTTCTGATAATCATAGCGTGACCGGATTCGGTGAATCAGATATTCTCCAGTCGTCTGAGCGCACAATGGGCACTTCCTCGATTGCTCTAAAAGAAACATTGTCATCCCACACACCCACTATATGCGAAAAATTAACTCACCAGTCCAAACGACGAGACAATCAAAGCAAAACTCATGCGAGCAAGTGGGTATGATGGTCCGGCCAACGAGGGCTTGCAGGCATATGCTACAGTTATCTTCTTCTTCTTCTTCTTGTGAGGGCGGCGAGGGTGACTCGATCTTGATGCGTTTGCGAGGAGGGCTAGTAGAAGAGCTCATGGGCGGGAGCAAAACGAAGGAATCGCCATGCTGACATCATCATTTAGGGGCTGATGACAAATGTTCACACGACGGCGGAATTCATGCCGGTTTCCTCAAACTCTCTTCCTTGCGTCTGTGCTTATATGTTTTCCGAAGCTTTCTGAGAATTTGAATTCTATGCCCTCACGCCAAACCCTGAGTTCTTTTTAGAGCGGCTTTATTTAATCCTCCACTGACATCATTCGCACTGTTCTTACGCTGGATTCTCGCTTTTTGTCCCTTTCACCCTTGTCGACATCGTCTAATTCCTATCCCTCAGTACCTTCATCGTTCTATCTCATCGTTCCTTCTGCATATTATGCCAGCTGAATCCCTATTAGTTGCCTCCTACAATTATACCAGAATCTGTGTTTTCCTTATCCCAGCGCGATAAAATTCGGTCCCAGAAACAAGATTCTCTCCCACAACGTATGTACCTTGGGATACAGATTGCATTCATCTGGTCCTGTGACTTTGTGCTAATTCTTTGAAAAGACCTCATACGTACTTTGCTCGTGGACACCGCAATAAACAAGTCGTTAGCTCCTTCCCATCCCTTCGCCGGCCATAGAAGAAGTCTTGGCTGAGATGGGAAATCATTCTTCTCTTTAATTGAGCGTGCGCCTTTTTAAAAGCAGACGACGCACAAGAATGGATACGTCACCTCAGTGAAAACTCAATTGCAGCCCAGTTCACTTTAATTTCAGAGTCGAAAAGCCGAGATACAACAGTACTGCAGACTAGCCTATGTTTTGGAAGCAGCTTCAGATTCCTAAACTCGAACCATTCACTATGACGTCTCGGATATTTGGGATGCTGGACTGTAAGGAAGACAAAGTACGTCTCAAGGTTTGTCTTCGGATCCACGTACTTCTATTTGAAGTCGCACAGCATTTTAGCCAAACCATTCATTCTGTCTTTATGATCCCTGAATCCAAACCTCCGCTTCAGAGAACTCCAATCAACCGATCCTTTGCGCACCCAAATCCCGAGAAGCACGACTCCCCATCTCCAGAAGGTTTTCGATCTCCACCAGGCCATCGATCCTGACACAAAGAACTATCGAAATATGTCACACTTCCAAGAATATTTGGGGTGCAACTTTCTCTTGCGGATTCGAAGCAGGAACGGGATCGCAAAATGCATTATACATCGCAGAACACAGGTCGTTGCGGGAAGACATGAAGCTGCCATCTCGTCCTGATGTGCAACCACTGATTAATGTCGAGGTAACTTGGTGATTGATGCATGGCTGTCACGAGTGATGATCATAGACGGAATACAAACTAAACTCAGCCGTTTGAGATCTCCTCGCATTCGTCGACACAAGGGTCGACATTTAAACACCAGGTGTGAGGAGGGCACGAATACGCCACGAGGTACGCAAAATATGCACCTTAGTCCCTTCCATTGAATAAATCCATTTGCCGAGCAGACAGACGGCGAGGATTCGTGCTATTTTCCTTGTTTCTCACTTTCTGTACAAGTACGCTCCCTCCAAAAATTCACACTCAAAAATCTGCATTTCAGACTGTGAAAATGAGCTAAAACTCATGTATATTGACCATCATCATTGGGGAGCCACACGTCGCAGTTACTCCGCAACTGCAAATTCCTCAACCCTCCTCCGCACAGGTAACGCTGCATTCCACTTCAGATATTGACAGGCGCCTTAAAGATAGTGGTTGCGCAAGTGACTCAAGATCCGTCTTCCTCCCAGAGGCAACGCGAAGGAGTATCAAAGCCGGAGCGATCCCTATCAAAAATCGGTCAGAATGTCTCTTTTAAAATAACCCAATACTTACGGTAAGAGAAGCCAGAACGACTTGCGGATAGTTACTGTATGGACTATTCATCGCAAGGAATGGTATATAGATCGCCAGTACAACGGCATACAACGCAGCAGATTCTACGATGATCTTCATAACTCGGACCGAGACCTATTCGTGTTCGACTGGATTCGGGGCATACACGTCTTCGTTGAAGATCTTTGTAGGTTTAAGGTACGTAATCTATTCATACTTTTGGTCCTCGTGGGTTGATATCCTGTAACATAGGTTCTCTTCCTGCGAGCACCTACTATCCTTCATCTGCAGGAGTGTATGTATACGCATTCTGATTATCTGCATCGGGACTAATATTATTTGCACAGCCTGTCACTCTCCTCTGCGACCTCAGACCTATCGTACGACGTCTTCAACAATGCCGTATGGGCTTCAGAATGCTACATTTCGCATGCTACTTTCCGTTCATCATAACAGGCAATGATGGACTTGCTAGGAGCACCGAAGCCACGAAGAAGTACAAAGGGGAGACGCGCCGCAAGGAGAATGTATTTCGTTAGAGTGTAATCGCAGACTAGGGAGGGCTTCAAGAGTGGCACGTACTTCTGAGTGTTATTATCTCTGGTTGCTGATATCAAGACTGAGATCACGGTGTTCCGGATCATGCATCGCTGCAAATTCGGAACGGGATAACGAGCATTCCTCCCTTCGTAGCCATCCACTTGGTACATCACCTGATTCGAGTATGGTATAAAATTTTCCCTCTCTCTTGGCCAACTATTGTCCCTTATCTTTACACGTATAAAAAGGGAATAAGTTAAACTGGTCGGACTCGGTTCTGCCATCAAACCCTCGTCGATATAATATGAAACACAATGATTGTTCCATCGCCATATGTCGGGTGTATGACGGAAATGATTGATATCTGTTGCTGGAGATGTTCAATACAGATGTCACGGTAACAATGCAGCCGTAAACCGTACAAAAACTGTCGTTCCTATACGGACAATTTCTCCATGCCGATGAATATCGGTCGTGCGAATGTGAGCATGATTAGCTTCATCAAGGTCACATTTACTTACCACGATGCCATTATATGATCCCCTACCGCTCTTTCGACAACCATATGAATACAGCCCAACTTTAGAGTTGTTCATGGCACGGAATCACATCCGCATATGCCGTATGCATCCCTGATCAGAAATAGGCGCATTTGTTTGTTATATTCCACCGTTGCAATTATATTGGTATCTTTTTGGCACCATCCGTGTTTAGGACTTTGCTATGCAGTAAATGTCGCACACCCAGAACACGGTATGACAGAACCTTTCCATCTTTAACTCCCACCATGTTTTCCAGCACCCCATCCCGCTCTCGCTCTCGTCGCCACCCTGGAATCGAAGGGCAAAGCATGCTTAATGGACAACCAAGGTCGCGTTCTGGTCCCAGTAATTGGAATCAGTCTTCAAAACTATCCGCCATGCAATGGACGCCTACTACTACCTCACAATCTGAAGCCCAGCCCGAGCCACAATTTCAGCCTCAACGCCATCAATCTTCACATGTTATTTCCCAGGACATTGCAACCGGCGTGATTGGTAGTGGATACGGTCCTTATTCGGTGAATGTCCTTCTATTTTCATGGCCATTCTCTGATAACTGCTGCAGTACAGTCCCACCCTAGCCAAAGACGGTGGGATGTACACTACGTCACGTTTTTCTGCACCACCTGTCACCACGCCTCTAGTCCATCGGACCAGCAGAGTCGCCAATACCAGCACCGTGGCTACTACTAATATTGCCCCGGTGCGATATTTCTGGGACAAGGACCCGGACTTTGACGACATTATCCACAATCCTGACCCCATCGTGGATACTAGAATGGACCGCTCGTGTTCCCCTTTCTCCTTGCGTGGCTGGGAAAATGCAAGCACACTTGTAGTCATTCTTATGGGGCTAATCACTCTATTCATCGGTTTCCCCATCATCAAATATTACCAACGCACGCTCAATACTGTGTCTGGATTTAATCTTGGTGGAATCAATTCCACTGGACAGATACCGAAATTTCCAGGGCTCCCGAGCCTCATAGACACGGATACTCCCACGGATGCGTATTCGCGTACAGGGCACGATGGGAAAAAGTACAACTTGGTGTTCAGTGACGAGTTCAACACTGATGGACGGACGTTCTATCCGGGAGATGATCCGTATTGGGAGGCAGTTGACATGCATTATTGGCCTACAGGCGATCTTGAGTGGTATGATCCAAGTGTATGTCTCCTCTGCGTACTCAGTAATCCTGTTCTCACCTATTCTGTTGTTCTTTAGGCTGCAATTACACGAGATGGAAAGTTAGTGCTTACAATGACCGAAGAAAACATTCATGACCTCAATTTCAAGAGTGGTACGTTTACAGTTTAAATTTTGTGTTCTCAAAGACTACGTAATTAAAGAGTCAACAGCTATGATTACCTCATGGAACAAATTATGCTTCACTACTGGATATATCGAAGTTTCTATCAGTATGCCTGGTAGTCCACGGGCAGCGGGTTTATGGCCTGGTGAGATTACAGTGATTCTCATGTACTTGACGCCTTCCAACGACTTCTTCCAGGTGCATGGACTATGGGAAACTTGGTATGAATTCTTTGTACCTCTTCCAATGTACTGTTATAACTAGATCGCAGGGCCGTGCCGGCTATGGTGCTACTACGGAGGGAATGTGGCCGTACAGCTACGACTCCTGCGACCTTGGCACATTCCCAGGACAAACTACAGCATCAGGCGAACCAGCTGCTGCGAATACTGGTGGGAACGATGGCTCACCAATCAGCTCCCTCCCTGGACAACGCCTCTCTGCATGCACATGCGACGGATCCGACCACCCAGGACCCACTTCCAGCACAGGGCGCGGTGTCCCAGAAATCGATATCATCGAACACCGAATTGACACGACAATTTGGCAAGGCCAGGTTTCGCAAAGTTACCAGGTCGCGCCGTTCAATTACCATTATGATTTTGATAACTCGTCCAGTGTGACGACTATCTATGATGATAGAATAACTGAATTTAATTCGTATAAGGGTAGTAATCTGCAGCAGTCGGTGTCAACGCTGACATACATCGATGAGACACTCTATGGTGGAACTGGATATGGGGCATATGGATATGAGTGGTATTCAAATCCGGATAAACGCGATGAGGGGTATATCACTTGGTATAGTGACGGTGTAGAGTCATGGACAATCACTTCTGGCACCATCGGAGCTGATTCCACTGTAGAGATCAGCGAGCGGCTTATTCCAGAGGAGCCATTAGTGAGTACCATTCTTTTTTTTTTCTCAAAATCGTGCGGAACTGATATGTGTCGCTTGTAGTACATCATCCTCAACCTAGGAATATCATTATCTTTCCAGGCGCCGGATTACAAGCACTTGACCTTCCCGAGTTCGATGTATATCGACTACGTACGAGTGTATCAACGTTCTGGGACTGAAAATGGGTTGACATGTAACCCCCCAAGGAGACCTACAGCAGATTATATTATTGAGTATGTTCTCTGTTTTTTTGGTGCGGATAGTTTCCTCATCGTTTTGTGATAGTCACTCAGAAGCATACAACAATGCTAACTGGACGACGTGGGATGCGGCGGGGTACACGTTCCCTCGGAATTCCCTCTACGATGGATGTTAACAATCTGGTACACACTATGAGGACGGGGGAGATGTCTATGATCTACAATATTACCTCTATGATTCATTAACATTGCCTGCATGTACATGTTAGCCGATGTAGGAAAACAAGCCAGAAGTTTACCAGTGATGGATCGAGGGCGTAGTCGTACTCGCAGTTACATTCAGCTAAAGTCAAGGGAAATGGTGTAGTGTTATACACTTCCCCTTCCACCCGCAAGCGCTTTTAGATGTAGATATGCAATAGATGCTTATTTACCAGAACATAAATTCCCTTTGTCAGGCGTGTATTCCCAATTTGCTTTGCCTACTTGAAATGGTGAGCGTCTCTATGAAGGTGCGATACTTGGTCCTGAGACAAGCACATAGACCACGTTAGGAATGAAGGAATACGAGTATATCGGCCGAAGGCCAGTCGTGGGCTATGGAAGAAATGCCTATTGTGGACTCAAATCCTCGCCTTCTGTGGCTTATGACATTTATACAGCGTCAACATCAGGATCATGGCGATGCTTGATTTCGTGTCGGAATAGCATCTTGTTCTCTTTACCCGCTTTCAGTACTTGAGGTGAGTCTAAACCATGCTCGACGATATCTTCTTCAACAGAATCATCATCATGGCTTTATCACTGAGAAACCTTGTGCCTGCCTGCCTGGTCAACTATGACGATACCGTCATTTGAGTTGATCATCCCTCTGTTCCATCCCTCATGATATTTAACCAACAACCCTTATTACTATGCCTCCCAGAAATCGGAAACTTCTGTATTAAAGAGGGGAAAGGAGGGAGGTCTCATATATATGCATCTCGACGTCGCTCTAGGATACATAACGCTCTCAGCGGCTTCCCATCTTCTTACACCTATGCTTCAGCGTTTCTGGAGGAAATGGAAAGTCACTTCATTGAATCTCATTGAGACTTTATCATATAGGCTAATGTAAACTCTCTTTAGTACGGCCTCCCCTCCTCCTACCGCTCAACGCTGACACAGGTGTTGTGTTCTCCTCCTTCACCTCGTAATCCCAGCCACAACTCAAGTCACGACCAAACCATCCATTCGTCCTTGGCCGAAAATGCGGGATATCCCCATCTAGGAGGAAATTACACGCCACGATCGCCTGAGGAATAAACGATTGTTTCCTGACGAGCTGTAACGGAAAATGTCCCCAATGTTTATAGAACAATGGCATTCACTATCTGTGGTGCATACTTCCTGCCTCCCACCAATTATCTCCCTTGATTTACTCTCTGGCGAGTTCCGGTCCTCATGGGACGAAAACTCGCTTGAGCCAGCATGCGGTAATTCATCTGTCGCAGTTGTATACCCAGAAATTGATTGCGTCTAGACCGTGCCGAGGAGATTACCTTGTAACAACTGGGAGAGTGGACGATACTGGGTATGTAGGTAGTGTGTATGGGGTTTCCCCCCATACTTTAGGGTAGAGTCTGGTCAGGATTCACGGAGAATGACTATTTTCGGGTGGGGTAAACCGGAGGATCAGGTGCATTGAAAATAGGGGAGATTTATTTTGTATTCACCAGAGAAGGTGTGAACAATATATGTCGAGCCTTCGACGACTTACAGTGAACGAATGACTAACTCCGCTCCAATACCCGAGATGAAAGGCAGTAGAAATGGATAATACACCACGGTTCAAAGAAAATACATCAGAAAGCCAGTACCTGGAGTTTAGAGGTAAATGACGCACTAAGAGGTTCACGGAAACCTGAAAGGAAACGGTATCAGAAGGAAAGGGTGCCAGGTCGCTGCTCTCGTTTGCAACCATCACGAAGGAAGGATAATACAATTGCAAGAAGGAAGGTATGCCAATGCCACAGTTTACGAGAGCAAATAGGAAAGGGACCATAAGCATAATCGTGAAACAAGATAGCGTGCTTGTTGATTGGGAATACAATCTGGGGAATAAGGTGAGACAAGGAATGGAAGATTGCCTCCAATTCGGAGAATCGATATGTAGAACGTCCTGTGAGATTGGTTAGTGGGTCCGAAGGACTGACATTCTTTACTGTAACGGTTGGTATCTGTGGTTTCAAGTAAATGCCCACAATTGTATAGCCGTGAACCATCAAGACCGATGCAGAAAGGAATAAAATAGGTCGCACCCTTCATTGGACTTAACACAGAATATGAGGTGAGCGAAGAAGCAGATAGGTGGAAGTTATAGCAAAAATGTACGTACCTTGCCTATTCCTACTCCAAGGCATCGAGGAACTAACGAGAACCCGAACACCAGAAAAGAAAGTTCAAAACAAAGATTATTTCACTGAGTCGAAATCCGAATGGGTTTGAACATGTAAAACATGAGACCTGGGGGATACATTAAAGGGAAAAAATGACAAGGAAAGTCGAAGGCTACCACGGACTGTGCTCAAGAAAAGAGGGTACAACAATATGAGATAGGTCATTGAATATGTGTTCGACAGCGCTGTGTAGCAACGAGCACTTCTTCGGCGCTGTTTACTGTCATAGAACCTTGCATTGTATTAGTGCGAAAAGACTCATTGAACAAGACACAACGCCCTTCAACAGCACGATTGAAAATCGGTGCTAAATAATATTTGCACATCTTACGACGGAGGAAGCCAGAAAACGAAGATAAAGTACCCAAATTACGGTCCGCTAGATTATTCAACAACTGGGATATTAGCCTAACACAGAACTGAGCCATAGTCTCGATTCCAGACGTGTAAATCCTAAATTGAGCCTGCCGAGTCTGTAGGAACAGTCGAAGAATTTCAGCGTCGCTTCCGTGAAAAACAGACCCCAGCAAAGTAAGCCATAGAAAACATTTGCTAGTATAAAGCCTGAAGCTAGAACCGAAAATGCATCAGAACGCTATATTGGCGAGCAATATTTTGACCTATCTTTGCATGAGTGGACGTGTGTGTTCCTTTGCTAAGTAATGTGCCATACTTATTTGCAAATTGCCTGATCAAAGGTACCTAACAGTGTTTCGGACCGCTGTTCCGGAACACCGGGTTTTTTGGCATAGACGTTGAGAGCAGTCCGAGCACACGAGGACAGCGCTCATAAGGTGCTGACTAAGCGGCGAGAGATCGTTTCACATCTTCCTCTCGCAGTCAGCACCGCCAATCTTCCAATTCGTTACGACGAAGTCTTGCGACTTGTTCTCTTATTCTACAGCTGCTAATACATCTCTCTATTGCCCATAAATGTCACAATCAGCCACCGGTGCTCCTGTGAACCCAGGGTCAGGTCCAATTGGCGCGATTAACCCAAAGTCTCTGCCGAAAAGTTCTGAGGATATTGCCCTCGATAAGCTACGGGCGAAGATGAGCAAGGAGGTGGCTATGAGAAACATGAAAAGAGCAGATAGACGAAAGGAATTGACGGCGCAGGGGAAGGATCCCAAGGATGTCTCAGACGTAGTGATTTACAGGGCCCAGCCTGGCCCGGCTTTGAGGGCTCAGGCCTGGCTTTGGCAGGCTCAGGCTCAGGCCCGGCTCGGGCTCAGGCCTGGGCTTTGTACCCAACAAGAAGCAAGGGTTTTTTGGGTGCTGGTTTGGGTGAAAGTCTCTGAAAGAAACGGTTGTTAGTATACATAGAGGATGTATCAACTGAATACTTGATATAGCACATGTCTAGAACGAAAAAATGAGTCGAAGATATATTACTTGATGTGTTGTACAGTTGTTGAAGTACCGCGACAGTGCTAGTGTCATCTTGATTATGTTAATATGAGAAGGTAAGAAGCATGGGCAAATCCTCGAGCATTGATCAGGGAGTGATCGCCTGTTATCCCTCTCACATATCTGTGCCGAGACCATGATAATTTAGATCTGAGAAGCCTGGCCTCAGGCCTCAGGCTCAGGCTTTCAGATAATGAAGCCTGAGCCCGAGCCCTCACCAAGCCCACCCCCAGGGCCCAGCTTTTCAGGGCCTGGCCCGGCTCAGCCCGGCTCGGCTTAGGGCTTCAGGCCGGGCCCTGTAAATCACTACTCAGATGATGAAAAGGATGAGTCTGACGTTCTCATTCACACCGTGCATAAGGCAGTAGAAGCCAAAGTGGCATCGGTGTCTCCGGTGAAGACTGCTGCCACTATTGCTTCATCTACCACCACTGCAACATCCATGGACGCCACACTTTCGATGTTTTTCTCTGATGCCATGACAGAGAAGAACAAGATGGCCTATAATCCTAATGACATTGCCTTCCACGAGGATTACAAGGCACTTTTGGTTCACAAGATTTCAATTCCTTTGTCCATGTTTCACCCGTCCTATTTACACGTGTTGCAGTACTCCAACGACTCTCTCCCTCGGATCAAGATTACTCAAACTGGATCAGACGGTACCAGCAAGAACTTCAGTGTCCTCGACATATCCAAAGCACCAGCTGAAGCCGACTTAAACAGAGCTGACTTCCTTGTGTGCTACAACAATCTTCTCGAGTTTTTCACTGATATAGGCTGTGGACCACGAACTCTTCAAGGCCTTAATGAACATCTGCACACAATGTTAACTGATCCCAATTTTGCTATGTGGTTTGAGGCATACAAGTCTTTTGACCGAGATTTCCGGGCGAAGTTCTTCAAGGATCCCTTCATACCTGATCCTTCTGCGAAGTCTTGGTCAGATGGAGTGCAGGCTGCGAAGGACAATTACCTCCTCAGACAACGGGAAACTCAAGTTGCAGGAAATGGAGGCCAGGACAGACGAGGTAAAGGGAATGGAGGGTATACAAACAAGCGGTTTAGTCCTTACGATATGACTCAACGGGACAATGCTAGTCGCTCTAGTTCCTTTCGGCCCTTATGCCTTAGATGTGGCCTCATTGGACATCATGCGGACTCCTGCATGGCGGCAACGCCTAGTAAAAGCGGACGGTCCTTTCTTGTCGAGTGGAGGGACAATTCACTCCTCCAAATCTCAGATCACAAGCTTGTCTGTGTCCGTTTCAACCTCACAGTCTGCAGAATCGAGCCTTCCATCAACCACGGTATCCATATGTGCTCCTTGTGTGCCGACACTCACCATGGAGCGACAAAATGCACTCGTAACTGAGGCATATAAAGTCATCACCCCATACAAACCTTCGGGATGGCAACACGCCCTTCAAAAGTATAATCTATTGGACAAGTATCCGAATCTAGTCTTTGATATTACTTATGGTTCCCCCATTGGTAACCCTCCTCCTCTCACTTCTACTTTTCTACCCCCGAATATGCCTTCAGCTGAAGCTAATCCCGAAATCATTGAAAATTACTTACAAGATGAAATTGCAGCTGGACAAATGGGAGAAGGATTGAGTGTTGAAAAAGCTCACGTGTTCTTTGGAGGTCATTTCTGTACAGCGCCAATGGGTGTTGTGTTTGACCAGCAAAAGCCACGGATCATCCATAATCTATCTGCTCAGGATCCTGAAGGTTCTTCTACGAATTCCTGGCTCGATGCAAAAGACTGGCCGACATGTTGGTATACGGCAAGCATGTATGAAGAAGCGGTGAGTGTCTGACTTATACTGACTGGATCTGGTGGAATGGATATGCATGGAAGTGCTCACATGCGACCCGCGTGTTCTGGTGGCATGGCTCATGCCTGGTGAGGGTTGGCATCCCCTCTCTTTTGGAATGGATATGTGCTGGAGCGCTCACATGCAACCCGTGTGTTCTGGTGGCATGGCTCATGCCGTATGAGGGTCGGCATTCCCTTGTTAGTCACACTTGGATATTGTGGCTTTATTGGTTCATGGAGCACATGCTTCTGCTCATGGCTATTCCTGATGCTCGTTCTGAACTGCCTTTCTTCAGGTTGTTTGAGCACCTCCAGGTACCCAGGCAGTGGCCTTGGATTGGGTTAAGGCATATCGCTGCTCACCCATTATCTTCAAGCATAAAAGGTACATTGCCTCCTTGTGGAAAGGACATGTATTACCAAATCACTGTGTGCCATTTGGTATGACTAGTTCTGGTGGTATCCAAGGTGGCATTGCTGACGCTTTTAATGATATTCTTAACGCAGCAGGTATACCCGGTGTCTTCAAGTGGGTCGATGACCATAACATACTTCGATATCCCACAGCTCAACACACTCTTGAAAATGGTGACTCTCAGTATTCATACAATTTTGATCTTCAAACCATCCTGGATATTTCACAACCTCTCGGCATATTGTGGCATGACGTCTCTGTCAAGGGACATGATTTTCAGTATGTTACACCTTATGTTGGCTTTATGTGGGATATTGTGGAGAAAAGAGTATGTCTGCCTGAGAAGAAGCGGGAGAAGTATCTGAAGAAAGTGTCTGACTTCTTGCTCCGACGGCCCTCCATGGTGAGATATAAAGAAGCGAGCTCATTGCATGGCACTCTCCAACATGTGTGCTTCATATGCAAAGCAGGGAAAGCTTACCTGCCTGCACTCTCCGCTTTTGTAGCTCACTTCCCCAACAAGTGGGTGGCTCACCACCCTTCGAAGACTGTATGGGCCGACCTCGAATGGTGGAAAGATTCCCTTTCCCTTTCCCAACCTCCCTTGAGCCGATCTCTCATGACAAGACAGCGCATAGATCTCGACATTTGGGTGGATGCATCTTATTGGGGCATTGGTCTTATTGTCGGGAATCAGTGGGTGGCATGGAAGTTCAAAGACGGCTGGCATGCCGATGGCCAAGATATAGGCTGGGCGGAATCCATCGCTGTTGAACTAGCTGCACTTCACGCAACATCATTCACTTCAGTCGTCAATGCGGATTTCCCCTTGAACAGCGACAACACAAGCATTATAGATATGCACAAAATTGGACGCTCGCATAACGTTCATAGGAATGCATCCCTTCGCCGACTTTCACTCCTTCCAGCTCCCAGAAATTTAATGCTATCTCCTTCCTATGTTGAGTCTGCAGTTAATCTTGCGGATCCCATTTCTCACGGCAAACTTGGGCCTCAAGAACACAGACTTGATATCAATTTCCTCTTACCAGAGGAACTCGCACCTTGGCTTGACCATGTTTAGGATTCCTTTACCACGCAGATCTGCATGTGCAGATCCGGAGCCCACAGGTTCTCTTCAGGTGCCTCCTGATGACATGCCGCAACCTACAGGTTCTTCTCGCCACTCTCAGCTTTCATACATTTCTTGTCAAGCCCATTATTCTCATTATCATCATAACATATCTGTCCCATATCCAATGGATTCCTCTCCTTTGTCTAAACCTTGTCTGAGTCGACGACCTCGAGTTCATGCTACATCAAAGATCAAACCGTCCCATTTCTGCCCACTTGTTCTTGCAGATGAGCGAGTAACGACTTGGCGATCTCCATATTCCGACGTTGTGGATAAGAAGCTGTCAGCTTTGGTTCCTATGCATGTGCTGGAAAGATGGCGGTTAGTCATGGCTAATTCGGTGACCGAAGATGCCCGGAAAAATTATGGTGCTGGCTTGTTGAGATTCACTCAATTTTGTGACACTTATTCTGTGCCTGAATCGTTGCATGTTCCGGCCAGTGAACCACTTTTGGCCTTATTCATTTCAGAGATGGGTGCAGGCAAAGTTCAGTCATCCACCATTGATTCATGGTTATCAGGTCTGGCTTTATGGTGACTGTCATATATCATATCATAGGGCCTCCTAACTGATACAGATTGTAAAGGCATGACATCCAAGGAGCATACTGGTATGGCGGTAGAATTTTATCCTGCACAAAACAAGGTGCAGCAGCAATGGCACTGCCATCTACTAAACCCCCTCGCCTGCCGGTAACTGAGAAGCATATTGCTTCTCTACGGTCTCACTTGGATATCAACAACCCCCTCAACACTGCCATATGGGCTGTTGCCACTATTGCGTGGCATGGTTGTACCCGTCTGGGAGAGCTTCTTCCTTCACGATCGAAGCCGTTCAGTATGTCTCATAATGTCTATTGCTCCTGCCCACGGAAATCAGGAACTGCTTCCAACGGCCACAAGTGGATGAATCTGTTTGTACCTTGCACCAAAACCAGGAAATTTCGGGGTGACTGGATTTCGCTAACTTCGACTAATGATGATTTTGATCCCATCCATGCTTTACAGAATCATCTGAGCATCAATGATGATTTGCCTCCTGATGCCCCACTTTTTGCATATTCTCTCAGCTTATCCGCTTGGGAAAAGTTGTCAAAGGAGTCCTTTCTCACTCGTTGCTCACAAATTTGGGCCCTTGATGACCTTGATGCAGCCAGTGGTCATAGTTTTCGCATTGGAGGAACCACATACCTTTTACTACTCGGAGTAGATCCCTGGATTGTGATGAAACAGGGAAGATGGTCTTCCAAGGCGTTTCTCTTATATTGGCGCAAAGTCGAGGAAATCCTTCCTCTTTTCATAGGTGATGCTATGGATAAGTTTACGTCCATTAAAGTTGCCGTATCTCGTCTCGGTTCTCTGTAATGTTTCATGTAATAATATTTCCATTGTTACCAACCTTATAATTTGGGGGAGGGGAGTCGGATTCCAGAGGCATCCGCCTGTACTCTCAGTTTTCGAGTTGGTTTGGGGAGTGCGTCTTCCTCTGGAATCTCACTCATGAGACAAATAAGTGCACCCAAGTAACAGGTGCTCTTATTTCCTCTCCCTCCCAAAAACTGGTTAGGCGGAAGCAGGTTAGGCAGCTGACACGTTTTCGGCTCTCCATCTCGACACCTTCCTTCCTCTCGCTTCTGCCATACATTGCGTTCGATCTCTCCTCCCCAACTGCTTCGTTTCCTTGCAACCTTAGAGTCTGTTACGATGTTAGAGGTTGACTTCAAGGGTGAAGACCTGTTATGTAGTATGTACATACACGTTCCCTTGGGTACAATCTATTTTTAATTCATTTCTCATTAGCTAATCTCTTCTCTTGCATGTAGATTTTCCTCCTACGAACGCCCACCCTCCTCTCTCTGCTTCCTTCGACAGCCTACATCAGCCTCATGAATTTTCGCTGAGACGTTCCAGCTAGTGAGTTGGAGGGACGGGCCTGCTGATGAGAGTCAGGGACGGTCATGATAGAATCATTTGGGGAGAAGACCAACATACTCCGCAACCACATCCACTCTAAAACTGTGCCTGCATACATCCTCGTCATCACTACTTGCTATGCGCCAATACGCTGCTAGGACATGTCGGAACACGGAAATGACTTTGAACCTTTCTTTTCCGTGGTACTCGCTGAAAACATCTTTTACCACTGGAGCTGGTATCAATATCGACCAAACCTTTGCAACCAGCATCAGTGCTGGATCTGTGGTCGGTGTAGTGTAGATTAGTGCTGAGTTGGAGGACACGGGAGAATCTTTGTACGTCTCCGTGTTCTGACTATCAGCATCGACCACTAATCTTATGCATACAGTATGGTACCCCGGTCCTCAAGGACATTGTATGTGCTCCAGCCTGATACATCTTGCTCACTAATGTGTCTTTCTTGCAACAAGTGAGGATGGACCCATTAGGAGCATTGATAATGAGTATAACGGAGGGGCGACTCGCAGAGAGAATCTGTTTTGCTGGGGTGCTACAGGCTGGGGAGGGTCTTGAGGGGTATGCAGATTGGAGTGAAGTTCTCGCCTTTTGTGGCTGATATCAAGATCTGGAATTCAGTCACCAAAGTTGGTGTTACATTCAACATTGCAACTTCTATATCGATCTTTCCATGGAGGAATGTTACCAGGTAAGTTGTCCGAATCCTCTCTATGCATCTTTGGCTAACTGCTCCTTCAGTCCATTAACCTCGGTTTCCGCTGTCAATCACAGTGCAGACAGTACATATCCAACCCTGCACAGCCACAAGTCAACCCAGGCATCGTGAAACTCGGCACATCTGGCGTCTTCCTCATTACCAGCGCCGTAAAATGCTCTAGCAGAGCTACCATCCTCTCCTTCGCCGAATACATCCTCTGCTGGTTCTTGTCCTCTTGATTGGAAAGTAATTGCTGAAAACCCCAATCTCATCATACCTACCGACATCAGCATCAAGGAATCCTGCACAAACCTCATGTTAACTGCCGTACACCCTTCCGAACGATGTCAACGGTGTCAGTCAAATGAGTACATTTTGTGCAGACGATGAGAACCAACACAAGATTCTCCTCTATACCTACCAAGGACTGACTCATATGGGAGCGGATTAAGGTCGTGGAGAAACGCGAATGACTCATCACGCCAGTCGCCTTTCCCAAATGCCCTGAGCAACGCACGAGCTTCGTAGTACTGGCTGCGATAATCATTGCCCTACCTGACGTAGGAGGCACATATATGCACATGAAATACGCGATTAGCAGCTTAACCAAAGCTGCAGATACGTGTCCTTATATTTCCTCCCTTCCATTTCCTGATAATCCCTTCTTTCCCACCAGCTTAAGACCACTCCTCACATCAATACCATCCTCCCCGGTGTTGCGACTGCAGCCTATTTACGCGTGTAATTTTGCAATCTAGAGTGTTTTACATGCATACTGAGAGATAGTGAGTGAGCAGACTAAAACTATGCGTCGACACTAATGCTACGCGGTGCAATGACATGGAATATAACTTATGGCATAAGAAGCAACGGGATTCTAAACAGGACTTAGTCACAGCACTGTACCTGACGGGCATGCGTGATGAGAAGGCCAAACCCTATACCCAATGCCTTAGGCTCTAACTTACAAGCACACTCGCGGGAGCTAGATAAAACCTTGAAGATTGCACTGACACTGAGAACACTTAGCGCGCTCGCTAACTGTGACACGCCGTACCTGAAAATCCGGGGAAATCCTTAAGCGAGCTGACAGATATCACCGGCACGAGCTTGGGCAATGGGCTTCGGCCGAAGTCCACGAGCCCGCGTTCCATTGTTCTGAGTCCCATTGTTCGAAGACTCACTTGTTGCCATGTCTACGAGAAGCCTCTGTGAATCCAAGAAAGAAGTCCTGAACGACACACGCCAGAACTGATAGTTCTGTGCGCCTAGACCTGTCAGTCGCTAGAGAACAAGCCTGTGGGTGTCGGGAGAGCACCTCTTGGCACGCATTTAGCGAGCTCACTATAGAAATGAGACTAAAACTGGGAAGTCCGACTCGGATGCTCAGTAAGGCGGCGGTGGCAACGTGCTACGCATGTAGGAGTCTGGGTACTGCGCGACGTTTGTAATTCTAATTCCCCTGTAGTATAAGTAGGCTGGTTACAGTAGGTAGAGGCCAAGTTTCGAGCCCCTGAGTTCCCGTGCACGCGTTGAAGGTGGTACTGTAACAAAGGATCAGTTTGTGACTTCGAGCTGTGCATAGAATTAGTGAGCTCACTCAGAGAAATACAAGATACCCTTTTGATAAGACTTTTGAGAACTTAGTCAGAGTGAATACGAATCAGTGACGCTGTTTCTGTTCTGTTGAGTGTGATAAGTCTGTTCGGAGAATGTTTTGAAGTGGAAATCTGAGATTTGTTCTGTTCTGTTCTGTTCTGTTCTGTTTCAGTCTGTTCCATGTCAGTTCTGTCGAAGTTCCATTTCTGAATCTGTTTTCCGAGCGCTTCTGAAGTGTTCTTGAGTCGAGATAACCTGCTGGAGTTAGTTGGAGAACCCTTACATACAGTTGTGTAGCGAGCAGGCTAAGTCAGTGCTTGCCTGTGGTGTTCTTTTAGCGAGCTCACTAAAGTTTCGGCATGTATTACCTCTGTTTCTGTTGGGATCAGTGTCCCTTGTGTATTATAACTCAAATCTGCCTTGAAGGTCGCGTCGTGCCAGTGAACGACCTTCCTGTAAAAAGTTCCTAGACTTAGGAAGTCATTAGAGAAAGCTTAGCTTCGCTAAGAGCGCTGAGAATAAGAGAAACTCTTTGAGATATTGAAGTATAGTTGGATTGCATTAGAAATAATCGCTCCCCCTAGAACTTACGAGGGTGATTGTAGTTTGTGTAGTTGTGTGAGTGTGTGTGTGGGTTTTTGAGGTTCGCCCTTTAGCCCGCTCACTATTCCACAGGTGCCCACAGCCAGCCTCTTCACCGGGTACGTCCATGCTGAACTCATCCCACCCCCACATGCGAGGTTATTGTCGACGAGTACAGGCAGGCAAGATTGTGTACCTCATTGTCTCGCAGAGGAATGGGTTTGTTACAGGGATATCCCGAGACTCAAGTACTTGGCGAGCACGGAAGATGTGAATCTTTGGACTTCCTTGAAGGTGCTTTATATCTGTCAGATGTCGTACGTGACTAACCTAGGGGAGGTTTCACTGACATCAGTCCTTTGGAGAACATATATACAGTGCTGATTCGAAGGCATGTGAAGTTTCCCCACCTTGATCTCAGCTTGACATGTCATCATCTGTAGGATGGTACCGTCACTAAGAATGAGGCCGTGCCAAATATCTACTCGGCTGTATCCCTGGTAAACCACTGTCACGGAATGAGGGTGTGTTATCAGCATTCACTTGGGGCCTGGCAGGGTCTAATCAGCTATCAGATCTTAAGAATCTATCGTACATGATGGAATCAGCGGGGAAAAAACATCTAACAGTGCTCCTGAAGCAAGGCCCCCGGATGTTAGTTCCTTGCGCTGGGCTATAAGGCGACCTTGTGTAGGTGACTAGACAGCTCACACAAAAGGAAATTGGGTGAGATTTGTGGTGTACAGAAAGCAGGATAGCCGGAAGGATAGGACAGCAGGGTCATAATCAAGCTACAGAGTCGAAATAGAACATGATTTCTTTGTGAGGTATGGCTATATCTATTGGGTCAGTTTCTCCATCAGTCTCCCACAACATTGGCAGAAAATGAAGGGGATGTACTCACATGATGTCCAGCTTGCCAAATTCCTTCAACAGGTTTTGTGCGCATACCTTCAGTGCATGCTTCTCAGTTGAAAGCACAACGCTCGCTCTCAGGTCCCATGAAGATAAACAGAAATCTCTTCCTCTTCTCGTTGTCTTCATTTGATTATCAATATTCATTTGAGTTACAGCCTGGAAGTCCTCAGATGTGATATCGAAGAAAAGCTTCTTCATGTGGTGTCCCTGCTTGTATATCACACCAAGAGAAGCTGTTCGTGAAGTAGACTGCGATTTCAATACATGCAGGGATGTTGGTGACCGGCAGAGTTACCTAACCCTAAATCCTACGTCCATTACGAAGGTCGAGCACACGATCCCGGCTTCAATAAGAATTGCATCCAGGCTTTCAAGTTCGACCAAGGAGTAGACAAAAGAAAAACCAGTATTGTATGGATAACACATCTTCGTTCCAAGAACACCTTCCTCTGAAATACGGTTCATCATCTTAGCAATCGCAAGCTCCTCACCCATTTCAAATAACACCTCAATAGTCATCTCTCTTCCATACACCGACATGATGTTCATGTTCCGAATGAGAATGATATCATGCAGTGGATCCTTTTGATTAGATATCTCGAGGAAATGGGTAATAACCCTGATCGCATTTCAGAGAGCGAAACGACGGCTATCACACCTGTATCCGCTATACCAATGGACCCTCATCTGCAGAACATGACCCAGGTTTATCACCAAAACGTGCGACGACCACTCCTTCTCCTCCTCCCTCCCTGTCTCTCGCATCAACAATGCACCTCAACCCCCCCTCCCCCTCCCTCATCACCAAGACTGCTCCCACTCAGAGTTCAGAGTCATTCGTTACCAGACTGACCCAAGTTCGATCCATATCCGAGCATTCCTTCGCTTATGAATAATCAGAGGCAATTTTTGCGGACCCGACAGAGATGCCCCCAGTGTAGAAGAACAGATGCCCGACATGCAGGCGGAAAATGTCTTTACAGGGAACATAATCCAGCGAATTATCGTGGTATCATGCTCCTGGATGATAAAGGCCTCATGAGGAATGCACCCAGACACATCACCTTTCAGAGGGCAAGACATCAATATTCGAGTACTCAGAAGATTCTCAAGATAGTAGAAGGGGAAAGTACAAGAGGAGGTAATCAGATTTCTGTGTCTTAGCTGGGCATGGTGAATTTCGCGTTTACCTGATGCGTTAGTGCGTTCGCTGCATTTGCATTAAATCCATTTGTGTGTGCGTTATTCTGAGTCCTATGAATATAGGTAATCGGTCATTATGCAGTTAGGAAAGGCCCATGGGAAAATCTATTTGTGAAATCTATTGGTCTCAGTGATTGCCGGCCATCTCCCTCTGTCTGTCCTGAGTCCTCGCATGGGAAATTTCTATTTGTGTGCAGCATTTGCCGACCATCCATATCCCGGGTCTGGGTTCATTCCATGGGATTTTTTCTATTTGTGCATGCTGTTTGCCGGGTCCTGCTGGTTTTTATTTTTTTATTTGGCCCCATCTCCTCCTGCATCTGGCGTTGTAAGCCGTACATTACAATCCTTCAGTTCGTCGTGATGGTATAAAATAGAATGGTGCAAGCACCTTCATTGGCTATGACACAGTAGGACGATGGCTATAGGGCAACGTTTGAATACTGGTGCGTGGCCTATTTCTTACCTCTTTCCCTGCTAACGTGCCATCCGATATGCTAGGATTTGGCTCGTTGCACATAAACGAGGCTGCTGGATGGGATGGACAAGGCCTTGCTGAGACTTCAAGGACATTTGAAGACGGTGGCAATATAGTCATTGGTAAGTATTCGTTTCTTCTATTTCTTGTTCTTTAGACTCACTTGCCTTGTTGTGTAGTTCATTTACTCAGTTTATTCTATCAACCATGGTAGCTATAGGTGCAAGCTATGCCTCTCGATAGTCCCAACACAACGAAAACACCTTACACAGTGAAGTTGCAGGTAGCAGATGTGCAGTACCATGTTTCTGAGCTCAACACGTTGTTTGCTAACAAGCCCTTCATTGATGTAGCCTTTTTCCATGCACGAGTGTGCTCCTCAACTGTCACATGAATATGCATCACGAAGTGGATGGGATGCCGATGGATGGGGTACATATACACAGTGAGTTCTTATCCTTCCTCATGTCTCCCATGTTCCTGATGTCCTGCCAGTGTGATATTTATGTTGCACCCTCGCCTGTACATGATGGCAGGCTTGACAACTAGTTCTTGAGCATATCAGAGGTAAGGTAAGGTTTTGCTTTGCTAGCGACTTGGTAACCAATCCTTAATCTAGTTTCAATTTTGCGCTTGGGATCCTTTCTCGGTTCCTGACTCACCCTCGGGCCTCCAGTCATTCAAATGAACCGGAACCGCAAGTTAACAACACGGATACAGGCCTTTACGTGGGCTGAGTGAACGAAGAAGCAAGAATCGCCTCTGCTAGGTCTGTTTCTGCTTCTTTTTCCTTTCTGTGCGCTAACATGGTATCTACTACTAGGCTGTTATATCATGTAACACGACGACTGCTTTTCATTAAAGAATCCTATGGGTTGGGGTGGATGTACCAGTGCCTCGTTGGCATGCCATTCATAGACGGCGAATGGTAGTATATTCATAGTAAGGATTCCCTGTCTTGTTTCACCTTCGTTTGACTAGTTTTTGCTCAGAATATACACTGCATATATGTACTAGGGTACACGCCATTATCTTTCAACTTAACTGGAATACTAACCCCTTGTTCTAGCATTGAAAATGATGTATATTCTTGCTTGTTAATTCAGGGTAAGTGACTGTATTTGCAGGCATTAACAGGAAGCTAATACTCTGATTACTAATTAGATGTCTGACCTGCCAAGTCAAGGAGACAGTGTTATTAATGGCCAGTCTTTGAAGTGTTACTTGATGTTGTGAATCAATCCTCGCACATCCCTTGGCATGCACATTGGTGAGTACCTTCTTCAGTTTAGCCAACGAGAGACTAATGATAGCGTAGATTGAGCTATGTGACAGGGAATTTCTGAATACGTTCATTTTTGGTAGGGGGACAAGTGCAGAAGCTGTGCTGATGAAATGGTGCACAGGATTGTGTCAATTTTCCACTGTTGAGTACTCATGCCAGAACAGTCACAACATTGTACAGTCGACCAAGGATTGTTGCGTGATTGAACCAGGTATGTCTGCATGGCAGACTCTGCAGCAGTTCATAGACAAATGTAAGGCTAGACCCATTGTGTGAGCTATGACATCCTGCACATCCTGCCAAGCCTATGTTGTGAAACGTCACAGGTACCTGTATGCACCTCCATTGTTGGGCGTCATGGTCGCTTTCACTCATACTCCACCTGACATCGCCATTCAGATTGAGGTAAACAGCACAGCAGTTGAGTATCAACTAGCCGGAGTAGTGTATTACAGTGGCCATCACTTTACCGCTTGTTTCATCGACGGCGATGGTAACGTTTGGTTCAATGACAGTATAGTACATGGGAGAGTGGCGCACAGAGAAGGAATGTCAGCTACAAAACTTATTAGTCCACTGTTGTTCTTAGGGTTTTATTTTTGAGACAAAAAAACATAGGACTCGGACCTGCCACATGGATGCATTGGCCCTCACCAACTAGTTGTGAATGCATTGGAAAAAATGCATTAATGTGTTTGATGTGTGTGCGTGCGTGACAGACATGCGTTTTCGTGTTTCTTGTCATTTTGTTTTATGTGCGTGGCACGGCCTATATTTTGCCAGCTGTGGCCTATCAGCCCCAGTGAGAATTCCGAGTCCTATGAATATAGGTTTCTTCAGTCTTTATACCATCCTGGGATCCGATTTTTGATTGTCCAACATGGTGTTTGCCGCTGCATTCTACCTGACCTCTTTGTGGGAATTTTTTGTATTGTCCATCATTTTCCTGTGACTTTGCTTCCTTTTTGGAATCCAGTCTTTTACATTCTCTCTGACTTATGATACTATGGGTTTGCGATGGGCGATTTTGTGTTTTTTGGTGCTTTCTACGGAGCAGTTTTAATGGTTTGCAGAATAAAAACCCTATTGCTTGAGTGATGCATGTAAATTGAGAGATATGTTGAATTTGTCTTTACATATTGTGTCATTTTCAACGTCCTCTCTGCTGTCCTTCAGCTAATTGCAGCGGGAGCTCGTTTTCTTGTCGGCAAGTGGTGGCCAGCAATGTCAGACTTATAATTTGACTTTGACATATGCTATGATGCAATGTGGCATATAGCGATTTTTTTGACACTTGCACCTCGGCCACCTTCCGACACTTGGTCTACTCAACGGAATCCCCAAGGATATTTCTCTTAGTGTTGGAAGATTTTTTTGGACATAAATTTGATTTTTTTTTTTATGAAACGGAGCACAGGCTAAAGCTACGGAAAATCTTTATTGAAAATAAGGAATCAAACTCCGTACATGATCGACCAGTATTTGACATCGACCCAGCAATATCCTTCTAGGATAATATGCAGAGAATGCGAAGGTCCCACCCATAAAACAGAGCAGTACAACTCGTGTTCCAAACTTCTTCCAGTTTACATTGAAGGTATAGATACTGAGCCAGACCAGACATTCTCGATGCAAGTAGCAGGCAAATCTGCTGGGTACTGCTTGACAGGGGTGATATACTATGGTACAGCACACTTTACAGCTAGATATGTGGACAGAACAGGGACCATGTGGTTCAACGATGGATACATCAACAGTAGAACTTCTAATAAAGAAGGCGATATCACAGACTTGGATATGAAAATGTCTACCGATGGGAGAAAACCTGTACTGGCTGTATACAGGTGGACTTGAGCACAGGGTATTACACGTCCAATAAGTTATGATGGATCAAGAAGGGCGCAGGTAAGGAAAATATTCTAACTATGGACCTTGTCTCTCTTCTGATATCATGCAACATATTACGGATAAATAGAGCGGACGGAGAGCATAGGACTCAGATTCTGCCACTCAGATGTAATGGCCATCAAATGCTAGTTGCCCGTATTGTATGTAGTTGTAAGCAAATGTTATCGAATAGCTTCTGAGATTTGATGGTACTCATGCGCAATTCAAATTTTGTCCCTGTATTCAATTCATGAAAGATCCTTGTACAATACCACTGTTTGAGATCCTTTAATGCCAAATAATATTGAATGCCATATGATTGTGCTGAATCATGTCTAATCGAGGAGCTGCTTATTAGAATGAATGCTACTGAATCCATTTGAATACCACTGATTGATTCTATTATTACTAGCCTCATACTTTACAGAAAATATGAGACATGAGCGCCAGTCCAACCGAGAGACTATGAGTGTAAGAGCCAAGAACCTGTTAAGCACTAACTCAAATCTACTCCAAGGCTGATCTCTATCCTGTCACTCGCATTCGGTGATTCAGTGTTAGAGAGGCATTGGTTGATTGCGAGAAGTTAGGCATCACTTTATAGCGAAAGCAAGGAGCTTGTAAGAGTTAGGAGTATATAACCTTAGCCAAAGCTGGGGTCTGAGGCCACAGCGTAGGCTAGCTTAAATACACGTTAGACTCATACTAAGAATAGTATCTACAAGGGCGCATGCAACAAGAAGTGCGTCTTTCAAAGAATGAGGAGGGAGAACACTAAAAGAAGTCTGCTCCCGACGAATGAGAGTAAAGAGCGCATATCACCTGCATCTGTGTGGGACTCTGTCTGAATAGGCTGCATCCCATAGACCGCCCTCGACTGGCGGTCAACTCTCATCCAACTACTAAGAAGCATGATGCCATCAAGAGAAGCATGATGGCACATGCGGGTCACTGGTCATCTGGGGGGGGGGCAGTGTGAACTGGGGTGACGGCAACCGGGTAACCAGGTAGAGAGTGTGCCAGCAGAATATCATGGGTCTGAGAGATAAGATAGGCAGGTCCGGGGTTCTGATGGATAAGGATAAGATAAGATAAGGAAAATAGGGGTAAGATCGTAATAGAACCAGGAAGTCTGAGAGCACAACAGAAAGACTTGAGGAACAGTAGTAGCTGCAGCAACATCTAGAGAGACTGTATGAGTATGTATCATAACCTGTAGTATCTGTATAACTCACCAGGACAAGATGGATCTAGGACTTGACTAATTTTGCCTATACCAACGCTCGTCAGCAGTATCCAGGGGCGTTCTGATAAATGCACCTTTTTCCCTGGCTTGTTCTGGTATACCTGCATAACCACGTCAGTGAGAACATGCAACACAAAGAGAAGCCTTACCTGCTTTTCCTCTTTGCTAAGTCCTTTCCAATACACGTCAAAGTCATCTGAAAATCCACCAGGGTTTTCGATAAGCCATGCTTTGCTGCACCGGGCCCTAGAAAGAACAAGGGTGATGCGTGACTTGCTCCGAGTCTGGAACAAAGGAAGTTGACGTACTTGGGTCCTTCTCTAGTAGTCGGTACAACATAAGGCACTCTTTCTTTCCTTCACTGCTGCTTCTCAGATCCACCATTTGACTCAGTTGGTGCCGACAGATTACCATTCTTTGGAAGAGTGTCGTCCACGGGTTTTTCCTGTGGGGTTTGGTCAGTCGATGCCGATGATGCCACATTATCCATTGCAGATGTGTTCTTGCTCAGCTCCACTGGCTGTGTGAGTTTGAAGAATCGGCACCAGGTTCTCTGGGACAGTTATCTGAAGGCCAATCAAAGGGTTAACAACCTGCACATATAAATTAATCAGATACATCAATATGAAGAGAAAAAGAGATACCGTAACAGGGGAAACCTCTGTCCATTGCCGTTTAGCTGCAGTCGTAGAAGTCTCAGCCTGAGATGATGGGCCGCTATGTTTCTGATTTTGGCTGCTGATGCAGATTCATTATGGGATCATCTTGTTCCAGCCCATCGAGGTCAATGTCAAGGTCAAGGTCAAGGTTAAAGTCTTCTTGTCCCATACTTGGCTCATTGTCCACGTCAATATCGATCACTCTTGCATTGCTGTCTTCGCTGTCTGTTGTCAGCTTGTTATTAGCAATACCCACCACTCCTTCTCAGCTGCTGCTGTCATCTTTCTCCTCGGTGCATCACGGTGACTGCTGTTGTCCTTGTCGCTGCCAACAATCTTATCCCTGTTCATATCCTCATCCTTGTTTTGATCCTCATTCTCATTCTCAGTTCTCATCATCCTTATCCTCTTCTTCGTCACTGCCTCCTGTCCTCCTGATATGCCATCTTGTTGTGCTTCTTGTACCACTGACTGTAGTTATTGATGGCCATCTGGTCTGCCTTCCATGCGTTCTCACAGAGCGAAAACTCAGGGTGTGTCCATGCCATGATATGGCGGTAGTAGTCTCGTGCAATGCCTTGTAGCTGCAAGTATGTTTAAGTCACAAGGCCACAATCTCATATCGTTTCCCAGGCTGCATGGCCAGTCTTGTGCATATCTCCTGCTTTATGTCCATCAACTGCTTTTCCATCAACGCCCGTTACATATAGCATGCAAACATTGATATTGCTGGCTGCCTGAGAATGCCCACATTTTCCCTTTGTTCCTGTAGAGATACCTGCCTCTGAAGACAAGTGCTCCTTCCACTCCAATTTCATCTAAAATCTAGCAGTCAGGATGATTGGCTTGGAGAAGAACTGGTGGCTCAGGAATATTGAGGAGTTGCATTCCTTGGAGAAGAGATGGAGGAGATGTGCTGATCTCAGATGGTAGAGACTGTGGCTTCGAAAGGAATAATGCTTGCTGAAGCGTTGACACATGTGCAACGCGTTCATACATGTAATTTTGCGAATTCTGTGAATCCAAATGTGTGTCAACCCACTAAGTAATATTAGAGTGCATACCTGGCATGGAGCGACACCTGTTGAGGCAGAAGCAGCATATAATAAAGTAATCCGAGTGGAGCACATGGCTTAGACATAGAGCAGCACTCTGGTGTCATTTAAGTGTGAAGTCTCAGTGCCCTGACTCACACCCTATGCATCCCTCAGCAGCGTCTCACTCAAATAAAATACACTGAGAAGATAATATATTTATGGAGCTTTGCGCAACATTGATCTATGATGCGTGAACCCTGCTGATCCAGCAATCACCAAGAAATGTCATTCAGAACTGAGGACCACCCAGTCCGAGCCTCCTGAGAGGGCTTCGGCCGACACGAGAGAAACCCTGTACCCAGAATAAAATATGGAACTAAGAAAAGGTGGCATGGCAACCAAATAAAAATACCAACTCGCTAGCGATGTGCACAACAGAGGAATTAAAAACAAGGAGCCAATTAGGAGAAATATTCCGCATGATGTGGCAACCCTAGACCTTGCCAAGAAGAAAGAGCAGCATGTTACCAAGCACTAACTCGGATGACTGGCTCAGAATATTAATTAGTGACCATGTGTTTGATGTGTCATGGAGGGGAAATGACTTCGGGGTGAGGCGTATCTATTCTTGATTATTTCTATTTATACATTTAGCTGTAAATAAAAGCGTGGTAGTTAGGAGTAGGTAGCAAGCTTTCAGACCCCCGCAGTTGTGACATGAAGCAGAGAGCCTAGTGTGCAACTAAAGGACTTGTGTTTGTAGCTTCGAGCAAGAGAATATTATTGGATCTAGAATTATTTTGAAATGCTTGAGAGGTTGCGAGGCATGCCTTGTTTGCATGCGACACCTAGCTTGATTCTGGACAGTAATTGATTGTGCTCAACCCAGAGAACTATTGTATTGTGATAACTTGAATGTGCATTTGTGTTTGTGGAATGTGTTTGTGAATTCTGAGTTGTTGCAAGTGGCAGAGGTTTGAACCCTTTGGCTTGTCAATACTCTTTGAGGGTTTTTGGTTTATTCCCAAGTAGCATAGGTTCAAACCCTGTGGCTTGTGGACATGTTTCTGTGTTTCTGTGTCTCTGGATCGCATAGGTTTGAACCCTGTGGATCTATGAAAGGTTTCTGAAGTGTTTGCTGCTTAGAGTGCGGAGCTTTAAGTCATGTGTAAATTGTTTGATGGGTTGTGGCCACCTGTGTGTTGCACGCAATGTCAATTGAGGGTTGTATGTTCTTGTGGGACGTTTGTGGGCTTGTGGAATATTACTTCCACCTTGAGGCTGAGCAATACATATCACTCACCTCCTGTCCTAAAAGCATTTGGACTTAGAGAATTCTTTTGAGCTAGCATGCTATTATATCTTGAAGAGCACAAGACACCTTTTAATTCTATGGTTATTGTGTGCTTGCATCGCACATCTCCCCTGAACTACTGAGATTCTGTGTGTGTGAGTGTGAGAGTGGGTGTGTTTAGTGTGTCTATGCTATCGCATTTTGAGCTTAGCACACACAGAGCCTCTTCAGCATTCACTGGTAGATTAAATGGGTTCAAAGTAACAGTGAGCAGGGTGGGGACGGCTTTGATGAGCTCCATGTATGCTGTCCTAGGTTCCTTCTATAAGATAATAATATGGCTATTATATGCAAAGTATGCACCTAAGAGTCAAATTTTCACTCTTCAGACTCACGTTCTCCTTCTCCAAGCTCTCATACTGCTGTCGGAACCTTGCAGTAACATCAAAATGCTGTTATCTATGTTAACATACTTGTAAGGTAAGACGAGGTAAAATGATGCATACATGATGCTGCTGAGCCCAATTTCCTCCAAATGACAGGTTTCCTGGCACTGAGGCGGGTGAAGAGAAACTGGGGCCTAGCAAGCTATTGTCATGGCTTACTATTGTAAAGTACCCATGAGTATTTATATATTCACAGATGAATAATAGTTCTGACCTGGAGAAGAAAATCTACCATACAAATTCATGAGGGTGATGGTGGTGGAAGGCAAGAGGATGAATAAACATGTGTCAACAATGCAATCGCGCTCAACGATACTGATTTGATCCAACTGAATGCCTTTATCTCATATCATTTTAACACCATTACAATTTCTCTTACTCATAATTAGATATATCTTTCATTTCCCTGTCTTGTCTATGCCTTTGGTGGGCCTCTATAGACTTATATTATCCAATTCAAATCCAATTTCATTTCAGTGCAAAAATAAACTTGTTTAATTGAGGAAAGTACAGTGTGTAAATAAATTAGATATCAGTATCATCCATTACAGAGTCCTCAAATCCTCCAATCAATGCTACATCCAGACCCATCTTCTCAACAACAAAATATCTATCTGTCTTTGTAGGTAAGAACTGCAAACCATTCTCATCAAACTGTGGGACAGGTACCATTGCAACAGCACTATGGATGCATGTGATTGGAATAACATAGAGTGAGAGATCTCCCTCATATTTTGTTAGCCACCAACTCTACAAACTAGATCAAACAAGGCCCGCCACTCACACTTTGGTGGCCAGTACACTTGCAGGTCTCAGTTTGAGGAAAGAGCAAGTGAGCGAACTCAGATAGTCACAAAGCAAGGAGTATGGATTGGGTAGATTAAACCTTAGCCGAAGCTGGGTTTTGGGCCAGCAGAGGCTCTACTTAAATACACAATAGGTAGGCTAATAATAGTACTGTGTGAATGAAACCATGTGGAAAACATACGATAGAAGCATAGTGTCATCATGCAAGTAAGTGAGAAAGTGTAAGCAAATAGCAAAACCATAACATATTTGCATGACCAGAGTGTTCGTGATGATTTCTTCAGAAGCTGGAAGTCCAGCTGAGAAAATTTGGATATCATTGCAACGACATGAAGTTGTGATTCTATGATCATGCGGAAGAAATATTTCACTTCTGCAAAATCAATAGAATCCTTCTCGATGTGATCATGAATCTGTAATATGGCATATTAATTTTAGTATTAAGCCAATCTGGGATGGGAATCTGTATGACACAAACCTTGACAAACCTCAACATACGAATCTGGCCAAGAGACCTTAGTTCCTCTCATCATGCCGTACAAACAACCTGTCCAACTGGAAGATGAAGGTGAGCCTATTTTCGAACAGGATAGTTAAACCTTTCTAGATATGGAGAGTCTGTATATTTGCTTTGATAGTGTATGATAGCTTCATGTTCAGGATCAGAAATAGAGCGATCAATATTGTCAAGCTTTTTCAACAAGACATATCCTCTGGACAAATCCAGAGAGCCCTGAGGAAGTGTTGGATCATGAGAATCATCAATCTCTGGGATAAGGGCCTTCAGCACATTGATCTGACCACTAATCACACCACACAGAGAGAGATTGGCATAGGGGCATGAAGGCTGGCAGATTTCCTTGCCATACTCTCCAATACACCATTCCATAGGCCACTGAGTCATACAACAAAGTGGACCTAGACACACAGTTTCTGCTGCAAGATGAGACAGAAGGTGAATACTTTTCCAAATGAAATGAATGTGTGATGTTTTTTGCTGGTAGTAGAGATTTTCGAAATCAAAGATGAATTGAAGGAGTTGCTCATGTGCAAGGATAAGCTGTGAGTGACGTATACAGCGCTGGTGAAGAATTTGGATTGGAGAAATGAGAAGACAAAGGTGTTTGTAATACTTCTCTGGAAGGATGTCATGGAAAACTCCAGGACCATATCCATAGAAGTATGTTAGAAACTCCCAAGCCTTGTATCCACTGTTAATCTTCTCTGCAGGATTGTGGGGTGGACGATCAAAGGAACCAGGAAGGTAGGGAAGGATATCGCCAATGGTCTTCCCATGTGCTTTCCAAACAGGATCCTCTTTGAACACTACCCAATCCCATAGATCCTTTGAATCTGACTTGTTGCAGTCCATGGTACCATGGAATAGCCCAAAAAAACAGGTCTGTAAGGTTGAGTGCACCGAGATGCATGAGGTCTGCAGTAAAGCAGCTGGGTATACCGAGAATATGAGTTATCGCACTGAATATGCTGGGCTTACTGATGCCAGTATTCTGCCGAAATCGCCTGTACTGGGCATCATTCATAGCTTTCATAACTGCATGTAAGTCACTGTTGTACTTTGTCTGCAAAAAGGCTGGAAGATTGTTGACTGAAATACTTGGATGATTGCAAGGCTCAGAATGTTTACAGGCATTGGGAGGAAAATCGGAGAGTGCAGAAATAGCTGGATAATAGTGAGAACCATTAGGCTTATGTTGGCCTCGCAGGCCACAAAGAAGGCAACAGCCATAAGTTGCATTATGACCATTCCATCCATTCAAATAGGCCATAGCTGGACCATCTGCCATGCCAAGTAAAAGAAATAGTCTGGATGTAAGGACCATGTTATCAATGGCATCCCACATATGCAAACCCTCCTTCTGAATAGCAGAGAGGTGGTGAAGACCAACAAAAAGGAAAGAGTCGATATTCTTGGGTTTGTTTGGTCCAGATATGAAACCACCAGGAAGGATATGAATCTTCTTGTAATGAAGATTAGGATTAAGATCAAGAATGATCCAGATGTAGATCCAGCAGTCAGAAAGCTTCATGGTATATAGTTGTGCACCATCAATTGAGAACAGCAGGCAAATGTCATTAGGGCTGATAATTCCATCTGCGACAGCCTTCAGATACTTGGCACTATGGAAGACATCATTGTAATCTTCAATGACTCCACCTCCTTTCCTCAATGTCTCGAGGATCTCATTTGTACATTCTCTGCAATAGCGCATCTGCTTTGCTATTTCAGGATGATTGCGAAGAATCTGAAGCTAGAGTCTGATAGGAATGGTATGAAATGTTTGTTGAGCAATCTTGATCTGGCTGTCACTGCTGGCAAGCTTCTTAGGATCATAATGTGGTGATTGGCAATATGGGCACATCTCATATTCAGAAAATGACTCTGTGTAGGCAATACATGATTTTAGACACATATCATGAACAATGGTGTATACCAGTAAAGGAAGCGAGGTGCTTCTTCACCTGTGCATAAGACAGGACATCAGCCTCAGGGAAGCATCACTTGATAGCACTGCAAGATCTGGTATATGAGTCTTCAGATGCATTGGAATGAGAGAGAAAGAGCTCAAAGCCAAGTAGGAGATCATGGTCAGCCTGTGCAACCTCCTCAGATGAGTTCCTCAGGTGCTCAATGGCATCAGAAGAAAGTGTGCTGTTTTCTAGTATTGCATCCTTGATTTGCTGGATGAACACCATTGAGGTATGGATATGAGAAAGCTTGACATCACTGTCCTTGATACCAGTATATTCAGCACTGTTGATAGAGTTGAAGAGAGGAAGTAAATGGGACCGAGAATGCCTCAGATGAGTTGTCTGCATTGTTGTCGACATCACTGAGATGTATATCCTCCATGCATCCGATATCTGGGCCATCGTGATCACTGCCATCATCGCAAGAACTGTATAGATGCACCGGGGAATGATGATGTTTGTCCATACCAATGTCGCCATCAGACCTCATAGCATGGCTTGGTCCAGCCTCAGTGGACCTGCTTGATGCAATGTTGTTATCCTATACTGTAGTCAGACCAACATGAAAATAATATGGAGGAAGACGTACTAGCATATTGTTGAGCAAAGGGCCAGATACAGTATCCTTTTCCTGTGTTCTCTGCTTCACCATCTGCTTGACTTTTGTAACTCGCCTCACACCCTTTGTGACTCTGCTATGACCCTGAGTTTGAGACTGAGCTGCATGATAGAGCTGTTCCTCCAGCATCAATGGAATAGCAGTGTGGAAGGAGAAGTGGCATCCAAAGGTCTTAGCAGAAACATATTTGCTGCCACCACAGTGACAAGTACAGTTGCAAAAATGTGTGCCTTGGTATTTTTCAGGTGCCATAGAGAGAATTAGAAAAGCCAGGTTCAATTGTCAAGAAAATCATAGTCAAAGTCAAAAGCAAGATGCATCACACCAGCCAGGCACCAATTGAAGCAAGTAAATCAGGCAGGTGTTCGATTCTGATTCAGGCATATTCAGACCAGATTGATATGTGGACAACTATTCAAGTACATTCTCTCTAATTCTACTGCAATACAGGGACTTCTCACTGGGTATCAGCAATGACACTCGACTTGTGGAATATTGATGACCCTGTGGCTGTGCAAGCTGGTGCAATGTCTAGTTTATGGAAAGCCTAATGGTCATGCTTCATATCTGTGTCATTTTGAATTTTAAAATACTATTTATAGTAATTGGACCCAGAGAAGTGCGCTGTTACTAGCCTGTTAGTATGACCAATTCAATGGAACAAGATTAATCAACCACATAAGGAAAAAGTACTTAGGTCTTAGGAGTAGTCACCTATACATAAAACAATTATAAAAATGAATAACTTATAATTCTACTGTTTTATGTGTCAAGGAATCTGATTCTGATAGTCTCTATCCCATGGAATAGCCAGAATATTAAAATTGAGGATGTGCTTCTCATCATTTGCAGAATGATTTACCTATATCTCTTCCAATTCATTTCAGATGGATATGGAAAATTATACACATCATTAGACAATATATATCATCTATTATATAACAGTAATACCTTCCCCAACCACTAGAAATGCATAATACAAGGTATATCTCCTCCATCCCCTATTACCCTTTTTTAACATGTATTTCTGAAGGTTTTCTTTGAATTCTGGTGTTATTCAAAGGTTCTTGAGGTCTTGAAATACAATGGTAAAACATCTGAAGTGTTCCGAGGCACAGAAAAGTGATTTCCTATATGTGCTCCTCCTGAAGTGTAATATTATCATTACTACCATTTCTGGAGCCTGATAAATCATTCCTATAGTCGTTTTAGTGTTTTCAAGGTCAAAGAATTCATTGGTGACAATCCCAGTCTCATCTGAAGGTCAGAAAATAAAATAAACCATATGTGCACCCCAATCCTCTCTTAAAAAGCTAATGTGCTCATCTAATCCTAGTAATAAAATGTGCTACAAGTGCTATAGAGGAATTGGTTTGAGATTTCCAAGGTCAGATAATCAATTGGCAAAGTCCTCTGGTCAATCCAATGCATGCATCTCCTTAAAAAACCCCAAAAGTGAATATTGCAGCCATTTTTGTGAAATTACCTATGCTACCCCCTCTCCAGAATCCCCATACATCATCAGCAGGTCCACTTTTATGTTATTTAGGCTTATGAGCATTCTAGTACTGTTTCCTGACTCACCCAGCTACCAGAAGCCAGCCCAAATCTTATTATAACCAGAAAATAGCCTCTATGATTATTGTTTCTTAACGACTTCAAGAATTGGATGTAACTGTTACAGCTGACCAATTATGTGACCATGATTCCAAGCTCAGAAGCTCAGTCACACAATTGGTCAGCAGTGAGACCATGTGAAGAGATCAGAGGATCACATGACTCATACACATTCACAAAGTAGGCCAATTTATCAGTGTGAGGTGAGGGTCTTGGTGCAGACATTGTATGACAGAAGAGATTTAAGGCTATGTTGAGGGGAAGATACATTGTGTGAATAGTAAGGTGTGTACTCACATGCAGTGTAGTGATGAGATACAAATGATTATTTAGATATTTGGAACACTCCCATACTTTCCATAATTTGACACACACAAGATAGTGAAAGCATTTGATGCATACTGTACTATTACAACTGGATCTTCACAGGGTGTTACATGTTATGCACATCTTCACAAAATTACATCTTCATTATGATGTCATCTACCTTAATAGGCAGTCCAGCATTAGCTGGACCGAAAAAATAATGCTATATTTAGTAATTTAAGGCACTAAAAGGGCCTGTTACATGTTATGAAGTTCACAGATATTCACTTCACAGAGGGTTGTTATGCATTATGTGAATATCCAGTCATAATAGTACAGTATACACTGGGGAGCAGGCCATATGTCTGTACTATGGAGATTCTGTATCAGACCAGTTATATGATAATCAGATAGATATGAAAAGTTATGATGATAGGACTGATGACTGAGTCTTTTTCCATCTGGAAAATCAGGTCAAGTGCAAGAGAGAGTGATACTGATGCATTATATTTCTTGAGATAGGAGAGGAAGACAGACCCTATATCGTGCATATTATTAATATTAATATTTCTTACAGTGAATAATCAAATACAATTTTGGTTATATATAATATACTTTTAGTTATTATGTATATTAGTATATATGATATAATGTCCAATTATCCTAAATCCATGATCCATTGTGTCCCAGGGGTACTCAGATACTGATCTATTTGGAATGTCATTTATCTGAAGCATGACCATTAGGCTTTCTATACCAGTTAGCCTGAGTCTTGCTGAGTAAAGGTTTACTAAGATGAAGAAAGTACTAGAAGATACAGAAAGATATATAAGTAGCTAGTTTTCATAGTATTCTGTACTCATTTGCCTTCTAAGCAAACATTATCTACTTGCTAGGCAAATGTGCCAGAGCACATGGTGCACATGTTAGGGCTATGCACTATCACTGTATTGTATGGTGATACAGCTCCCATGTGCAGAATACATACCAAAGCCATGAGCCCTCCAAATAATACCATACAGTACAGCCGTTGATGGCCATATATGTGCAGCTTGTATGTGGCAGTGCAACCAGATGGGAGGAGGCATTTTTGAACCCTGTTTTTGCTGTCTAACATGAATTCGAGCATCTAAAAATCCTTTTCATTCATCTTACCATCTATTGCAGCCCTCAACGCCTCAAACATTTGCCTTAAAGGAAGTATGACATCATAGCATGCCTCTTAAACTGACTGAAAATGGCATTTTCCTGGCCAGGATTCCTATGTAGCATCTCAAACTATTTAGTATGTCAGTCTAACATCCATTGCACACTATACTGATGCATATTGATGAGATGAAATCTTGACAACGAATATGGCTGTATATATGATCATAATGGCCATAATTATATGGATCGATGCCTTCAGCAGCCTTGCTCATACAGTATATGGTACAGATATGGACGGTGTGCAGCCCTAGTGCATGTTATCTAACACGACTAGCAAGGGTTATAACACATAGCCTGATGGCATGAGATACTAACACAGATCAAACTTCTTCATTTCTGCTGCTACGTTGGGGCACACAGGATGGTATTATGCTGATTATGTGTTGTACTCTTTTGTGTCTGTCTTGTCTCTCATTTTAATCCACCTCACTCCTGGTGGTTCTGAAGCATGTGGGCCTGAACCTAAGCCATGGATGATATCAAGAAAGCATAAGGTAACATTAGAGCCTGAAGATTCAGAGACCTTAGTACAGTATGTTAGTGCAAAACCAAGTGGACAACCAGCAAAGCATTCTCGAAAAAGGGATCTTAGACCGCTGCTATCAAAATATATTTATGTATCATTGTCAGTAATATTATATACTAGTGAATTGAAGCTTACATTGAATCTGAGTGTCCAAGTAGTCTTGATGCTGGTTATCTGGTGACTAACCATGTCTGAGTCCAAGTCAGATTGACCTTGAACATCATTAAATAAGTATGAATACTTAAATTTGAGAACATTGAAAGTTCCTGCAGCCTACTTAATCAAACAATTTTATGGATATCCTAACAGTGTAAATGTAACGCACTAACTTGGATTGAACAACGGTTGCCTCTAAACTGTCACTTGCGTTCGGTGATTCAGTTGTGAAGAGGGTGTTGCAATCGCTAGGTAAGGTACGATAGTCCTTAGGCACGAAACAGGGAGTTTCTGCGTGAAAAGTTAGGAGTGTATAACTTTAGCCAAAGCTGGGGTGTAAGATCACAGCAAGGCTTGTTTAAATACATTGTGGTATTTACTAGTATGTACCGCTCCTGTGTCTTGGTGTGTACTGTCCCAATGCAGCGCTGTCTTCTATGTCCTCTGTATCATATGGTGCTTGGTATAGGAGAAGCCCTCCTGCGAGTAAGAAGGCCAGCGTCCATAGGGCGCTGTCTTCTGAGGAGCGTATGTGGCGGCTTGTCCATCCTAGGATGTGATCACAGACAACCTAAAGAAGCATGACTGGGTGAAGAAGGATCTGGCCCATAGAGTGTGATCGGTCTATGGGCCATCAAACAGATCATGCATGTGAGCAGTGAATCCAGGGACCTATCAGGGAAGATTGATGGTTGTGTTGTGGCAATGCTCCGATGATCTGGTGTGAGCATGATGATGCTAGAAGCACTCCTGCGAGTGGGAAGGGCATTATCCATATGGTGCCACCTCCCACCGTGTATGGCTGCAGAGCCCATGACAGAGTCCCAGTGATATGGTCCATGGCGAGGTAATGCCGTGTGGGCGATGTGACTGAGCGGGTCATGAATGATGTGGATCAGGTACGAGGAATGATGATGAGAGTTGAATGATGAATTGCCGACTTGCCATGATAAGATACCATGATAAGATAAGATAAGCGAAAAATAGGGGTGAATTCATGACATTACCCCCTCACTAAGACTCAGTCGTCCCGACTGAGTCAGTGTAAGGTTCGCCTTCTCATTCGATGTTTTGACAGAGGAGATACAGAACGCTCGGTTGCGTCTGAAGCTGGACCCAGGGAATCCAGAAAGAGTATTGAGCTCTCGGTCCCTTGAAGTATCGGGTTCGCCTTCTGAACTGAAGGGCTTTCCTCTAGTGCGTCTTGCCATGGAGGTCTGTCATCTTCCTCCTCTTCAATAAGTTTCGGTAGACTTATTGAATCACTTTGTGGATTCTCCATTCCACCAGTAAGCTTCGTTCATGTGCTTCTAGCCGTTCTTTTGCAAGGACCTTGAAGGGTCCGGCTCACTTGTTGGCCCATTTTGGCCAGTCGCAGTAAACATGGGTTGGTGTCTAACCCTGTTGCCTTAGTTGCAACTTGGCTATGGATGTTTGGTCAGGATGTTATAGGTTTCCCATTGGACAGAGCCTGATGCTGGTGGGTTTTTATGGAGTCCTTCCACGAGAGTAACTGCCCATTCCTTTTGACAGCAAATAAACCTTTGTAGCCATTCAGTTAAACGATGGTTGATTCTCTGAAGAGCCAGGAGATGATATGGTGTTATCCCTCTGCTGCTTCAAGTGTTGCAAATTGTGATCGTCTTCTAACCGATGGTTTAGGTTTCTTGTTGGGGTGGTGATGGAGACATTTATCATATCATGATAGATGATCTCGATCCCACTTCTCGGTGCTACTTGCGCTTTGTTAGAGTCCACTTCCTCATGGAACTCCGTCCTTGGTACTGGAGCTTTGCTCTCAGTGTAACTTCTTTGTAAGTACACCCGTGTTTGGGGTGTAGTGACTTCGGCGGTTTGGAATTTGGGACCTTAGATCATCAATCCTTAACTTGGATTGAACAAGGTTTGTCTCGTGTCGATATCAACACTCGTTGGGTGATTTTGGATATCGGAGACCCTTGCAATCGCTGGGCTAGGTGAGGTGATCCCTCGGGGATGAATTTCTTTGGTGGGGTTCTTGTTGGTGCTCCATCTACGGTAGAGGTCGGTCTCTCTGCTTTGGTAGGTTGTGCATGGGCACCATTATCTGCGAAGGTCGCTGATAAGTAACTCTGACTGTTCTCAGTCGCTGATCATTTATTTAGGAGGTCATTCTCCTGAAGATCTGTAGAATCTGAATATAGAGCGCATTTAAACTCTGGGATTTTTTTTGTTCTTCGAGGTCACATACCATCCCAACCCTCATGTGGGTGGTATTGACCTTACTTCGTTATAAATATGTGGTTTTTACGAGGTTTACTCCTCGATTTGGAAATCTAGATAGATTCCTTGTCTATTGGTTGTGTGGCTACCATAGCCTCGTGTTTGCCGACAAAAGGTTTTTATAGCCTTGCGTGTCCCAGCGAAAGGGGAATAAATATATGTAACCGTTGGTTTTTAAAGGTTTACTTCCTTCCCTGTGATTCTGAACAGAAGGAATTTACTGTTCGTAATGATTCATCCAATGTATTTTGCCACGGAGTTCCCCACTCGAGGGGTTTCTCCTTAGTGGTAAGGTTGGTTGGAGTCCTCATTGAATACGGTTGTATGGCTTCCGCAGCCTCGCATGTCCCAACAAAAGGGATTGGCAGTAGTACCTGTACGGGCAGGGTCCAACAAGTCTGGTTTTGGTGGTCAACAGTCGCGAGCATAGTGTCGGTTACTGTTGTGGGGATTCATCGCAGTCATTCTTTGTGTCGCGTTAGTCTTGAATAGAGACGTAGTTCCTTGAAGGAGTCCTCGAGGGGAGAACCAGCTCCCCGAGATCTTCACTTCTTAGAGACTCCTCCTGTTCAATCCTAGCTGTTGCTTGAATGCTGGCTTGAAAAAACAGCTTCATTGTTCTCCCAGGCAATTATTATGGCATATAATTCTTGGGTATGCTTCTCATAATGGCCTATGTCCTGTGGCATTTCAAATGCTGGTAGGGACATGGCTATGGTGATGGGAGTAGTGGGCATCATTGGACTCTGGGTTGTTGCCCAGGTTATGTTAGGGCTTTGTTCCAGGTTCCCAAGGGTGTTCCCACTTTGGTGTTCGGTTGTATGGCTTCCGCAGCCTCGTATTTCCCAGCGAAAGGGATTGGCAGTACCCATAGATTGGGGATCCAATAACTCTGGTTTAATTAATGATTTTTTGTGAAGGTTTTGTCCTTCCCCTGTTGATCGGGATGAAAGGGATTTATCATCCTTTAACTTGGTTGTTCCAGAGGGTTCCTCGACGTTCAATGATGGCTCATCATTTTCATTGCAGTGGAGCCTTTCTGGTTTTACCATTTGATTTCTTTGAAGGTTTTCTCCTCCTCTATAAGTCGTAACTATTGTTTTTAGAGGTTTTCTTCCTTTCCTGTATTTCTGAATGAAAGGGATTTATCGTTCGATGTTTGAGCCAATGGCTCCTGATTCGGACTGTTCTCCGGGGGTATAGTTAATGAGGTGGCATCTTGAAGTTTTGACTATGGCACATGCTAAGGTTGTTTGTTCTCATGTAGGGCTCCAGTCTGGTACTGATATTCAGTGACTCAGATGTTTAGGAGTGTGCCGCCAACCAATCCTTTAGTGGGGCTCTTTAGTCAGGGAACTTGGTGTTGTTTATCAGTTTGCTATTTTCCAAAGCTTGTCGAGGTAGGAATGCAGGGGATTGGGATGATGGGTCACCATCCTAAATCCTCTGGTATTGCATCTGTACCGTAGTGGTATGATCTGATGACTGTGGGGTATAGACCACTTCATACGTGAGTTCTGATTTTCACGTTTTGCGGGTCCACTGGTCAGTCGGTCAGGATAGGATTTTAATGGATTTCCTTCAATGGCAGGTTGTCTAGGCTGGGCATTAATCGCCTAACTTTCCTGTCTGTCAAGGGTATATCCACTATAAGTGGGTTCTGCGGCCTTTGATTTTAAGGCGCATGGCCCTTGGCGTCCACATAGGTATATAGGGTGCATCTGGTCTTTCTCATCGGGGAGGTCTCATGGGTGAGTCACCTCTTCTCATTACCGCCTGTTTAACAGTCACGAGCAGAGTGTCGGTTACTGTTTTTAACAGGGGTGGTAGAGTCTGAGCGTTACTCCTATGCTTCATGAGTTCCTCCTCTTGGATGAGTTTAACCAGAATTTCTTGAGTCCGAAGGGTACTCCTCCGATGAGTACTCGAGATTTCCCTCTTTCGGCATCGGGGACTTCCCCCTGTCGCTGTTCACTGCAGGTTTTGTGGCCCTTTGTGCTTCTGCAGTTACTTAGCTTCCTGCCTGTTCGCTTGTGCTACTAAGGTCTTTTCCACTCGGGGATGGCCCGCACAGTCCGGGTTTTTAAGAGTCCCGTAAACTCTTTTGGTAACTGAAATTAATGGGGGTCTCAGAAAATGAGCACCAACTGGATGTTGAGTTGGTGTTCATTTTCCGGTACTTCCCGTCGTCAGGTATTCCAGTAATAGTTACCATTTTCTTGACTTGGTTACCTCGAGGGGGAGAGCCGGATCCTCGAGGGTTTACTACCCAGAGACTCCTTGTCCTTGTCTCTGCCTCGAACAGTATGGCTTTCGCCCTGCGAGGTCTTTGCTCTTGAAGGGTCCTCACCCTTGTCCTTTACCCCGATGGGTAGATCAGTAATCCTTCGCGGACGCACACTTGTTGGCTCGCCAGGGGGTCCCTTAGGATTCTCCTGGTTCCTTGCCTCAGCTGCTTTTCCAACGCGAGCCATTGCTACAATTGGGGTAGGAGCGGCAGCCCGGATTGCTGACCGATCTTCACCAGGGCGACTGAGCGCAGCCTGATCCTGATGTGGGGGGCTCTCCAGCTCTCCCGGAACTTTCCCCATGTCAGGCAATTTCTTCTCCCCCGCTGGGAGCTTGATCCGAGCTGGGGTGTCGGTCCTGCTTCCAGGGACAATGGAGGTTACTGCCAAACCTTCATCCGGTAGCTCTATTACGCTGCAGGCCTTCATTGTCCCTGCAGCATGGGTCTCCGCTTTTCCGAGGGGTTCCCCGCCATCACAGAGGGGCCTACTCATTCTTGATCCACCGCCGCCAGCAGCAACGGTTCGCTTGCTCGTTTCTGAGGTTGCGCACGAGTCGCGCTTTTCCGAGAGTCTGGCCCCAGTTCGGCCTTTGTTTTGACCTCTTGTGTCATCAGCGCCACTGCAAGGCAGCATGTCCTGACTGTTGGGGTTCATTGCCGATTTGGCGGCAGGGGAAATCCCTCGTACCCCGTGTTGTCCAGTGGGATTGGAAGTAGTTGTTTCATTTGGTGGGGTCCTCTTTTTGTGTTCTAACATGTTGCTTCCTTCCAGATTGGCTGGGTTAGCATACGAGAGGCGTCCCAATGTATATGATTTTGTTTCCATCCCCTTCTGGATGTGCCACAGTCAGCTTCTTATGAAGTGTGACTCGGTAGAAGAGGGGTCGGGCCCATAGAAGTATGATTGGATCTATTGGGCCATCAAACAGATCATCAGATGAGGGTAATGATGATGCAGTGTGATCAGTGGGATTAAGCGGGTCATGAATGATGCGAATAATCTTGTTTAGATCCCCACCACTATTCCAGATTTGTCCAATTGAGGTCGTCCGTAATGATGTTTTGTGGGTGGTGTACTGCCTCTTCACCGTTCGTGAAGATTCCAACTCGCATGGATGGGTTTCTGTCGAGTCGACCAGATTGGTCATAGCTCTTGACTGTCAACCTTTCGAGGTTGATCAGTCCTGCAGTCTGGGAATCCAGCGTCCCCTATGGCGGAGGTCGGTCTCTCCGTCTTGGTAGGTTGGCTGGGATTTCCAGTTCCTTCGTGGACCTTTGATCAATTTGATCAGGGTCCTGATCATCGATCCTTTGGATCAATTGATCAATCGACTCTTGATTGGATTTGTCACTTTGGATGCACAACATATCCATAGCGACGGTGTCGGGATTTGTTTGAATCCTCGGAGTTCTTTTGTTTTTAAAGGTTGTCTCCTTCCCTGTATAACCGCAACAAAAGGGATTTATTGTCCATATTGGTACCTACAAACATTTTTTGAGTACAAATTTATAGTAGGGTTTTACAAGAAAGAAATTTGAGTCCTGTTGTACAAGGGCTTATTGCCTGGTCCGTCATCGACTCCTTCCTGGTTTCTGCTGAGAGCACTAGTCCTGGTCGACCTAGGCAGACTGCCTAGTCCTTTGTCGACGCCTTTTCCTCAGCGCTTGTCGTTGAGGAGTTTTTGCTCTGCTTTTTTAAGCAGAGCACCATTGGGACCTGTCAGACGGGCATTTGTTGTCCCATCTAGTATGTCCAGGGAATCCACAGCGAAGGCATCGTTCTTCCGTGAATTCCATTTGCTGTCGCTGTATGAAGCGGGTCCTCCTTCCTTCGGAGTTCTTGGTGAACCACTTCTTTTGTGGATCACATTTGCGAACCTTCCATTGATGTCCAGTGTGTCCACACCGGAAACATCACCTTTCTTGTTTGAGATGATCCATGTCTATTTCTTCATTTATTTCTTCAGGGCGCGATGCGCCTCTGTTCCTTGAGAGAGGGGGAACTGTCTCTCCCAGTTCAGGGTCAAGTGACGTGGTCCAAAACACCTCAGTTGGTAGGTGCGGTTTGGTCCAGTCTCCCCCTGGTTTCTTTGTATTGAAGATGTCTTCAGTGCTGAAATTCAGCACCAAAGACATGGATGGTTTCGTCCATGTCAGAGGAGGTGTCGGGGGAGGTATCACTATCTTCCCCTTCTTCTTCTTCTTCCGGGATGGTTCAGTATTCCCTTCCCAGGAGTACGGGGGTGGGAAGTGAGTCCCATAGGTCTTCGTTGATGGCTGTTCGAGCCATGGGATTGGGCCATATGGCCTCATACGAGGTGTCTGGCCAGGAGGATTCCCAGCGGTCCCCGGCAACTGAGTGCCAGGTGTCGTCGGCAGTTGAGTCAGAGTGCATGGGGGGTAGGTCCCAGGATCCCTCTTCAGGGGTGATCCAGGAATCCACTGGAATGAGCAATCCCCAATCCAGTGTCCCTTTTTCCTCAGCCACTCCTCTTTCTTTCCTGGCCAGTTGGTGGATGCTGCATGCGAGTTGTAAAGCGACTTGGTGATACCATTGATATACCCGGCTACAGAGGCAAGCGGACCTCTTGGAGGCGACTTCAGATTCGAGCCGGATGATTTCTGTCTCACAGGAGGAGCCGGTGTCTGGGCTCCAACGGGAGACATCTCCCTTGACATATGAGTCTTGAGAGGAAATGTCCGGCCAAGTGTGGACTCCCCATGCCTCTCTTGGAGTGCTGGCGGAGGAGTAGATTCCCCCGTCGAGCTCTGAGGCATGGAGCATGGGTCCAGCATCTCCAAACGACTCTGGAGATTCATCTCTTCGATGTCCTCTTGTGTCAGTTTTTCTGACTGTGGTTTGTCCTCCTCCTTGTTCCTTTCCTCAGGCAAAGAGGAAAGGGGGTAACGATTCCTTTGAAGGTGGTTCTTCGCCACTCTGTTCCTTTTGTTGCACGTCCCTTGCCACCATTGCTTCCACTACCTTCTTCCAGAGTTCGTTCCTCGATGAGTCGGTTGTACTCGTCGGTGTAGAACTGCTGGTCATCGGAGGTGATGGAGGTATTGGGATCATCCCAGGATCCTTTGGTATCCTCCCAGTATCCTCTTGCAAATTGTAGGCTTGCGGAGTGTTGGGCCTGGAGGTCGTCTCCGGTGTTGGGGTGAATGGGAGTTGATCCATCTCGTGGTCATGGATAGGATCGAGTACCATGGTACAAGGGGTGCCTTGCTAGGGATGTAAGGGTTCCTAGGATATGAGGGATGGTAGGGCTTGTGATAGAGCCTATTGGATTCATACGGTCACCGTTGTTTGAACAAGGATGAGAGTATGGAATATTTCTGTAAGGGGTGAGCAACCCCAAGGATTGGTTGTATAACGATAAAGGTTCCTTTTGAATGCTCCAGATACTGCAGTCATTCTGTTAATGAAAACGATGAGGGCAGTTGTGGTAGAGCTCGTTACTCGCTCACTAATGGGGTAGTGAGGGTCAGTGCTCTCTGTGGGGTGTAGCTTTTTAGAAGGGTTGTTGCTGATGAGTTTGTGACAGCAATCAAGCAAGACAATATGGTCACCGTTGTTTGACAACAATGAGGGTATTAATACAAGCTTCAGCTAATTGTAATGCACTAACTTGGATTGAACAATGGTTGCCTCTAAACTGTCACTCGCATTCGGTGATTCAGTTGTGAAGAGGGTGTTGCAATCGCTAGGTAAGGTATGATAGTCCTTAGGCACGAAACAGGGAGTTTCTGCATGAAAAGTTAGGAGTGTATAACTTTAGCCAAAGCTGGGGTGTAAGACCACAGCAAGGCTTGTTTAAATACATTGTGGTATTTACTAGTATGTACCGCTCCTGTGTCTTGGTGTGTACTGTCCCAATGCAGCGCTGTCTTCTATGTCCTCTGTATCATATGGTGCTTGGTATAGGAGAAGCCCTCCTGCGAGTAAGAAGGCCAGCGTCCATAGGGTGCTGTCTTCTGAGGAGCATACATGGCGGCTTGTCCATCCTAGGATGTGATCACAGACAACCTAAAGAAGCGTGACTGGGTGAAGAAGGATCTGGCCCATAGAGTGTGATCAGTCTATGGGCCATCAAACAGATCATGCATGTGAGCAGTGAATCCAGGGACCTATCAGAGAAGATTGATGGTTGTGTTGTGGCAATGCTCCGATGATCTGGTGTGAGCGTGATGATGCTAGAAGCACTCCTGCGAGTGGGAAGGGCATTATCCATATGGTGCCACCTCCCACCGTGTATGGCTGCAGAGCCCATGACAGAGTCCCAGTGATATGGTCCATGGTGAGGTAATGCCATGTGGGTGATGTGACCGAGCGGGTCATGAATGATGTGGATCAGGTACGAGGAATGATGATGAGAGTCGAATGACGAGTTGCCAACTTGCCGTGATAAGATACCATGATAAGATAAGATAAGCGAAAAATAGGGGTAAATTCATGACAGTAAAACAGTATAAAATGCTGTTTGCTAAGCCAGAAGTACCAAGGAACATGATGTGGGGTTGAACTTTGGTTGAATGCACCCTAATGTAGCTGTCACAAATGTGTCACAGGCACTGCATTATTTTGAATGCATGTGTTTTTTGTCCTAACGCATGTGTGAAGACCTGCGAGATGTGTTCTGACCTAACCATTGATTGTCTTATGACACAACATACAGAGCATTCTCTAAGGTATGATTGCATGTCACAAGCATTGATTTTACTTATAATGCAAGTTACAATATAGGTACATGGTTCTGACTGGCCAACAATACCTTTGTGGGAGGTAATTGCAATAATGGTCTAATCTGAAATGCACCCAATGCTAAAAAATGCAAAAATGCATCACAAAAATGTGAAATTCTCCTGATCCATCTTAGCTCATACTCTTGACTAGAAGGTCCGTGTTCTGCCTTTGCATCAATCGCTTGTTATGGGTCAGGAGAATTTTGTGAGTAACACTTGCGAGTTGTGTTCAACTGCAGTTCATTTGTGTTGAACTCAAGTTGTACTGCATTTGCTTACATTTAACTTGGATGTATTTGCATGCATATGGATGCCCTTGTTCATGTGGCATACAAATACTTAGTTCTGTTTAAAGACACTCATAAACTGTGTTTTATCTTGAACATTTACTTACTGATTCTGAGGTTCCTGGATATGTCACACCAGGTTAATGTCGCTTACTATGACTCAGGAAGGCTGTTGCATAATACAAAAATGCTAGAAAGGCATAGGCATTCACTGCAAAAAAATCTCCCTCCATAACAGCAACATTTCACTTCTCAAATGACCAAAACTTGTTTATGCATCTCACAAAGATGTCACACATGTATTACAAAGTCAAACACAAGCCTTAAGAAGATGCATGCATGCATTCTTGAAAATAACACATGCAGTTGGAAATTAAACACAAGTGAGCAGCAGCAGCTCACAATTGGCTTGCAAGTGTGATGGAGGTGTGACAGCATGTAACATTTGCATTCGACTTGAGTTGAACCGTCTTAACTCTTGGTCACTTCTGATATTTTTGAGTTATTGGCTTCTAGTCATCACCTCTATGCTCATTTAATATTCCTATGATATCTCTGCTATTGAAATTGACCCTCTCTGACCAGCAGCTAATGTTTGACTTACCTTCCTTTCTCCAAGTCTGACCGTGCCTTCCACCAATTTTCTTGGTATCCGACCCCCCCATTGACCACTGTTGAAATAAATTATCAATTCAATAAATATTCCAAGTCAAATAATCACTCCATAGGTTGATTTTTGGGCTCTTGAGTTTTAGTTTTAAGCTTTAAGAGGATATTACCTCAAGATAAACATCAACTTTCCGGTCTTTACCAAAAGATATTATATCTTTCTATGTCAAGAAGCACTGATTAAATTCTACAGATATTTTTATACAAAAAATCTCAAGAAGATCTTTGTCACATTTGCACATGCAAATGCAAGCATGACAACTGCATGTGAGAGAAGTTAGAGAATGCAAATGCATGCTTGCAAGTGCACTTGCAAAATTCTCCATGCCCACTTGTTATTAACCTTCCAAGAATAAAAATCAGGATCGGTTGTCAAAACATGCATATACAATTATTCTGATACCTTATTATCCATCTGCTGTTGCTAACACATAGCCCAGAAACAGATTGTTTGATAACTGGTCAAATTTATGCTATATCTATGGAATTGAAAAGGGATAACTACTGTTATTTCCACCTACTTTAGTTACCATATCATGGTATACAGGATCATGAATACAAATGACTCATACAACTTCCCCACTTTTTGCTGGAATAATGAGCTTTGCATGCTTCTCATCTATGCATGTAACACTGCTCTTTGCACTCAATTTTGACTGGCTTTGTAAACCTGCTGAATGTATATTATTATCTGGTGAAACTGGATTCATGTTCCCGGATTGATTTCCAGAGGTGACATGAAGGAGTATCAAAGTTGGCATGAAGCCCTGCCAAAATCTGGTCAGAAGTTTCCTTTGATGATCAGGATATAACCTGAGACTCACTGTAACAGAAACCAGAACCACTTGCAGATAAAGACTGTATGGATTATCTATTATGATGAATGGGATGTAGACCACTAGCATGATGACATATAATAGGGCTGATTCTACCATGATCTCCATGATTTGCTAGTGCAGATTAGTGGAAACTGGTAGAGACAAGCTGATAGTACTCACTTGAACCAGCCAGTACATGATGAGCACTGTACATATAATCATCGTCGAGAGTGTCATACTATAGTATGTGGCTCCCCATCTGATAGAGTTGCTTTGGTACAAAGTCAAAGAACTGCCTTGTGAACCAGTAAAGGGTGTCAACTCTTGAATCAGGAAGAAAACATTGAAGACTTGAAACAATGAGTGATTTGAGTGATGTTCAGAGTCCTGGCAACTTACGTGTTCCACAAAGTGCATATATTGAAGGAAGGACGATGATCCTCCAATTCCTTCCCCATAGGATCCAGCACCACCAAATCTAGGAGAATTTCACATCAAAACATTGATCTTATACAGATCTGCCACAAGACTTACAATCACACAATCTGCTGTTAATATGTTCATACCCACAACAACGTTTGCAATTGTCAATGCCCACAATGGACCACCAGTGATGAGAGAGTCTATGAGTGCAAGGTACCTGGTTTCCTCTGTCTGTCCCTTTGTGATGAATGCCCGTTGAAGAGGCTCTGTGTGTGCCAAGCTCGAAATGTGATAGTGTAGACACACTAAACACACCCACTCTCACTCTCACACACAGAATCACAGTAGTTCAGGGGAGATGTGCAATGCAAGCACACAATAATAGTAGAATTAAAAGATGTCTTGCGCTCTTCAAGATATAATAGCGCACTAGCTCAAAAGAATTCTCTAAGTCCAAATGCTTTTAGGACAGGAGATGAGTGATATGTATCACTCAGCTTTGAGGTGAAAGTAATATTTCACAAGCCCACAAACATCCCACAAGAATGTACAACCCTCAATTGACATTGCACGCAACACACAGGTGGCCACAACCCATCAAACAAACTACACACAACTTAAAGTTTTGTGCTCTAAGCAGACAACCCTTCAGAAACCCTTCATAGATCCATGGGGTTCAAACCTATGCAATCCAGAGACACAGAAACACAGAAACACATCCACAAGCCACAGGGTTTGAACCTATGCCACTTGGGAATAAACAAAAAAAACCCTCAAAGAGCATTGACAAGCCAAAGGGTTCAAACCTCTGCCACTTGCAACAACTCAGAATTCACAAACACATTCCGCAAACACAAATGCACATTCAAGTTATCACAATATAATAGTTCTCTGGGTTGAGCACAATCAATTACTGTCCAGAATCAAGCTAGGTGTCATGCATGAGCAAGGTGTGCCTTGCAACCTCACAAGTGTTTCAAAATAATTCTAGATCCAATAATATTCTCTTGCTCGAAGCTACAAACACAAGTCCTTTGGTTGCACACTAGGCTCTCTGCTTCATGTCATGACTGTGGAGGTCTGAAAGCTTGCTACCTACTTCTAATTACTGTGCTTTTATGTTGGGATAGCAATCCCGAGTTAGTGCTAGAATGCACTCGAAGCTTTTGCATGACTAAGCGGCATAAATATTTAACTGCAAAGGTAGATACATATGGTAATATGTAGTAAATTCTAGAAGTAGTACAAGATGTATTTAAGTATGATGCCTCTCCCTCAAGAGGCTAATTAATTCTCTCTCACACACATTCTCCTCTGTAATTCCAACAGGTTATGGGCTCTGGCCCTAACTGAACTACTTACACTGTTACCCACTTCACACTTTTGTACATTATGTACACATAGAGAACCACATGGAAAGCCAGTCCATTTACAGAATTGACCCCCTTAAGGGCCCAGAAAATTACCTGATGTGGAAGATCAAGATGATTGATATCCTAACTGATTTAGGTCTAATTGATTATGCAGATGGAAGCACTCTAGCCCTGGCAGAAGCGACACTGGTGGCAGATTGGAAGAAGAGCGATAGGAAGGCTCTTTTGACAATAAGGTTGTGGGTTTCAGATGGCCTGCTGGTGTATATTGCTGGTTCAAAGACTTTGGCAGAAGCCTGGAAAGCTCTAAAAGACATGTATGAGTCCAGGGGACCCATGGGAATTGTCCTTGTGAGAAGGAAATTCTTTAGAGCTCAGTGTGAAGAAGGAGAATGTTAAGCACTAACTCGAACCTTCGCCAAGGCTGGTCTCTATCCTGTCACTTGCATTCGGTGATTCAGTGTTAGAGAGGCGTTGGTAGATTGCGAGAAGTTAGGCGTCACTTATAGCAAAAGCAAGGAGCTTGTAAGAGTTAGGAGTATATAACCTTAGCTGAAGCTGGGGTCTAAGGCCACAGCGTAGGCTAGCTTAAATACATGTTAGACTCGTACTAAGAATAGTGTCTACAAGAGCACGTGCAGCAAGAAGTGCGTCTTTCAATGAATGAGGAGGGAGGACACTAAAAGAAGTGTACTCCCGATGAATGAGAGTAAAGAGCGCATATCACCTGTACCTGCGTGGGACTCTATCTGAATAGGCTGCATTCTGTAGACCGCCCTCGACTGGCGGTCGACTCTTGTCCAACTGCTAAGAAGCATGATGCCATCAAGAGAAGCATGATGGTGCATGTGGGTCACTGGTCATCTGGGGGGCAGCAGCATGAACTGGGGTGACGGCAACCAGGTAACTGGGTAGAGAGTGTGCTGGTGGAATATCATGGGTCCGGGAGATAAGATAGGTAGGTCTGGGGTTCCGAGAGATAAGGATAAGATAAGATAAGGAAAATAGGGGTAGAACTGTAATAGATGAAACATAGAGGAACATATTAGGACTATGAGGTCCTATCAGGAGGAGAACTTCTCTATTACACTGCTTACATCACTCCTGGAATCATGGAATTCATTTATTTCATCAGTGGACACTGCAGATTTGAAAGATTCCTACAAATTGATTTCCTGAATTCTCCAGGAAGACATCCGATTATGAGAAAAGACTTCTGATCTGACCACAACACTTGCAGCACATGGCAGGAAGAAGTCCAACTCAAAAATCACATGTTATGGATGCAGAGAAACTGGTCACATCAGGGCAAACTGCCTAAATGGAAAGAAGAATTCTGGAAAGTCATGGAAGGGGAAAGGGAAGGGCCAGACCCAGGCATATGTTGCCAAATCAGATTCAGATGAAGAAGACTGCATTTTGCACTACAGACACTGCACTTGTTACACTTGCAGGGTCATCATGGCTGGGGGACTCAGGAACAACTAAACATATAGTCAAGAACAGATTACATTTTTCTGACTATGTTGAGATCCCAGGACATGAAGTTATTGATGTAGGAAAGTCAAAAGGCTTGGGAAGAGGAATAGTAAAGATTAAAATGGTTGAAGGGGATAAGACTACCTCAGTTACACTGAAGGATTGTATTCACTGTCCTGAGGCACCATTCAATCTTATTTCACTAGGGCGCATCACAGATGCCGGGTTTGAACTCAAATTCAAAGGATCCTGGATAGACATTATCTCACTGCATGGCAAGAAAATTGGTCATGGAGATAAGATTTCAAAGATGTATAGCCTTGACATCATTGTGCCAGAAATAACTCAAGCCCACACAATTAAACCAGCCCGATCATGGCAGAAGTGGCACTGAGTGATGGGCCACTTAAATATAGGATTGGTAAAGAGATTATTCAGAAAGAAGATGGTCAAGGGTATGGATGTGGATGAGTCAGCTGAGCCCCAAAAGGATTGCAAAGCCTGCATAAAGGCCAAGCACTATGTTGAGCTATTTCCACAAGAAGCTCAAAGGGAATACACAAGAATAGGTGAAATGACATTTTTGGACCTATGAGGGCCAGCCTGAACTCAGGGTATCCATGGAGAAAGATATTACATAAGCTTCACAGATGGCAAATCTTGGAGGACAATGTTGTATTTTCTCAAGTCAAAAGAAGGTATGGAGATCCAAAAGAAAATCCAGCAGTATCAGAAATACATCAAAGTCCACAAAGGGGAGGACCTGAAGTTTATGAGAATTGATAATGGGAAGGAATACCTCCATGGCAATGGCATTCAGTTGGAACTGACTGCCACATATTCTCCACCCCAAAACAGAATTGCGGAGAGAGTCAATCAGACCCTCATGGAGCATGCATGTGCCATGCTGGAAGAACACTTGCTGAAATTCCTATGGCCTGAGGCAGTGGCATATGCCACGTACCTGAAGAACTGATCACCGACTAAGGCCATCAAGAATGATCTAACTCCCAAAGAAGTATTTTGGGGCATGAAACCGGACATTTCAACACTCCAGGAGTTTGGAGTAAAGTGCTGGGTGTTGCAGCAAGATAACAAAAGGTCAAAACTCGACCCAAAATCAAGGGAGTTTATTTTTACAGGTCTTACAGATGAATCTAGGGCCTGAAGATATTATAATTCTCAGACCAGACAGATTCAGACCTCAATAAATGTTATATTCCTTGATGACAACACTAAAGACCCTACAGACAACGACTATATTGTATCCCACCCTTCATCGCTCGAGGGGGAGTCAGGGAACAATGTCGAGCAGACTCCAGGTGGAAATGATGACATTTCTGATGATTCCACGGCTGCTAAAATTGCTGAATCAAAAGGGAAAATGCCCCTTGATGCCCTGGCAGCCAAATTGAAGCTTCCCATTTGGCATGGGAAGGTGATTGAGCCACGTAACAAATCGGTCCGGATCACATCAATCAATCAACCAAGTTACCAGTTGCTCAATAATCCAGCTGCAAGAGGCATGAAACCACCGGAATTGCAGCATGAAATGTCACAGGAACTTTTGGAAACTGCAAATATAGCAGCAGACTATACATGTCTGGGGGAGACTGCAGATAACCTCAGTGATGAGCCATTAAGCCTTGAAGAAGCCAAAACAAGGCCAGATTGGCATCATTGGAAGAAAGCAATGGATGAAGAATATAATCTATTGACTTCTCTGGGTACATGGCAGTTAGAAGAATTACCCCAAGACAGATCACTTGTAAATTGCAAGTGGACTTATAGATTAAAAAGGGATGGTGATGAGAAAATCACCAGATACAAGGCCAGACTTGTTGCAAAAGGATTTTCACAGGTTCCTGGCATTGATTTCTTTGAGACATATGCACCCGTTGTCAGGCTGGACACATTCCGCCTACTTATGGCCATTGCCACACAAAGAAACTTGATTATACATGGAATGGATGTCATCAGAGCTTACTTAAATGGAAAGCTCAATGAATCCATTTACATGGCTCAACTGCCAGAATATTCTGATGGAAGTGGAAAAGCAGCACACCTCAAATTGACATTGTATGGACTCAAGCAATCTGGCCGAGTTTGGAACAAAAATAAAACACTACATTTTTGGGACTTGTATACACGAGATTGATCAGTGATCAATGTGTATACATCAGACAAGCAAAATCAGATCCCATAATTATAGCTGTGCAAGTAGATGACATGACATTGCTTGCCCAGGATGATGAAACCATGTCTAACATGAAAGAACTTAAGAAGAAGTTAAATGTTACAGACATGGGGGAGATTCAACATATATTGGGCATGAAGATAGACAGAAATTGGGAGAAGGGCACTATTACCTTATCCCAGAAGGCATATATTCTTAAGGTACTCGAGAGAATGGGCATGAAAGACTGTAAAACAGTCAAAATGCCCATGGACCTGAATGTACAGCTAGAGAAAATCCCCAAAGGAGATTCCCGAGGTGTTGACACAGCCATCAGACAATATTACCATACTGGTGTCGGATCTCTGATGTATGCAGCAAATGGATCCTGGCCCAATATTGCACATGCTGTCACAGAATTAAGCAAATATGTGCAGAATCCAGCTGCTGAGCATGTCACAGCCCTCAAATGAGTTTTCCATTACTTGAAGGGGACTCTAGACTTAGGAATTACATATGGAGGGACTACAGATGAACTGATACCTTATTCAGATTCAGACTGGGGAGAAGACAGAACAGATAGAAGATCAACATCTGGTTATGTCTGTACCTATGCAGGGGGAGCTGTTACTTGGAGTTCAAAGAAACAGCCCACCATAGCCCTATCCACTATGGAAGCAGAGTATATGGCCCTTGTGCACACAACTCAAGAAGTAATATGGTTTTGAGTGCTTCTAACTGAATTAAGGTTGCCACCTGATGGTGCAACTACTATTTTCATTGACAATCAATCAGCAATCAAATTTGCTGAGAACTCAATATTCCATGCACAATCAAAACACATTGATATCCATCATCATTTTGTTCATGAGCACATGGCTTCAAATGAAGTCAAAGTTCAGCACTGCACCTCAGAGGAGAACTTAGCAGATATATTCACTAAAGGACTACCAAGACCATTACATAAATATTTATCTGCAGGTATTCTAGGTACTCGGAATTGAGGGGGAGTGTTGGGATAGCAATCCTGAGTTAGTGCTAGAATGCACTCATAACGATGGAAAAGCCCATCCAGCACACTGTCTCTGATAAGCTGGATTCCATCAATGGGCTGGAGGATGAAGAGGAAGTTATTTTAGCCGGATACGTTGTGTATTCTCATTCCCACACTTTTTGTTTCTAATCCTTAGATAGCTCTCTGCTCATCTGCTTCTTCTGCAATGACCTTTCTCCAGCCAAAGTCAGGATTCCTATGCGCGTGCGTGCTTCGGCTATGCCTATTTCCTCATCGAGATCCATTTGTCGATTTGCCAAGGAGAAGCGGTAATGGCACTTACCTGGCCAGTCTTTCAGCCCGAAGATATTCACTAAGCCACCGCGTATGATTGAACATATGCCAGAAGCGAATGTGGTCATCATCTCGGTAACTATCTCAGCGAGTCGGTCTTTTTTTTTGTTTGGGGACACACTAACACCTTGTTAGGATAATCATTATGACCAGTAAGCCACATACTGTCTATGCGTCATCCTCATCCCGCCGGACATCTTTGTTTCCCTACACAAACACTCTATTTGTGGAATGCACAATGCATGAAGATAGTCAGGGAGGGTAAGAAGGTCTATTTTGTTAGTCACCAGGTATTGATTCGGACGAAGACGACGTGCCATGTTCAGGGAGATTGTGGGACCTGTCGATGGTATCAATCTTGTGGTGATTCAGATTTGGTATGTGCACTGCGCATTTGTGTTTCTGTGTTTCATGTCCTAACAGTGCATCCAAGTCCATATCTACGATCTCAGGATAGCATTGGAACCGTATTGCTAGGTCCGATAGAGAGAATGCCTGATGACTAGCGATAGTCATGAGTGTAGCTATGAACAGGCGGAGATCTATGGAAATGGTGCACATTATCGCGGAGGAACCGGACCGTGCCAACACTCCCAGCATGTGAATGATCAGGCGATAACGGCAATCACAATGCATTGTGAGTCATCTTTAATGTCCTCCTTTCATGGCTCTGATGCTTTACAGAATGGAATGTCAGCAATTCTAATTGTTTACTTCTTTGACCTTGGGCAACTTGTCGAAATGAAATGCAAATGACTCAAATGTGATGCTTACTTTGATTCTACTACATCGAGGCAGATTGTCAATCGCAGTGCAAGCGGCATGTACAAAGCCCGAAATTGATGGCCTTGGTGCAAAATAGTACTACCTACTTGCAAGTATTACTTGGATAGTAACTATCATAATACAGCCAGGGTAATGCCATACGCACGCTCTTTGCATGACTAAGCAGCATAAACATTTAACTGCAAAGGTAGACACATATGGTAATCCATAGTAAATTCTAGAAGTAGTACAAGATGTATTTAAGTATGATGCCTCTCCCTCGAGAGGCTAATTAATTCTCTCTCACACACATTCTCCTCTGTACTTCCAACATTTTATGTCGGAGTGGCAAGTATGCCCATAGTCAGGCCTGCTTATACCCAAGGATTTATTTCTGTTTCTTTCTTTCTTTCTTACATACATAGTTGTATCCACAACAGACTCCGTAGCTACATATAGTGATGTACCTACCTACGTGCACCTCAGACATGTTCTCTCGTATCCCAAGTGCAAGTCTGAGGTGAGCTTTCTTGTACTTACTTGTGTCCAGACATTCTTACTTACATTCACTCATAGTTACCATTATTCTAGGTGAATAGACGTGTTCTCTCGTATCCCGAGTGCAAGTCTGAGTTACTATTATTCTAGATAACTACATCCACACTCTAACAGGTCATTGGGCCCTGCGTCTCACCCTGCTGCTGATCTCTGTTGCTGCTACTTTGACTCTGAATTCCATCCCCCACTATGTCTACCATCACTGCTGACTTTACCGTGCTGTTGAACGTTCTGAAGCTTGACGTATCAGGTACTAACTGCCTCATCTTCCATTACTGCTTCGAAATCGCTGTCGAATCCAAAGGTGTTTGGGGCCATTTCGATGGTTCTGAACCTTCTCCTCCTGGCCCTCAACAAGGTGACAATGCTGCTGCTGCTGCTGCTGCCACAGCTGAAGTTGTTGAGTGGAAAAAGAAGGAGAAGGAGGCTCGTCATTACCTTGTCCAGAAGCTGGAGGACTCAACCTTGACTGAGCTTTTGTGTCATGCCACTGTTGAACGTTGATATGCTAGCCACGCGTTCACACCTTGATTTTGCGATTTTGTAATAATACTAGTGCATATCTATCCCTGACTAGTCATAACTAGAGGACTATAGTGGAGGCTTCGAGCTGATAGTCAAGCCAGGAAGCTACTAGTCGAGCCAGGACTTAGGCACGATACCACTAGTGGGTCAAGCCTATAAGCTGGCATGACTAGTACCTCGAATACTAGTACAAGTCATTGAATAACGGTCACTAGTAGACGAGGGTAGCTATGAGAGCATCCAACAAGAAGCAGAATACACAGATCTTGTGAAAGTACAGTCACTAGTGGAATGATCTGAGCAGGAATGCCTAAGACGGTTTGACTAGTCACGCGGCAGTCTCTAACGGGACTTAGAAATGAATTAGTGAAAGAAGCCAGTGGCCCAGATCTGACTAGGGCGATTGAGATCTATTCCGGTCGGCACTAGTATAGCCGGGTTCCGTCTTCGATCATGATCGAACAGCTACTACAGGCATGAACGCTGGAATCGGAGCTTATCCGTGACACTAGTGGAGCATTGTTGGGCTGAGGGTGCGGAAGAGGACCACTCGCGGAGTTCCCGGACCCACTAGTAATCAAGAAACTACTTCTAGACCGCGTATTGCATGATCATTCACCATTTACTTGTGACTAGCCAAGAAATTCTTACCAATAATACCCTTTACCCAGTTTATTTATACTTCGATTGTACCTTACTAGTCAGTATATAAGCAGTAGAGTAGGTGCACGTGCAGGCAGGCAAGCCATCCCCGCGATTGTGACCTACTAGTCAGTAACTAGTGCCCCAATTAAAGGCTTTTGTGCTTAACCTCGATGAAGCGGTGACTAGTCGCTAAGTTACCCATAGTATTGAGTGAATAGAAGTGCTTTAGAGTCCACTGTTGTGTCCTGCCTAGGCTCAGAGTGTTTTGAAGTTAGTTTAAGCGAGTTTCTCGAAGTTTAAAGTATTATTCTTAGGCCAAGAGTGCCACTAGTCAGCCAAGAGTGCGACTAGTCAAGTGTCTATCACTTGTAGGAAGCAGTATAGGGCCAAGAGAGCCACTAGTTCGAAGCAGTTTCAGTCAGAGCGAGTGCAGTAGCTCCAAACAAGTCACTATTACATTCAATTGTGTCTTAACAACCCCACTAGTGCGAGTAGTACCTTTGTATAGCTCACTAGTAACGAATAAACGTCTTTATAACAACTTCCCTTGATTATTGAAGTCTGTAGAGTGCTTCTATCATACTCGAAACGCCCAAATTCAATATATTTGGTGATTTGTGTAGAGTAGTAGAGGGTTTGGTGTTTGTGGTGTTCATATCCATTCACTAGCCTTTAGTCACTCGCTGCAACCGAGCACATCAACGTATGTGGAATGCACTTACTGAGAAATTCACTGCCCTCAGTACCCACATTATTGCTGACATGCAAGCTCGTTTCAACAACATGAAATGCCCCAACAATGGTAACATTCACACCCATCTCACCAGTCTTTGCATGAAATATGAGGAACTGTGTGCTGTTGGTGTGGTCTTGACAGACAACCAGTATGCGACTCGCATTATTGGATCGCTTCCCTGCTACTACCAATGCTACCTTTCCACTGTCACTTCTGCTGCTAAAGCAGCTCTCTTCACAAACAACGCTGCTCATGCTGCTGCTGCTACTACTGTCCCTGGAAATACCACCACTGCAGCCTTTACCATTACTTCAGGTTCACTGGCCACAGCCCAAGGCATATCCCTTGATCCCGCATACATCATGCAACTCACCATTGAAGAGTATGATCAAGTCTGCCTGGGGAAGAAAATTTTCTGGGATAATAAACTGCAGGCAGAGGATACCAGTGTTGTGCTTGCTGCCCCATCAGGCAGTTATGGTGGCAACAAAGGAAAGGGAAAGGAGAGGGAAAGACATCCGAAGGGGGTGTGTTGGAATTGCAGAGGACATGGACATGTCCAGTCCAAGTGTCCAAGCCCCAAGCTTCCTAGGGAGGGAGGCGAGAAAGGCAAATCAGATGGAAAATCTTCTGGTTCAGCAAATGCTGCTGTAGACTGGGAGGATGATGGTGTTTGGGCTGCTATTGCCACATCGTTGAGTGTGTCTTCGCCACCGGGATTGCAACCGGGGAAGGGCACAATTTTTGATGTATCATTGTTGTTTGATGATGCATGGGATGAGATTCCTGAGTTGAATCTGTCGTCAGCTTCTGATTTTGATGGGAGTGACAATGAGTCCTTACCAGGCCTCGAGGAAGTCTCTGATAGTGAGGAGGAGAGCATGTTTGACTCAGATTCAGAGTGCTCTGAGCTTCCTGACCTTGAGTCCGTGTCAGATAGCGAGGATGAGTGGGACGATGAGGATAAAAGGGCTGAGAAGGAAGATGAAGATGCCGCATGTGCAGCTGGACCTGCCAATGTTCCGAATTCTTCAATCCGTGCTGAACTCTATGATTCTGGCTGTAGTCAGCACCTATCCCCATACTGCGACAAATTTCAGACTTACCAGGAAATTCCACCAAAGCGCTTCACAGCCGCAAACAACCAGGATTTTACAGCTGTTGGGCAGGGGGAGATATGGGTCAATGTTCCAGATGGAAACGACATGTCGAAGATGCATCTCATGGAGGTGTTATACTCCCCAGAGATTGGGTACACCCTAGTCTCTGTTGGTCATCTTGATCAAGCTGGGTACACCCTAACTTTTGGTCAAGGGATGTGCAGGATCAATGACCTGGATGGAAACCATGTCAGTTCTATCCCACGCTCTCAAAAGGGCCTATATCGCATTCTTCATGAGTCAGGTGAAAAGGGCATGGTGAATGCAGCATCACCTGTCAAACTCACCGAGGCCGAACTCCACCGCTACTTGAGACACATGTCCCCCACCACTGCTAAGTGTCTCATTACTCATGGCTTTGTCACTGGTCTTGAGCTTCATAAATCCCCTTCTGGCAACCCCTTCTTCTGTGAGGCATGTATCTATGCCAAAACCAAGCATCAGTCCGTTCCCAAGGTCTGCCAAGGTGGTGGTGCATCTACCTTTGGCAAAGAAATCCATTCCGATGTCTGGGGACCTTCACGCATTGAAACGATCAATGGGTGGAGATACTTCATCAGCTTCATTGATGATTGCTCTCGTCTCACCCGTATCTATCTGCTTCACAAGAAATCAGAGTCATTCAGTGCCTACAAAAAGTACGAAGCCTGGGTGAAGACTCATGCAAAAGCAGATATCGGGTCACTTCATTCTGACTGGGGTGGTGAATATCTGAGCAAAGAATTCATCAATCATCTCGAAAATCATGGCATGGAGTCAAAACGTACTGTGCATGATACCCCTGAGGAGAACGGAGTTGCAGAACATTTCAACAGAATTGGACTTGAACGGACACGAGCTTTGCTTCATGCGAGCAGGTTGCCGAAATTTTTATGGGGGGAGGCTCTTCATCATGTTGTTTGGCTGAAGAACAGAACAACAACTAAGGCCTTGCCAGATGGAAAGATGCCATACGAGATGCTTACTGGAGAGAAGCCTAACTTATCCAATGTCCACAAGTGGGGCTGTGTTTGCTATGTTCACCAGGCAACACCAAATCAGTCAAAATTGGACCCACAGGTGAAGGAGCGAGGTGGATTGGAGTTGATGATGAGAGCAAGGGTTCTTGGATTTACTGGCCAGGCGAACGGAGAGTGACGGTCAAGCGAAGTGTTGTGTTTGGGAAACCTGAAGCTATCGTGCAGGTGGATGACATGCCAAAGGATGCCGTCATGGAGGAACTTGAGGGGGAGGATGAAGAGCAGTTAGTCAAGTCACCTCCTACTCCAAAAAATCCACCAAACACACCTGTTACACCCTCCCAAACCAAAGACAGTGATCCTGAGCCACCTCAAAATGACCAGGCCCAACCTGAGTCGAGAAGAAACCTCCCTCGTGCTGCCCATCCTACACAGTACAAAAATCGGGAATTACACCCTGTCCAACCCCTTCGTAGTGTGGCAAATCTAGCAGTTGTTGATGAGATAGAGCAAGAAGTCGAGGGCGAGGTTGAGTACATGATGGTTGCAGATTCTAGTGAAGCACTGGGTCTTGATCCATTGTTGTTGGCAGAAGCAAAGCGCTGTCCTGACTGGGCTAGTTGGGTTGAGGCCATATGTGAGGAGATTGACATGCTGGTGAGTGCTGGGACTTGGGAGATTGTTGAGAAGCCAGAGGGAGCGAACATTGTAGGCTCAAAGTGGGTTTTTCGGCTGAAAAAGGATGCATTAGGAAGAGTGGTGTGTTACAAAGCGAGGCTTGTTGCTCAGGGCTATTCCCAGGTTGAAGGCGTCGATTATTTTGACACTTACGCTCCAGTTGCAAAGCTGCAGTTGATCCAAATGATTCTTGCACTTGCTGCTCACCTCAATCTCAAAATCCGTCAGATAGACATCAAAGGAGCATATCTGAATGGCACACTCACCAAGGATGAAAGGATCTATATGCGTCAGCCTCCTGGATTTCCTCTTCCCAATGCTACTGGCAAAGTCCTCCACCTATGCAAAACGATCTATGGGTTAAAGCAGAGCGGCCGTTGTTGGTATGAAGCCTTCACAGCCATTTGCTGGGAGACTTTGAGGTTGAAGCGGTGCAGTGTGGATCAGGCAGTCTTTTACAGACAAGAGGGAATGGATATCATTGTCATTGCCATGCATGTTGATGACTGCACCATTGCCATGACGATGATGCAACTGATTGCAGAAGTCAAGGAGAAAATCGGGACCAGAGTTGAGGTCATTGATCTCAGCCCGATTCACTGGCTACTCAGCATTGAAGTTATCCGGGACCACCAAAAGCGGACCTTGTCCCTTTCTCAACATGCCTACATCGAGTCCATCATCTGCCACTTCCATCTTGATGATTTGAAGCCCGTTTCTACCCCCATGGACCCTCATGTCAAGCTCTCCAGTGCTCAGTCCCCTACTACCCTCGAGGAAATAGCCCAGATGCACAACATCAAATACCCAGAAGCTGTTGGTTCTCTCATGTATGCCTTGCAAGGTACTCGTCCTGATATCACCTTCACCATGACAATGCTCTCCAAGTTCTTGAAGAATCCAGGTATGGCACACTGGGAGCAGTGCAAACGCGTTTTTCATTACCTCAAAGGCATGCTGGACTGGAAGTTGATGTTTGGGGAGACTGACCGGGATTTGACTGGCTGGGTGGATGCTGATGGCAGTGAATCCGAGGAGCATCATGCCATCACTGGGTATGCCTTCCTTATTGATAGTGGTGCTATTTCATGGAGTTCTAAACAGCAGGAGCTCATGGTTTTGTCGACAACTGAGGGGGAGTATGTTGCAGCGACTCATGCAGCAAAGGAAGGTCTTTGGCTTTGTAGCTTCATCTCTGAAGTATTCGGCTCACTTATTGATGGTCCGACGACTCTGTTTTCTGACAACAAGTCTGCTATTGCCCTCGCGAAGGAGCACCAGTACCATGCCCGCACCAAACACATCGATATCTGTTACCACTTTATTCATTGGGTTATCGAAAACGGCTCGATGTGCCTCATCTACTGCCCTACTGAGGAGATGCTAGCTGATACACTCACGAAGGCCTTGCCTAGCACCAAGGCAAAGCATTTTGCAGTCGAGTTGGGACTACATGCGACTTGAGGGGGAGTGTCAGAGTGGCAAGTATGCCCATAGTCAGGCCCGCTTATACCCAAAGATTTATTTCTGTTTCTTTCTTTCTTTCTTACATACATGGTTGTATCCACAACAGACTCCGTAGCTACATATAGTGATGTACCTACCTACGTGCACCTCAGACATGTTCTCTCGTATCCCAAGTGCAAGTCTGAGGTGAGCTTTCTTGTACTTACTTGTGTCCAGACATTCTTACTTACATTCACTCATAGTTACTATTATTCTAGGTGAATAGACATGTTCTCTCGTATCCCAAGTGCATGTCTGAGTTACTATTATTCTAGATAACTACATCCGCACTCTAACATTTTATTTACAGCTAATTATATAAATAGAAATATCGAAAATAGATATACTCCACCCCAGGGCCATTTCCTCTCCATGATGCATCAATTGCATGGTCACTAATTAATATTCTGAGTCAGTCATCCGAGTTAGTGCTCGGTAACATGCTGCTCATCCTGCTTGGCAAGGTCTAGAGTTGCCACATCATGCAGAATATTCCTTCTAATTAGCTCCTTGTTTTTGATTCCTCTGTCGTGGACATCGCTAGTAAGCTGGTACTTTTATTTGGTTGCTGTGCCACCTTTTCTTAGTTCCATATTTCATTCTGGTTACAGGATTTCTCTCATGTCAGCCAAAATCCCCTCAGGGGGCTCAGACTGGGTGGTCCTCGGTTCTGAATGACATCTCTCAGTGATTGCCAGATTGGCAGGGTTTGCACATCATAGATCAATGTTGTGTGAAGTTCCATTAATATATTATCTTCTCAGTGTATTTTATTTGAGTGAAGCACTGCTGAGGGATGCATAGGGTGTGAGTTAGGCACTGCGACTTCACACTTAAATGACACCAGCATGCCGTTCTAAGTCTAAGCCATGCGCTCCACTCAGATTAATTTATTATATGCTGCCTCTGCCTCAGTATGTGCCACTCGATGCCAGCTATGCATTAATATTACTTAGTGGGTTGACACACATTTGAACTCATAGAATTCGCAAAATTACATGTATGCATGCATTGCATGCATGTCACTGTATAGCATAATACCATCTTATGGCAATGTATATTGTTGCCATGATATACATGAAGACAGAAGTTCCAACAAGGACTTTTGTCTGACATCTATGAGGAATGCTGATCAAAACTACACAATTACTCTGTCAGTCATGATCTCATTGGAAGGGTTCACTATGCACGAATCTTCCACAGTAAATCTGTCACTAGTGCAGTGTATATCCCTAGATTGTAATCAGTGATTTGGCAGATATAATTTGGAAGGTAAATTGCATTGTGTGCTAGGACCTTGATGATAACTGCATTGAACCAGGAGTCAGACAACTGCATTGTGGCCACTTCAACAGATGCAAATTCTGAGTCAATCTGCGATATAGCATCAAGCTACCTGTCATGATATTGAGAGGGGAGAAAGTATCTGGCACTGAAACAAAATATGCAAAGTTTATGAACATGTCGAAGAGTCAGTAAAGCCACCATCATTTCTAAGCAGAAGAATGGCCAACTTACTATCCTGAGAATATGAATATGTGACTCACTGATGAGAGTGTTCAGTTTCCAGACCACAGTACTATTCAGATGCACAGGCCTTGATCATTTCCTTAGGGATGACCAAAGAATGGCTGGTCATACTTTTCTTGTGCACTGTTTTCATGTAGACTTACTTCCTCATGGATATCTCAGAGGATTCAGATATCTTTGAATCTATTAAATATTACACTCATTCGTCATTATTTCTCATGGAAGATGAATTCAAAAGACTTATGTGGTCAATGTGATCATTCTCAATTCAATGTGAGAGAAACAAGTTATTACAGGAGTCCAAGGCAATGCAATTCAATTTCCTACACACCTCAGTTCCAAAAACCAAACTTCATAATCAATGGGATAACTGTTTGATCCACATTGCTTACCATGATACAAACCTGAAATGATGGACTCAAAATTCTAAATGTAGTACATTTCAAAGTGACAAATTCATCCTGATTGGAGGATGAGTGTCATGCCAGTTGTGGAGCAGAAAAAATAGACAAGTGCTCGGCCAGATATCCTAAATTTATTCCACAGTAACCTTGAGAATATTATTTCCTGTAAATGCTATGACTCACTGACTACAAAATAGGTATGGATGATTGTGGCATGATATGACCAAATGGTGCCCAGTCCTAGTCTAAAAACATATAAATTATAGATGTCACCTTGGTCACCTTGGCTAAATTTCTTGCATTCATTGATATGTATTCGACTCTTGGAATTGCCATTTAGCATAGAATCAATACAATGTAATGATCCCCATCATGGATATTGTAGCATAGGTAGGTTTTTGCAAGGATCCACAACTCAATTCCATATAAACAATGACAATAGTGTTTCCCTGCAAAAGCTGCAGAGAACCCTAAATAGGATAGTTCTTGAATAGGAACAACAGGTCTGAGCAGTATAAAGGAGGACTCAAGTGGACTAACAGCCACACCAAATTGCACTGGGACCCAGAAGACCCAAAACATTCCTGGGGAATGAAATTCTTTTCTCTTTTCATCATTGTTGTTTGCTCTATGGCTGTGGGCATTCATTTCACATCCTGCATTCAAAGAGACTGAAAACATTTGTGACATACATATGGAATCATGACTCATCAAGTGCCCCATCAATGTATGCCAAATCCCACCCCACCAGAGGTCTAGCTCAAATGAGGGACTGTTTATAAGCACTTCCACAGAGAATAGGCATGCATCTTGAGGGAGAGAGCTCTAATACACAAGCATGGATTATGGTTTTTATTAGATGGGAAGGGGTTGAATGGCATAGGCATAATGTTGTGGATGAGGAAAGTTTTAATTCAGGCAGCTATATGATTCCTTGTTGACATTATGGCACCACGAGGTGTAAGGTGTTATACATTGATGATGGTGACCATTAAGCACAAGCACAGTTAAATGGAACAGTTTTACTTGGTCATGGTTGATTGACTGTCATATCCCTCTGTGAATGTAGCTGTTGTCATACTGGGCAATTGTGGGACAGGAGGAGAATGCCAAAAATAGCATATTTGGCCAACCCGCAGTGTTTGCCAAGTCCATATCAGTATCTTGGTCTCTTGATCACTCCCACTCATGCCCATCATCTCCATGCCTGTGCTGACCTCCTTCTCACTTGTGGCATACCTTATTTCCACCATGACTTTAAATTTTAGTGAGGGGTGCAATCTTTTTTGATGACTTTTTCATGATGAGCTGATACCTGTGACATACATATGCGTTCCTCTGGGTTATGAGGTGCACAGTCTATTTTTGCTTCACTTGTTGGCTCATTTCTTGTTGCATAGTTCCTTTTTCTGGGAACATTGTTATGGATCTGCCAAAATCCAGAGATGTGAGCATGAGGCGAGGAGTGGTGATCGAAGTGAGGTAAGAGTAATTAAAAATGATGTACATCATTAGAGAATATAATGGATTCTGGCAAGGGTTCATGAGGAGACCTGAGTGGTCCGGTTTGCGAAATAAAGGAGATCAGTAAGCGCAAAGCAATTACTGAGGGAAGTGGCCGGTAAGTGTGGAGCAATTACCGATATAGAAAGCCTGTAAGTGCGAAGCTATTACAGGACGAGGGTGAAGGCAAGCACTAAGCGTAACTTTTGGGTTGGTGTCAGAAAGCACTAGGCATATCCAATTGTAATGCACTAACTTGGATTGCTTGATGTTTACCTCCAAACTGTCACTCGTGTTCAGTGATTCAGTATGATGGAGGGCGTTGCAAACACTAGGTTAGGGATGATAGTCCTTAGTCCTTGAAGCAGGGAGTTTCTGCGTGAAAAGTTAGGAGTGTATAACTTTAGCCGAAGCTGGGGTGTAAGACCACAGCAAGGCTACACTAAATACATTGCGGTATTTACTAGTATGTACTGTCCTAATGCATTGCTGTCTTCTGTATCATATGGCTTTGGTATGGTAGAAGTCCTCCTGTGAATGTCAAGGTGTCCATCCATATGGTGCTTGGTATAGGAGAAGCGCTCATATGAGTAAGAAGACTAGCACCCGTATGGTGCTTGATATGGTAGAAGCATGTCATGAGTCAAAGGACTAGCACCCGTGTGGTGCTATCTTCTGAGGAGCATACGTGGCATTCTATCCATCCTAGGATGTGATCAGAGTCGACCTAAAGAAGCGTGACTGGGTGAAGTAGGGTCAGGCCCCTAAGAGCATGATTGGACCCATGGGCCATCAAACGGATCATGCATGTGAAGGAATATTAAGGGTAGGGCCCATAGAAGTATGATCAGATCTATGGGCCATCAAACAGATCATGCATGTGAGCAGTGATCCAGGGACCAATCAGGTGGGAGGTGTTGTGGCAATGTCCTGGTGATGCGGTGCGAGCATGAAGCACTCCTGTGAGTAAGAAGGGTAGCATCTGTATGGTGCTACCTTCTACAATGTATGGCAGCAGAGCCCATGACAGAGTCCAAGTGATGTGGTCCATGGCGTGAGGTAATGTGGTGTGGGCATGTGACTGAGTGGGTCATGAATGATACAGATCAGGTACAAGGAATGATGATGAGAGTTGAATGACAAGTTGCCCAGATAAGATAAGATAAGCAAAAAATAAGGGTGAATTCATGACACCAATGAGTTGTTCAGCAAGTGCTAGGTGTAACTGAGGGTCCATGCAGTGAAGGTGTCCTTAAAGTAGTAGATTGGTAAAAGCTTTTTTTAATACAATGTTATCTATGAGTTTAAATACTAAGGAAAGGTTTGAGTCATTATTATTATACAATGCTCCATAATATTCTAGCATTAGTAAGAATAATGTAGAAAGTAAGAGAAAACAAGAGAAAGTACAAGCAAGTCAGTATTAAGACCGAGAAGGCTGAGTACGGGTATATGTTGACTCATGCACTGAATCAATGGATACCCAATATCCATAACAAACATCCACCTGCCTACTTCTCTTAACTCTGTTTCTTCCCTGTAGCAACAATGGGTATTTCATTTTAAGTGCTATCTCAACCTTACAAATTTGCACCAGATGGAGGTGCAGACAGCGGTCAAGCGTAGGGGACCTATTACAACTTTACCCCTATTTTTCTTATCTTATCTTATCCTTATCCCTCGGAACCCTGGACCTACCTATCTTATCTCTCAGACCCATAATATTCCACTGGCACACCCCTTACCCATTTACCTGGTTGCTGTCACCCCAGTTCACAGCTGCCGCATCCCGGATGACCAACGACCTGCATGCACCATCATGCTTCTTAGTAGTTGGACAGAAGTCGACCGCTAGTTGAGGGCGGTCTACGGGAGGCAGCCTATTCAGACAGAGTCCCGTGCAGATGCAGGTGATATGCGCTCTTTACTCTCATTCGTCAGGAGTGCACTTCTTTTAGTGTCCTCACTTCTCATTCATTGAAAGATGCACTTCTCGCTGCATGCACCCTTGTAGGAACTATTCTTAGTATGAGTCTAACATGTATTTAAGCTAGCCTATGCTGTGGCCTTAGACCCCAGCTTCGGCTAAGGTTATATACTCCTAACTCTTACAAGCTCCTTGCTTTCGCTATAAGTGACGCCTAACTTCTTGCAATCTACCAACACCTCTCTAACACTGAATCACTGAACACGAGTGACAGGATAGAGACCAGCCTTGGCTTAGATTAGAGTTAGTGCTTAACAGGACCACCATGGTAGACGTGTTCTGAGAGGCACCAGATGGCCCTCTGATTGATGGAGAAAGAGTGGAATACACTCATGGGAGGAAGTATGTATGGTTTGCACTCTGACTATTGGTGTCAAGTACTTATATCATTTGTGCAGCATCTTACCCTCCATGTCATTCAACCCACCATCTGCCGGTTTCAACAACACCTTATGTGGTGCTGCATGAAACACTTCACTCACTACAGCCTATTTATTACAAGAGGCATGACAGACAACATCGAAACCAAGTATAATGGGGAGGCTGGTCTCAGAGAGAATGCATTTTGTTCAGATGTCATGGGCTATAGAGGCTCTGGAGAGAGGTATGTGGCTTGGAATGAAACTGTTGTCTTTGTGACTGATTTCATTTGAAGATTGAGATAATGATAATCTCAGTCCCATAGCAGTTTGTCATTTTACTGTCAGTTCAGCAGTCTGATGAGTAGATAGCTCTCTGCAGTACAGACCTCATTATGTTTCTGTTAAGGAGCCACAACAACTAATAAAACCAACTTCCTTCCTTCTGAAACCATGTGTTGCTGAAAATTCTGTGTTTGAATATTGATCTCCCATGGCAGAATTTTATGAAGTATGTTTTGAACTTGCACATGCATCTTTGGCTCATTGTTCATTCAGTAACAATTCTTCAACATCATTCTATGCTGTAAATCACAATACAGATAAAACATTGCATCACCAGTGCTGGTCATAACTCTGACTAAGCATTCATCCTCCTTCACTGAATCCAGCCTCTGCAGCCTGGTACTCACTGGCTACATACCCACCCAACTCAACATCCAACCCTGTGCAGTCACAAGTCAACCCAGTCATCATGAAACTCTGCACATCTGGCATTGTCTTCATCACCGGCACTGGTGAAGGCTCTAGCTGAGCCACTGCCCCCTCCCTCCCCAAGTCCAGCATCCACTGCATTGCCCTTGCTGGAGACATCCTCAACCCACCCCATGCCATCACCTTTGAGTCGAAATCACTGAGAACCTGGATCTCATTGGAATAATCTTGCAAGAACCTCATGTTAACTGCTGTACACCCTTCCAGATGAGGTCAATGGTGTCAGTCAAACGAGTATATTTTGTGCAGACAATGAGAACCAACATGAGATTCACCTCGATACCTACTGAGGACTAGTGATGTGCCAGCCCGGCTTAGGCTCAAAGCTGTGGCTTGGGCTCGGCTTCCACTGGCTTGGGCTCATCAGAACTTCAAGCCCAGCCCAAGCCATCAAACAGGGCTTCGCTGAGGCTGGCTTGGGCTTGAGCCCGGCTTTTTAGTGGTGGTAGGTATACAACTATGGGGCAATGTAGCACTAATTGGAACATAGTTATATCATTGCTTCGATGTTTAAAGACTTACTAGGGACCTGTTAGACTTCATCTAGGGCAGCAGGCACATTCCAGAGTGAGATTAATAGCATCAGCAAATATGATGTCATACCAGGAGGTCTGTTTCCGTGGCCACCACTGTCTATGAGGATACCATAATTGGTCCGAAAAAAATGCCTACTAGTAGTGATAGTTATCATACCATGTAGAGTGGTGTTATACAGCTGAAACATGAAGGATTAAGACCTTTACTTATG